CCACTCCCCCGCCATCGCCATCTCCCCCCGAAACTCCTCCGGCACTGCCACCCCCATCTCCGCCAACTGCGCCATCTGCCGCTTCCTCTCCTCCGTCGTCGCCTGCCGTGGCCTCTCCCTATCCCTCTCCGTTCGCCCAATCACTCCTTCCGCCTTCGAGCTAGACGGCGCCCCCCCGGAGACCAGGGCATCGAGCCGTGCGACCTCGGACTTGGCGCGGTCCTTCTCGCGCGCGTCGCGCTCATGCGTGCGGTGGAGGGATTTGAGGGAGCGTTGGATGCCGGATTGGTGGCGGCCGGTGGCTTCGTGGTTGCGCCGGGCGAAGGGGGTGTCGCGGACGTAGACGCTACAGAATTTGCACCAGTAGTTGGGCTGTAGGGAGGTTAGAGATCCTGGGTAGAGAGGGTTTGGAGGGGGACTTACGGTGGATTTCCAGTGTTCGGACATCGTGAGGTGGAGATGGGTAGTGGGGATAGGACGTGGGTTTGGTGAGGGAAATGTGGAAGGTATTGGAGATGGGAGGCAAGGAACGATGGTCTTCACTACACCAAGGAATTATGCGATGTCCTTCCTTTGCAGCATTTTGTGTATGAAAATCTCGTGTGATAAATAATAACCCCATTCTACGAAGATGCCGATGGATGATCATTATCAACTCATAATAGGTGACGCACGGGCCATTCGAAAATGTGTCGATATCACAACTTCGTAACTCTTAACTTCAAATGCTTCCACGAGACCACGACACCTTAAGCTTCCATCAAATCTCCTCAGGTCCACCACTTCACCCTCCTTTCGCTCCCAATCTCTCCAAGATGGCACCAGCTGCTCCCCGCGCGGCTGGCGTCGCCGTCCGCACCGCCCTCCAATCCCCCCGATCTCGCGCCCTCCCCTCCCTCCCCCGATCCCTTCCCGCCTCCCTCGCTCTCGCCCGATCCTTCACCCAACTCACCAACCAAAATGCTCCCGCCAACTCCTCGATCTTTGGGCTGCCCAGTGGCCCCGGCGGAAGCAGCGGTGGCGGCGCCCCGCCGGCGTCGTATTTCCAGAAACCGACGCTGCCGGCGAACACGATCGTGCGGTTCGTGCCGCAGCAGACAGCGTGGATCGTGGAGCGGATGGGGAAGTTCAACAAGATCTTGGAGCCCGGGTTGGCGATCTTGGTGCCGTTTTTGGATCGGATCGCGTACGTCAAGAGCTTGAAGGAGGCGGCGATTGAGATCCCGAGTCAGAGTGCGATCACGGCGGACAACGTGACATTGGAGTTGGATGGGGTGTTGTATACGCGGGTGTTCGACGCATACAAAGCAAGGTAGATAATATACGGTGATATCCTTTTCGAAGACCGCCGAGCTAACATCCAACCAGTTACGGAGTCGAAGACGCCGAATACGCCATCTCCCAGCTCGCGCAAACCACCATGCGCAGCGAAATCGGCCAACTCACCCTCGACCACGTCCTCAAAGAGCGCGCTAACCTCAACGCCAACATCACCGCCGCCATCAACGAAGCCGCCCAGGACTGGGGCGTCGTGTGCCTCCGCTACGAGATCCGCGACATCCACGCGCCCGGCCCCGTCGTCGAGGCCATGCACCGCCAGGTGACCGCGGAGCGCAGCAAGCGCGCCGAGATCCTCGACTCCGAGGGCCAGCGGCAGAGCGCGATCAACATCGCCGAGGGCCGGAAGCAGAGCGTGATTCTCGCGTCGGAGGCCCTGCGGGCCGAGCAGATCAACCGCGCGAGCGGTGAGGCGGAGGCGATCCAGGTGCGGGCACGGGCGACGGCGGCGGGGATCGAGGCGGTGTCCGGGGCGATTCGGGACGGGGGGGAGGATGCGGGGAAGGCGATGGGGTTGAGCGTGGCGGAGAAGTATGTGGATGCGTGGGGGAAGCTGGCGAAGGAGGGGACGGCGGTAGTGGTGCCGGGCAATGTGGGAGATATGGGCGGGATGATTGCGAGCGCTATGGCCGTGTATGGGAAGATCAGCGACGGGCAGTCGAAGGGGGTGGCGGCGAGGTTGGTGGAGGGCGGCGAGAAGGAGACAGGGGCGGAACGGAGCGAGCAGAGACAGACGGAAGGTAACGCAGGTCAGAAGCGCGAAGTGGCACAGGATGTGTTGGATACGTTCGACGAGGCGACGCAGAACCGGTAGGAGGCGTACGGACGATCGTGATTCATTCCGCTCTTCCTCGACTTCGCATTCCATCGGAACAGCATTGGGCATTGGTGTTGGTCGGCGTTGTGTTGTTCCACTCCTGTCTACACTGTACTGATCAGGTCACTTGTACTACATACCTTCTCAAACACTGGACTTGTCAAGACCACTTGTACATTACCCAAACGCGGAGCATAGCTACAATTCGAATCAACACTCTCAAGAGTCGGTTTCATCTCGCCCGATTGCACCGAGCGACCACCTCATCAAGGGAACCAAGATTTTTGAAAACTTCTTTTTTCTGCCATCCATTCGTGAGTTAAAAGCTAACTACACATCAACAAGCAGCAACTGCCTGGAAACAAAACACCGTCCTTAATGCTTTTTTGTTAAAAGAAATCTATCAAGAGTCGAGGTATTTGGAGCCCCCGCGGCCATCCTGCCGCAAAAGAAGTTCCCGCACCTTCGGAAACCCTCCCGTTCCCATGGTGCCGTGGATGTTGTGGGAGCGGGTCCTCGGCCGTGTACATACAAGCCAGTGGGTAGTAGTCTGCGTGCGTAACGAAACAGGGACGATGGACGGAGCGCAAGAGGTAATGGTTGAATGGGCGCGGGCGCATGCGCATGCGCGGGAAATGAGAACAGAACGCCGTGATGTAAGTTTTCGACCGTGCTGGAATGCCGGAATGCAGCAATGGACGTGGTGCGGTGTGGGGTCAAAGGAAAAGGGAGACAAGATGTGCGACGGTACAGGGGACGCTCGTTGCTCTCAAACAATCGGCAAAACGCCGCGAGGAGCACCGTCGGAAAACATGAGGGGCGCGCTGGCTGAGCTGCCTCGCAGCAGGGCATCCGAGGGAATGCATGGTGCATGCTGGAAGAACAATACCGAGCAATGGGGTCCCGCCCAATCCTTGTCCTCGCACGGTATCAAGAGAATGTAATCGTACATATACAGGTTCGACTGCGCGTCGGTGCAGCCACACGGTCGGCGTTCCATACACGAGCGCAAAAGTCGCTAGCGGAGGCACCAAGACATTAAACGGAACGAGCAGGATCTCCGCGATCCATCCCGCGACGTGACGAGCAAGGGGAATGCGTGGGGTGAGAGCGCCGCCCACATCACTGGTCGAGCAGCGTTCGCAGCTCCTCGTCGACGAAGCGGTTGATCTGCTTGCGGTTGACGAGGTTCACCGCGCCGTTCCTCCACGCCGAACGGAGCCGCTTGAACGCGGGATGGCCTTCGTCGGCCGATTCGTTCTTGGCTAGATCGACGAAGTCGTGCGCGACCCGCTCGCGGATCGGCGAGGCGTTGGCGACCGCCTCGGCGTAGAAGTTGATCAGATTGCCCATCCCGACCTTGCATGCGCGCTGGCTATGATCTTCGAATGCCAGCCGACGGAACTCTTCGTACATGGAGGTGTTGAAGTTGCGGATCAAAAAGTGTGACCAAAACTGGTAAAGGACGTCCATGTCATGCGGACATCCGCTCGGCGACGCGTTGCGCTGGTCCAAGGCTTTGGCGCGCAGATCGTTGTATCGTTCATGCGTCGCGTCATCGGGCATCGCGTTGACGGGACTGTCGCGGTCACGGACCCAAAAGATGTTCGATGGCGGTGACGTTGCCCCACCTGTTGAAGCCCGGCCATCGATTTCGGATTTCAAACTTGCCAGTCCCCTGGACTTGGATTAGTATCGCGCCGAACCAGGGAGGTTTGGGAGGTGGGTGTTCTAAACGTACGTTGGTTTTGAATCGAACCCTTGGGAAGGGGTACGGGCGGGGGAGGGAGATTTGGCAGTCGTGTCATTGGCGGAGGTTTCGAGGGACCCATTCGGTAGCTTGGCGGAAGCAGACGCGTCACTGTCCTTCGCCGGCTCACCTTGGCGTACAATGACGCTGAGCCGCTCAATTTCCTCGTTGGCGAAAGAGTCGGATTCCGGAGCGGTCCGGCCGGCATCCCCAGCGTCGTTGGGAGCGCTCGTGCTCGGAGATATAGTGCCGTTCACATGGTTGATCTGTGCCGGTGGGCTAACAACGGGAGACTGCTCGTCTTGTGCGAAGTTTGAGGCCATCCGTGGACTGGCCGGCATATACCCGTTCGGGTTCATGGTCGGAACAAAAGGAGATTGCTGCGATGGCATCGCGGCCGGCATGGACATAACATGCGGAGTGTATCGCATGTTATATTGAGACTCGATCCCTTGAGGTTGAGGAGGTGGGGGAACGTGGACGGCCGAGTCGTCCGGCCCATCATTCTTGGCGGCTGGATCCCGCTCGTCCATGGCGAGAACCCATTGCTCCCATCCATGCCTCGGCCTCAAAATGTCCTTCCCTTCAGCCGCGAGTCGATACTCGATGGTCCTTGACTGGAAGCACGCGAGTTTGATCAGCTCCATGTCACTCGTCAGGCTCTTCAGTCGGTTGAAGTCTGCAATGACAGTGAGAGGGACGTATCCCCGCGAATCCATGTGCTTGCGCAGAAACATGTCCTTGCAGAGGTTATCCACCGAGAAGTAATATTCCAACTGTAAAGAGACCGAGGTAAACACGGCCATCTGCTCGAAGTAGGGAGACGCCCCGTAGGGAACCGCGCTCATGGGTTGCATATGCGGGTACTCATAGCTTCCGTATTGGAGGGGAGAAACGGCAGACATCGGTTGGGAAATCGATGCTCGCTGGTGAGTATCTGGAACATAGACCGATTGCGCGCGGCCGTTTGCGCCGCGATAGCCACGGGGAAGTTGCTGCGCGTAATAAGGGGTATGATCCGGGGTGTACGTGGGTGATCGAGGCATGGTGAACGGGGTCGAGGTCTGAATCGAAGGAAGGATGCCATTTGCATATTGGTTGGCCTGGTGCAGTTGATTCGGAAGGAAAGGAACCGATCCATGGCGACCTCCACGGCCGCCGCGAGAACGGCCTTCTCTCAAGGAGTGTGAATGGTAGGGCTCACCACGGCCCCTACCGAACCCCCGTGGCTGGAACGAGGGTTCGGATGCGTCATCCGGCTTGGGCACTGCTTCTGCAAAGCGGTTATGGTTAGCCTTCTGGGACTGAATTATGGATTGGGGATGAATCATACTTTCTGTAGTGGATCCAGCCGATGGGCGGTCCTGACCAGGGCGCGAAGGTAGCTCTCGGCTTGATGACGCCTCATCTTGCCATGAATCTCCCGCACCAGCACCGTCGGTTCTCCGGCTTTGTCGAGGGCGCGCGGCCGGCTGGTGCCGTGCGGACGGATTGCCTGAGTCCTGCGCGTCGGCCGACGCCAAACCCGCGTCCTTCTCGGCAGCGTGTTTCGATACACCCGGGCCACGAATGTCCCTTGATGGGCCTTTGTAGCCGTCGGAGCGCCCGTCCTTCGGTGCGGCTCCCTCGCTACTCGCCCTCCGCTCCTTTCCGGGGGAAAAGCTTCGGCCGGGCCGTCCGCGCCGGAAGCCTTCGCCGTTGGGGGCGCCATTCGGAGCACTCGCTTTGTCGGCGCTCAGAGGGCCGTTGGATGCATATGCGCCGCCACGGTGGGATGCATCTCTTCCACCTCGCGCACCCCCACGACCACCACGCCGCGATCCACTACTAGGTAGCGGAGTATTGAACACTACGGTCGGGATAAAATCGAGCTTGTTCCATTCATTCTTTCCGGACTTCAAAGGCTTCTCATCCTTCTCCGATGTGACGGTCGAGCGCTTCTTCTTATCATCATCGCGTGCGGTTTCCGGAGTGGGCCACGAGATCTGATCTTGGACGGGGGGTACTGGTGCACTTGACGACACACCGTCCCGCTCATTCAGCCTCGACGTCGCAAATTGGCCCTTCGTCCGGCCTCCTTCGTTGTCGGAACGCATATCTCGTCGTGCCCTGTTATCGTCACGTCGGCCTTGGTAGCCGCCTTTCGGGCCTCTGAAAGTGGGTTCGGAGTCCTCCAGCGGACCGGCCTGCTGTCTGGACTTTCGGGAAGTGTCCGGCTTTTGATGATCCATAGTTGATTCCGGAGTCGCTTTCGACGGCGATGATTCCTTTGCAGGCTGTGTCAAAGCTCGTGCGTGTGCCCGTTGCTGCCAGATGTTGACGCTGGGGATGGGTGCATCCTGCAAAGCGATCAACGACGGGCTTAATGACTCCTTCGAGTCACGCTTTCTGGCCTCCTGCGTTGTTTCTGCATGACGGTCGTCGTCCTCGTTGATGCTCGCAGAATTCTCATCTCTCGTGTCGTGGATCTTCGCGTCTTCGAAGGAGCCGCTATCCGCATTGTCCCCTTTGATAGATGGCGATTCTGAATCGTGGGCACCGTTCGTGGCCGGGCTCGAAGCATCCTCGCCTTTGTCCAGAGTAGGGGTGTGATCAGCCAGCGAGGACGGCGCGGTGCTGTCCTTCCCTGCTTCCGATGACTCGGTGTTCACGTCCAAGGCATCGTCACGCTCGCTTGGGGTTTGGCTTCGCGGTTTGAGAGCCGGGGTCGATGTTGATGATGCCTTTGCGGTTTGAGCCGCTGCGGCTAGTGATGCTGCCTTCCCACGCGCAGCTTGGGCATATGAGAACGGAACCGAAGCGGAAGCCGTCTCGACCAGGGATTTCTGCGTCTCCGCAGCCATGATGTTTTGAGTGAAAGTACGCAAAGACCGCCGATGCAACGCAATTAAGCTCCTCTCAACTAGAGGCGCTCAGGCGGAACTCCCAAGACCACGCTCCAACGGAGAATGCGACGATGTCGTCGCAGTCGGATCCAGGAGCAACTTCCGCCCTCACTGCACCAACTCCACTAGCCGAAAAGCGACAATGCCACTTTTCGGCTGTGTCTAGCAGATGGTCCGGGAAAGGGTGTGTCGGGTGCGTAGGCGTTTTTTCGAATCGCGAGAGCGGAGGATCACGCGCTCGACTCGCGGGTTGGGTCGATGTGGAATCGTGGAGAAGCGTGGTCTCCAAAGAAGTCGGGTACGAGCTGTGGAAGCCGGTGGGCAAGGGCCACCAGGATGATACCGATGGGTTCGAGAGCGACGAGTTAGCCGTCCGAGAGGAGGCTAAACGATGTCCAAAGAACCGGATATGGCGATGGACGTCGAGCTATCCGTTGACGGGAATCACAATCAACTGGATGGCCGAGTATATCGCCGAGGTCTGTCGAGGAACTTGGATGGTGGTCAGTGGCCGGAAGATTCTGGCGGAATGAAATACGGAAGGGATAGTAATGATCGGTAATTCGATGGTTTCTTGTTAAGAAAAAAATGCGTAGCAACATCCGGTGGTCGAGCAGTGCGTGGAAGACGTCTCGTGCAAATTCGTCCACCCCAGAGGAGCATCACCGCATCGGACCAACGAGGAAGCGAATCAAGCAAACAAGAAAACTCACTTTTTCCGAATCTCAAGTGCGATGAGAGAAGCAATAAAGATTGCGCGGGCGGATCCGTTGCAAGGTGAAGGAATTCTGCAGGAGCAGGCAGCGGGAGGAAAAAAAAGGGAAGCTTCCGAGGGAGCTTTCTCCAACTGCAGGTGAATATCACTGCTCCGTTCTGGGTAACGAAGGAAAGGCAGGAGTGATGGGAGAGATGGAATGGAAGCAGGGTTGACGGAAGACCGAGAGGGAGTGAGAGAGAAGAGGAGAAGGGGGACTGGAGATGGAGGTTGCAATGTACGGGATGGATGGAGTATGGGAGAGAGAGAGAGAGTAGTACGGGTAGGAGAGAGTATGAGAGTAATGAGTATGTGGGAAATTTGGTCGACGCTGCTCGGTTCGGAGCCCAGGGCCGCTGTACGGTAACAGCCGAAGAAGAATCGGATCAGGCAACCACTCTCCACTGCAATGGAGCTAAGGCAGCAATCTAAGGGAAAGGGAAAAGTGAAGGACGGCGATGTTTCGAGGATGTGTGACGACTGACGAGGAGAGAGGAAGCCGAAGAGAGAAACCGAAGCAGGTCACTCAGTTGTTGGTGGAGTAGGAAAGGAATTTTGTAAGGGCGGGAAACGGACAGAGGGAAGAAAAGTTGAAATCAGGCGCACACTTCAAGACACACACTTCAAGACACACACATCACACACTTGGAGAATCGAGATACACACCAAGCATTCACTTCCAGTAGTGGACAAATCAGATGCCGCAAATACCGACTTATGGAGCATCCGGGCGGAATATCGTTCTCCATATTCACTGCTTAAGCGGCATCACAGGCATCCCAGGCATCACAATTACACCGGAGCACAACGGTAAGACGGCACCTCTTCTCCGCCATCGTATTCTGTTGCTAACTGCTCACTGCTAAACTGCTCATTGCTAACTGCTACTTCGTAACAGCCAACAGTTTTCCATATCCAGTGTTCTTATTATCATCCGTAAGTAGTAAATATCCCCTAGCAAAATTGACCCCCGGAAATTGCTCAAGTCATGAACAAAGTCACTCATCTAAGAGTATTAATCCTCGCGGGAGTTCAGACCCCAGTGGTACCCTACCTATTTACCGGTAAGTACTATATATAATAATCCTATTACCCGATGGGTGATTCGGCGTACACCAAAATATTTCGGTCCTTGGGCATCTCGTCGTCTCCTCGTGACAATGGTATGGTAACTTACGTATACTACGATGCTTTGCTCCTCCTCACAATTTCCATATAGAATCTGCGACCGATATATAACACCTAAGTCCTGTCAACGTATGTATGTATTAAATGTCGCTCGACAGGTATCCTCTCGGCTGTCAGATGCTTTCTCGGCGCCGATTAGCATCCCCAATATATATGACCTGTTCCTTCCCCTCCGAGCCACCCGACAGCCACGAGACGGTTTAAATGCAAATGCCTCGTCCGGTGGTATCCCGATATAGATCCGTCATCTATCCCTCCGCTATAATTACTTCCTTCCTCCTGGACAACTTTTCTATCCTAAGAGCGGTGGACTCTCACAGTGCTTGCCCTTTCCGACAAGGCGGGCTCTTGGCGCCATGCATCCAAGTCAAAAAGACAAAAGCCTCACAGCTCAATTCACGCCTTCGATAGCAACCAAACCATTTCATTAGGTCATAGAATGAGCAATTCAATCCTCTCATATCATAGATCAAGTCTCCGTCATAAGCCCATGCTTTCGAATTGCGTTGAATTATCCCGCGGCTCCAGGGCACGCTGCTATCTGGGGTGCGGAGCCTGTAATCAAACATGAACGGCCCCTCCAAATTAATAATAAGGGCGCCTCCATATATCCGACATCAGCATGTCGACCGATCGCTCAATTCCAGCGCTCTGCCATTTTGAGAGGGGTGTCTATGCATCCCGGCGTGGTTATCCATGTCTCGTTCATCCTGCCTAGCGACGCCTATTACGTCCCTTCGTTCCACTTCGCAGTGGTCCTGCACAGTACAACTGTATCTATCAAAATGCAGAGGTTTCCTGCCCACGCCTTTCCTCCCGTCATTAGAGGACCGCAGCCGTCTCCTCAAGTCCAAAGCACCTTTCGGCATTTCTCCGCTCCACAGCGACACGGAACCACCGTCCCATTGTCATCAGGCGTCCACACCTCCACGTCGTCGACCTGCGAAGTCAACACCCCAGTCCCGGCTTCGTTATCTTCCTCGTCCTTATCCAGATAGTCGAACGAGAGCTCTTCGTTGGCGGGGATGTCTCGCCGGGCGAAGAACGCCAGGTCGTAGACTTTCTGGTCGTATTTATTGTACGACACCGTGTATTGCAGGACGTTCGGGTCGCACGAGTGGTTCATAAACCGCGTAGGCCCTCCCTTGTGCTCCCCATCCACGACGTACGGCGCTTCCTCTCGCTCGCGAAGCTCGTCCTCGAACTTATCCAGCGCGTAAAGGTAAGACTCCTTTCCTTTGCCACTCCGTGCTTCACGACGGTCCGCCTCTTCGTCCGTGATGATTTCGCCGCGATACGTGTCGATAAACTGACCTTTACGGATCGCGAGCGGGCACCGGAGTCCCCAGCCGCGGTCCTTCGTCTTGAAGATCTCGAGCGGAAGCTGGCGTCCATGTTGGACCATGCGATTGTTGCAACCCGGGCCGCAATTGCAACGGTGGTTGCATTCGTAAATGGGGTGGCGACCACGGAGATAAAACTCCACCAGACACCCATCCCTCTGGGCCACGCTCGTGTGATACGGAAACCGTTTTGGCAGTCCCGCCGTATCCCCGGGATTAGACCTATATCGTACCCATTGTTCTTCGTTGAGCCGACCTTCTTGCACCGCCGCGAACTCTAGGCATTCGCAAATGGACAGCTGGCACCCAATATTCTTGCCCATATTGGGCCGACATTCTTTCTGGCAGCCGACGATCGTCTCCGGGTCCACTCGGGTGAGCCCTTCCCGAAGGACGCACGCTTCGATGAATTCAAACCGCAAGGGAATGTCGCTTGCGTCATGGATGTTTTGATACGTGATCTCCGGACCCGGCAACGCCTTCAGTCGCTTAAGGATATGAGTGCGGATCTTGTGGGAAGCATGCCGCGTTGACGAGGTTGCCGCGACGGCCATCATCTCGGCTGTGGGAATCCGTTCGGCACATGGAAGTCTCAAAGACTGGTTCACTAGTCAGGACTGTATTACACGGCTTTAGAAAGAGCGCTCACCGATCGAACTCGTATGTGGTCCCCATCGGGATAAACCGTGCAGTTGTAGGACTCGCCTAAACTCAGCGCCTGGGCTTTCGCAGAGATGGACTCCGAACTGGAGCTCTGTACACTAGGTGATCGACTCTGGGGGTCATGCTCATAGAGGTGAGCCCGTTGTTCTGCATGCGGGCTTTTTCGTTTTAGATTACTGGTTTTGGAATGTATCCTGATAATAGTGAGTCATTGATATACCAATGAGGAAATGAAACGTGAGACCAACCGTTCTCGTCGAGCCTTAAGGTAGTCTTGCAGTAAGGCCAGGCAAAGTGTGAGCTCGGGAAGATAATGCCATGAGTAAGCATTCGGGGCAACGATCCGTTTCCATTTCACAAGATACTGCTCTTCGCCCTGTATTATGGCGGTCAGTAAGATAAGTAGACCTGAAAGGGTAAACAGGTCAGACTTACATCGAGTATCCGGTTACAAACGAGGGAGTCAACCTAAACGAACATCAATAGCCAATCAGTGATAAGGAACCTGAAACATAATGTGATGAGTGCAGGGGCGCCACATCAGTTTCGATACGGTATATTTCGATGCAAACCGCAAACAGAAATTGCATGTATTAGGGGGCTTACCTCGCGCTGTGCCACCTTTGCAGAGCCAAACCGGGGGACCACCACCATAACCTCCTTCATCGCCCGCGGTTTGGCTGATGATCTGCATATGGTTCGTAAGCTATCTATCATAATAATAATATCTGAACCGGTTGCAGGTACCCAAATTGATTGGTACCCCTGGTCGTGCTGAATGTCAACGCGTCAAGGATAGTTGACCACCGCCGCTATAAGACGCGTCTGCAACCCCCGGAATCAGTCTTCTGCTAGGCAAATCCGACTAGTAAGCTAGCGAAGATTTACTCTTCCCTGGTTTTAAGGTTGTTAGGAAACGCGGGGTTGAGAGGTAAAGGAACTGGTAAAGCGTAAGTTTAAAGTAGAGATTCGGTAAGTGAAGGTTGTTTGGCATAAGTAAATGGAATTGTGGCTCGTGCATGCGTACGGATATCACATGACCCGTTTACGTACGCGCCTTCCTAATAAGGAAGTATCTTAACCTATAAGCCACTTAATAGATATGGCGGTAGGTGTCACGGATTGATACTGATGATGTGAAATCAAGGTAGTAACGTAACAAGTTAGATTCATCTATGAAGAGGGGAGAATCTACGTCTACGTCAACAGGAGGTTGTAAAGTCTACAAGTGATGAAGTGGTAAGTCCCGTGACCCAAATCTGGTGACTTGTGCATGGTGGAAGTCCACTCCATCACAGTAGGATCCTATACCCTCCGTAATCCTAATTCCTATGATCCTATCGCAGGATCTGGTGTAAGATCGTGTTATGGGTTGAAACCCTTGGTTGACTAAGGCTGAGAGCCTAAGCCTGATTAGGTTAAAGGTTGATTCAGAGTTCAAACCTCTTCGATGTAAACGAGAAGGCTTCCCCTTCTTGTTCTCTTCTTTAGCTTAATCTAGAATACCTTTGGCTACGTGTATGTTGTGTGCATCCAGCTACCGTGCCGTAACAGATCCTACGAAAACCAGAAACCCTGAGATGGTTTGACCACGGAGATCGCGATAACCACTTCCATTTATTGCAAAGCTAAAGAAGAAAAGCTATCTACTATGCGTGCGCGATGTTCAAGACCTTGACAGTTGACCTAGTCACGTGACTATCATTCAGGTAACAGGCCACAGGCCTGGAACCATAACAAACCCGTCTGATATGTCATGTGTACAGTAGCTGAATAAGGTAATTCTGGCTAATTTTCCTTTAGTTTACGAAACCGACGGTATAAATTTACCAGTGTCGAGCATTAGAATTCTCCTTCTTATATAATATGGTACCATTCAGTTGGCTCTACGCCTCTAATTACCAGAGAGACTGGTTTTCAAATTTTCGTTAGCTCCAAGGGTGTCTGACATGGATTGGGCTGTGGTACTTCCCGTCCGCATCTTATGCCTGATGCCTCCCCCACAGATAATCAACCGTGAGATGGTTCGACTGCAAAGGTTGCAAGAACCGACTTTCATTTATTGCAAAGCTAAAGAACATGAACTATCTACTATGCGTGCACGATGTTCATGAGGTTGACAGCTTACCTAGTCACGTGACTATATCTTCAGGGGACAGGCCACAGGCCTTGAGCCATTACAGCCCATCGATCAATTAATTCCATCCTTCAACACCATACATCGTCCTGACGCCTTTCTGCTATGTCAGCATCAGCAGTATTATTATCTTCCAGATGAGACTATTTACTTGTTCCGACTCCAGGGTCCTTCCTGTTTGCGCTTTCGCCTGTGTCCAGTAAGACGGGTTGCCAAATCAGGTATAAACCGTAGGATTGGCCTATATCATTTCATAAGGGGTCTAAAACAAGGCCTTAGGGTGTTCACTGTGTTTGTTGACTGTTCAGAGTGAATCAGTGTAATAATCATGATGAAGACGGTGGATTGGTGGACACGCAGACCGCAGCTTGAGTCGGATGTTGGCATGAGTCATGCATGTCCATCCTTTTTATGTTTCTGACTCAGTCGCAAAGATTTTTGGCATCGGACATCTTCAACTGACAGCGGAAACCTTTGCTACACACTGAGACTATCCGAACGCAAGCGACCAATTTAAACCTCCTAATAATAAGAAACCTCTGGTTGTGTGTACCAATCAGATCCGAAATGGCCTCTTCAACGCAGAATGCTCCCTTTCTCAAGGAGCTTGCATCTAGCAGTAGGTCTGCCCGGCGACATGGAAAAGAACTGCGCTCACCGAACCCACAGACAAGAAGAGTCGAGACGGTGCCCTGGAAAGTCTCCGTAGATTTTTACGTAGCCGTGCGGAAATCGATGAGATCGAGTTTCAGAAGCTATGGAAAGGCCTTTTCTTCTGTGCGTACCGAATTGAAAACCCGACATGGCTCGAAAATTATACTAACAGATTTCAGGCATGTGGATGAGCGACCGCGCGAAAGCACAGCAAACTCTCGCGAATGACTTGGCCGAGCTGGTGAATGTTGTCCCAGCGGAAAAACGATTGGTGTTTCTACGCGCGTTTTGGAAGACGATGGCACATCACTGGACTAGTATCGATGCATTGCGGTATGGAGCGAAATTCGCACGTGCGTCTTCTACGGGAACTAACTGTATTCGCAGCATGAATAAATTCCTTCTGTTGGTGAGAAGGTACCTCCATGCGACATTTCAACAGATGTCCATGGGATCATGGGGACAGGAAACGCTTATTGATGCTCATTTGTCCCTCCTGGAGGAAATCCCTTTGAATCCATCCGACCCGAAGGTCCCCGATGGCATGCGATATCATGTGATTGACATTTATGTCGATGAGCTAGACCGTATCGATGAAAGTCGAGATGGGTCGATGCCGCTTCCGGTGGTGCTACGGCCACTAGAGACGCTCAAAGCCAAGACTAGGAACAAGACGGTCCGGAAGCGAACCAGCGAGGCCCTTGCCGACGAACGCCTGCAAAATTGGCAGAGCGTGGAAGGCGATGAATCCGAATCCGGCGACTGAGCGCAAACAACGTTCCCACCATCCATCCCCACGACAGGACTTACTCCGGCCACGGGGGATCTTCCAGTCGCTGAAAGCACGCCACCCACTTCGTCCCTCCATTCCGCTCCACTTTCTTCCCCTCCTCCGTCTCCGCCTTCATCACCCGCACACACTCGTCCCCCTCCAGCTCCTCCTCGCCCAGCCGCCGAAACAGCGGGTTGGCACTGAACCCGTCCACCATCCACCGATGCAGATCCTCCACGTCGGTAATCGTATACACGACCCCGCCCACCCGCAGCGCATACGCGTATTCGGCCGCGAGCGTCGGGCTCACGATGCGAGCCTTGTGCTTGCGGTGCTTGAAGTGCGGGTCGGGGAAGCAGAGGAAGATTTTCGACAGCTGGCCGCGGCCGAAGTAGTTGGGCATGAATTTCATAGTGTTGCTCCGGATGCAGGCGATGTTTTGATAGGGCGTCAGTGTGGCCGTTTCCGTTTCCGTCTCGGTCGAGCTGGTGGGGTCGCCCTTGCGGGCTTGTCCTTGGAGAGCGCGGATCTTCTCTTGGACGAACTCGGTGACGGAGGAGCGGATTTCCAACCCTAGGCGGAGTCAGCGAGGGTGCCAGTCATATGGATCCGACAAGGAATTGTACCTAGTATTAAAGTCTGCGGAAGCAATGGTGATAGCGCAAATAGCAATCCTCCGAATCCACAACCTATGTCGGCAATCTCGACCCCTCTGTAGGCAGCTGGTGTAATATTTTCGCCATTTTGAGGACTATCTTCTGCACTCTGCACTTCCTGTCCAACCTGCGCGACACCTGGATACAACTCCCTCCAGTTCCAGGCTTCAGGTTTCTCTGGACTGCCAACAGAATTAGTTCTGCTCCTTATATATGTCGATAGAAAAATGGACTGCTACAGTACGATGTCGAACACCAATAATCATAGGAACGAAAAAACTTGGAGAATTCTGACTGGCTACGTTCGATCGAAGAGAAATTCGTACAAAAAGAAACTCAGGACATACTAGCTCAAAGCATGGTCCGAAAACACATTCGCGTGGGCTCTCTGCCTGTAAAATCGTTTGCTTGGGAGTCCGATTTCCCCAGGGCTTGCCGCATGGCGAGTGGCACGATATTCGTCGCGTCTATGAGCCTTCTGGGATTTCTGGGATTTGGCTCGCGTCATGACTCCTTCCAAGCAAAAACCCGAACGCCAACCAGGAAATTCAGTGCGTTGAAGGGCTCTGATATAGGTGGAGGATCGGATTCTTCTCGGTTATTTGAAGGGGAACGTTGCAATATGGTCGATAAATCAATGCGCGACTCATTCACAACGGAGAAATCTCATTCCCAGAAAAGGATTGACGTTGGGATTCCGTCACTCTGATTGGTCCAAATGGCTATGATAGCTGTCGCCTCTCCACCTCCCCAATCGCTGAGTCGCTCGCTCTTCCGGTTCGAGTCGCAGGAATCCCGTGAACCACTGCGCTAACCAGACCACTGCCGTTACATGCATGCAAAATAAACATTCGAATCGCCAAGGACATCCCTCATGGCCATGTGAAACCCGTATACAAGTGACTTCCTCAGTCCTCTTAAACCCCGTTACCAATCCCATAGACACAACAAAACAATGCCAGTGTCTAATGGACGTGCTACCATCAACCCGACCCCAAAACTTGCCTCCAATAGAGGCGTCCCTCCGGCGTTAAATCGTACAAGAACGAAGAAGGACCTCCCGCTAAACGTCAGAGGCTGGACAATTCGCGATACGCGACCGTGTCGTCCGAACCGCCTCCGTCTATGCCATCATCGAAATTCATACGCTGGTTGAAACCACCCATGCTCTTCGACCGGCTTCAATTCCAATTGCTGGTATCTGTGACGCGCGTTAGCATGTGCACCCATTCCGCAGAGACGGCGAATTAAAACGAACTTTTCGCTCTTGGAGTGGAAGTAGATCCCGCTGATGGTTCCCGTCACCTGGTTGAAGCAGATGTAATAAAACCCCTCGAAGCTCGCCCCGGTGAGGGTCTGGATGCGATGGTCGGGGACGAGGAAATGTTCCTTCCACCGCATGAACAGGTGTTCGCGCTGGGCGAAGTTCTTGTAGCTGAAGTCCGCGCGTTTGGCGGCCTTTGCCAGCGGTTTCCACGCGGGGAAGCGGCCCCAGTGCTGCATGTCCGTCTTCTCCGAGGAGCCCCAGGTTTCGTTCTTGGTGAGGAAGGTGTGTTTCGTGCCGATGATTTCGGCGTCGAAGTACGTGGTCAGCATCGGGTGGTCATCCGTCAAACCTGATGAGTGTCAATATATCGACAGGCGTCCCGGATAGGGTGGGACCAACCTTGTATTCGTAGATATCCGCAGAGAAACGAGTCGGCGATGTCAACGTGTATGATCTCAACCTGGACGTCGTACTGCTGTCGATCCGACTGTTGCGCGCCGTGGAACTTGGCGCCCGGACGAAGATATGACGACGTCGTGTTGGGAACGAACTCCAAGCCAGAATGTCAGCGTTCATAGGGGTGGACGCGGCATGGCAGTCATACCTTTGTCTTCGGAGAAGGGGGGCTTCGTATTGAAGGTATGGGTTCCTTGATATCGAAGGACGAGTCGGATTTCTCCTTGGCCTCGGACTGTCGTTTCTGCTCGAGCTCGTGCATCAGACGATAAGCCTCTTGCAAGCGCATCTCCTCCCCCTTCAATTCCACATTACGTGGGCTCTGTAGCAATGCGACCAGCTCGTCGTGGGTGCATGGTGAATCGATGGGCGGTGTGGGCTCTTGGATTGGCCGGGTATATTCCTCGTTGCGATCGATGTTTGGGGTGGAAGGCGACGATACCTCGTCTAGTGCAATTCCCCGTACGTTCGCATCGCGCGTATCGTCGGGTGGGCAAGAAGGGCGCACCGTGCCGACGACGATCGGTTCGAGCGGAGGGGAGAGAGGGACATCACTCGGGGTAGGCATAGCGGCGTTGGCGATGGGGCTCATTGGGCCCGCGCTGGCGAAAACATATATAGAGTAAAGGAACGAATTGGATTGCGATTGAGGAGTCGACGAGGGCAAGTGTTGAGAGAGTCGCAACGGTTCGGAGGATGATGAGGCTCTAATACAGGGTACGAGAAAGGTGCCGAACGGAGGGAATTCGGAAAGGTGACGTTGGACAGGGCCGCTAATCGAGAGTTCAAGAGGGCAAGGACCGCGATTCCTGGGGTGCTGACTGCTGTCAAACTGACAGATTCGGCTCGGATTGAGGGCCAGGTGCCGGAGAAGTGCGCTAGGGCTGAATGTAGGAGGCTTATGTGGTGTGGACAAGAGGGAGGGCCTTGTGTACCAAAGGAGAGAATAATATAGTCGAGGGTTGGAGGACGCAGAGGAGGACAAGGACGAGGAGGTGGAGGTGGAGTGATAAGACGAAGATGGAGGATTATTCCAGACAAGTGAGGTAAGACTCGACTTTAGGAAGGATTGATCTGGTCTGGTCTGATATCTGATATGATCAGATGGACGCGGTCGAGGAGAAGAGAGACAGAGGGAGCGTGAGGGTGAGAGTGAGTGATAGTTGCGTGACAGTGAGTGCTGCAGAGGATCGATTCGCTGGCGGCTTACGGTCGGAGTCGCCAGCCGGCCAGCCGGGCAGGTGGACAATTTGGGCAGTTAGACACGCTACGATATTAATGCGAACTGTGAAGCTGGCATAACCGCCATAGAATCTATTAAACCGATGATCCTAATGATAATTACCTGCAATGAGTGATTTAAGTCCGGTATTAAGTGGGGGACGCCCGATATAAATCCACCCCGTAAATCCTGACTCCATCATCGCAGGCGACGTCACTTTGCTCCTCCACTTTTTAGTCCCACCTATTCCCTAACCCATCCAAGAACTTCCTTTCTGATATTCCGCACGGAATACCTCCACTCCCCCAGACTCTCCCCGCTGGATAGCGGATAGGTACAGAGAATCAATCCAGGCAAGCCCTTGAAGGGCCATGCTATCCGAAACCCGAATCCACCATGCCGCTCGATAGCAATGGCGTCAACAAACTCGACTACCCGACCGACTCGCACACTCCCCTCCTCCACCCCAACGGCCACTCACACGGACACAGCAGCACTGGCGATAGCCAGACCCCTAGCCTTTCCGGTGATTTCTTCGAGCAGGTCGCCGAAGGCATCCAGGAACGCGACCGCGCGGTGTTCAACCGCGAGATGATGCGGTACGTGAGCTTCGTCTGGGCGGTGCTCAACTGCCTAGGCGCCGGCTCCATCACCAGCTACTCGCTGTACGGCCACCTGTTCCAGGAACGCCTGCGCTACTCCCAGCTGCAGGTGAACCTAGTCTCTATCACCGCCGAGATCGCCATGTACCTTCCCGTCTCCGCGTTCGGCTATCTCTGCGATCGCTACGGTCCGCGTGTGCCGTCGGCGCTCTCGGGGATCTTCTTCGGCGGAGGATATCTGTTGGCTGCGTTCGCCTACCGGAGTGGACCGCCAGCGGAGAGAGGGGGCGAGGGATGGCCGTTCTGGACGATGGTGGTGTCGTTCGTCGGGGTTGGGCTGGGGACCAGCTGCATGTATCTCTCGGCCGTGACGACATGCGCGAAGAACTTCGGTCGGGGGAAACATAAGGGCATCGCGTTGGCCGTGCCCATCGCCGCGTTCGGATTGAGTGGCATGTGCCAGAGCCAAGTCGGGAGCCGATTGCTGTATGAACGAACGCCCGACGGAGGCCGTGGAGACGTGGATGTATTCCGCTTCTTCATCTTCCTCGCCGCCGTGCTCTGCGGGCTGGGGATTGTCGGATCGTTCATATTGACCGTGGTGGACGAGGAGGAGATGATCGACGAAGCCATCGAAGAATTAGAGCGGAGCGGCCTTCTCGATGAGCATCAGTTCTTCCGGCAGGCGGCCGACCAGCACGGATACGGCTCCATCCCGCGGTATGATCTGTCGGAGTCGCAGGAGAACATGATCAGCGACACGGCAGACGTGATGCAGACGCGGGCGGAAGAGGAGCGACGGCGCAAGAATTGGCTGCTGAACGAAGAGACGCGGATGTTCCTCGCTGACAAGACGATGTGGTGGTTTGCGTCGGGATTCTTTCTGATCACCGGCCCCGGCGAGGCCTTCATCAACAATTTGGGCACCGTCATTCGGTCCTTATATCCTCCATCGGTCCCCACGACAAATCTCCCCACGTCCGCCGCGACGCACGTCTCCATCGTGGCCATCACGTCGACCATCGCCCGTCTCCTGACGGGTACGCTGACCGATCTCCTCGCCCCACCAACCTCCCACCACCAGCATCGCCAGCGTCCGACCTCCATGATCTCCTCCATCCACTCCCTACCCTCCCAATCGAACGGTCTCAGCGTCTCACGAATGGCCTTCCTCATCCTCTTCGCCCTCCTCCTCTCCGCCGGCCAGCTACTCCTCGCCTCAGGCCTGGCTCAGGGTCGTGCCGGCGTGTTCGCCGCCGTCTCCTCCCTCGTCGGCGCGGGCTACGGCGCCGTGTTCTCCCTCGTCCCCATCGTCACGTCCGTGGTGTGGGGCGTGGAGAACTTCGGCACCAACTGGGGGATCATCGCCATGGTACCCGCGGGTGGCGCGGCGTTGTGGGGGTTGGTGTACTCGGCGGTGTATCAGGCGGCGGCGTCGAACGGGGCAGCGCAAGGGGGAGTGGAGGCGCAGGATGATGTCATGTGCTATGGAGCGCGGTGCTACGCGCCGACGTTTTGGGCGATGGCGGTGAGTGTGTGGTTGGCCTGTGGCCTGTGGGCGTGGGCGTGGAAAGGACCTGGAGGATGGAATAAACGGGGGATCGCGGTGTAGGCGATCGATTATCAGCATAGAGCCGGTTGCATGCAATAGCGTAGGCGTTTTGATATTGCTTGGAAGCGGGTCATGGCATAGGTCCGACTAAATTTGTACACAATCAACCGACGCCGCCACGCATTGAATAGATCTCGTATAGCATTTTACAATATCGTATACGCTATCCACAATGCGAGCCAGGTTATAATTCCCCCCAACCGCAGTGCCGGCCAGATCGATCGAGCTGCGGACGCAGTGAACACGACCTCCGGCACACCCTCTTGCTCGGTGCCGTCCACCGCGCAGACCACCTTGCAAGCCTTCGCTCCCTTCCTAGGTACCAACTGATGGATCTCTGGTGTACTTTCCTCCACGGAACTCAGGCTCCGCTTGGACGAACCATAACGGCCTCCCCGTCCCTCACCGGGTCCCTCGACCGGCCCACTCGTATTAAACACCATCTGCACCCATCCAACATGCAACTCCGCCGAACCGCCCACATCCATCTCCCCACTCCACTCCCCCCCGTCGCTCCACATGTTCAAAATCAGCCCGCTCGGCTTCCGCGGCACGCTATAGGTGTTCTCCGCCACCTGCTCCCCATCCACGTACCACCGACTCACCCCCGGCACCCAATCGATTCGCATCTCCCTCCAATCCCGCCACTCCGGTAACCTCGGCGCCTCGATGCTCGCGCCCGCCACCTCGTCCCCCGTCTTATCCAGCGACGGCTGGTTCGTGAACCGCCATGTGCGGTTCGCGTCGCCCGTCAGGATCTCGATGTCCGACTCGTTGGTCTCGTCGAAGAAGGTGAAGAGGCCGGCGACAGCACCGGGGTCGCCGCGCACGCGGGCGAGGAAGCGCAGGGAGGCGTGGAGGAGGTTCTTCTGGAGGTTTTCGATCTCGGCAGCGGATTGGAAGTCATCGAGACGGGACGTGCGGAGGGTGAGCCATGTTGGGGGGATGGAGTTGTCGTCTGATTCGGTTGCGTTTTGGGCTACGATCTGAGGTTAGTTGTAGTTTGGGGGAATAGCCGAGGCTGGATACGTACCGATATAGACGTTCGCTGGCGAATTCTGCGTACGGATGGGGAACTCGTCCGTTGCCTCCTTGGTCCAATCTTGGATATCCCAGTCTGCATTCCAGTCACTGCTGTTCAGGAAGCTTTGGTCCCGCGACAGCTCGTTTCCGGAGGAATCCGCATCCGTGAGGAGACGTGGGGCTCGCGTGTACTGGTCTGGAGCGGTCGCAAGGTTTCGAAAATCCCAAAAGCGGTGATATGTGAAGTATGAAGGCTCGGAGCCGGAGGTGGTAACATAACAGTCACAGGACGCAGAATTGTCCTTCAAGTCTCTTGACGCTGCCAGGGCAGGTTGCAGGAGATGGAACAGCGGAGCGAAAGCAAATAAAAACATTATGGTATTAGAATACAGATATTGTCCGGGGAATAACCAAGTCGCAGAATTATGAAACCATCGCTATACCTGACGTGATGCTAGATTAAAAATATGCTATACAGAAGAAAATTCGAAGGTGGGTGAAGATAATAATCAAATCACACGCATACGGGTTCCGAAAACGATTTGGAGGTTGATGAGGGATAGTTAGTAAAAGTTAGCTAACGGATCCACGCATGATTGAGGCTAAGCACATATTCGATGACACAGCATCATAAAGTAGAATCTTCAAGCCAGGTGAAGTCGTGGACATTATTGTTTAGGCATTGGCGGAGAAAGACATGAAATAGAAAATATCAAGGGGCGAAGCGGCAGAGGGCCAGACCCTGACCCCCTTTTTTCCCGTTTTGGATACGCGCCGTCCATAGCCAATCACGTGTCGCGATACAAGACTTCTTCCTATGGCTGTGACGAAAAAAAGGTCCAATGTCTGAATTTCTGTAGGAGCACCGACGGTATATTAATATCGAACGCGGATTTTCTTAGCATCTGGTTCCCTAATTTCGGTCAAGAGGAAGAACGATGTCCATCTACCATAGACCAAGTCAAATCGATTCCTTTCTACCGGAGTACCGATATCGAGCCGGAGGGACGAGCTAGGGATTCTGCCATTACAACTTAGGCTCGAACCCATATTCCCTCAACTTCTGCCGCACCCTCTCCCTCTGCTGCTCAAACTTGCCCAGGATCGCCTGATTCCTCTTATTCTCATTGCGTCCCATCTGCTGTAGATGCACCTCGTCCGGCCCGTCCGCAATCCGCACAGTTCGCATGTGCGCCCACATCGACGCTAGCGGCGTATCCTGCGACACGCCCGCTGCGCCGTGGCTCTGCACCGCGCGGTCGATCACCTGAAGCGCCATGGCCGGCACCATGACCTTCGCGGCGGCGATCTCGCGCTGCGCACCCTTTGCGTCGGTCTCGTCGATCTTGATGGACGCGTTCAAGACGACGAGCCGCGCAGCGTCGATCTCCATGCGGGACCGGGCGATCCATTCCATGATGACGCCGTGCTGGTTGAGCTGCTTGCCGAAGGTCTTGCGGTTCGGGTCGTTCACGCGAGCGATCATCAGCTCCAACGCGCGCTCGGCCTTTTTGGTGTTAGTGTTGACTTATATCATATCATTGATGGGATACGTACCGAGCCGAGAGATCGCATGGCATGATGGATACGGCCGGGACCCAGCCGTCCTTGAATGATCTCGAAGCCACGGCCTTCTCCAAGGACCAGGCTCGACGCCGGGACACGAACGTTGTCGAAGGTGATCTCAGCGTGTCCATGAGGCGCATCGTCATAGCCGTAGACGCTCAAGTAGCGTTCGATCTTAACGCCTGGAGTTCCAGCCGGCACCAGAATGACGGAATGCTGTTCCCAGGCGCTCGCTGCATTCGGGTTGGTCTTCCCAAGCACGATATAAATCTTGCATCGGGGATCGCCCGCTCCGCTGCTCCACCATTTCTTCGCGAAAGTCAATATCTTTGATCAAGTTGCTCCGCTTGCGGTTTACTTACTTGGCCGTTCAACACGTATTCGTTGCCTTGGCGTTCCATTTTCAACGAGATATTCTTCGCGTCCGAGCTGGCCACTTTGGGCTCGGTCATGAGGAAGGCCGAGCGGATCGTTCCATCAAGGAGCGGCGCGAGCCATTGTTTCTTCTGCGCATCCGTCCCATACTTTGCGAGGACCTCCATGTTCCCCGTGTCGGGAGCAGCGCAGTTGACAGCCTATCGAAGTTACTTACAGCACCCCTTGATATGTCATGGTCGGCTTACCTCCGATGCGAGCGACGATTTCCCGAGAATCATCGCGATGAGTCCATACTCAAGGTTGGTCAACCCGGCGCCTTCGGCGTAGTGCGTCTTGCTTAGGAAGATGTTCCACAGCCCGAGCTTCTTCGCCTTGGCCTTGAGGTCGTCGATCACCGGCGGATACACGCCCCATCTCTGGCCCTGCTTCTCCATCTGGGCTCGCGCTACGGCGTCGGCGGGCATGCCTATATATACTTAGTCGATTGTTTTGCGGGTGCTGGAATTCCCTCGCTACAAACTGACATTCTTCCTCGACGAACTTTTTGACCTAGGGACTCATTGTCAACTCGGATCGTCCAGTCATTTCAGGTTGAGGACCAACTTACGAGATCAAGTGTATCCCTCGCCTTCTGGCTCACGCGATCCGCTACAAGTGGTGGAATATCTGCAGACATGGTTGCTGAATGATGTTATACAATCGCTAAACGGCGGACGCGAGACTATGATTCTGCTATCACCTCGGTGCTGATGCAGGACAATTGGTAAGTGGACGGACCCGAGACTCCATCCTCCTTATATCTCTCCCTAGATGTCCAAGCTTCGGTTGTTCCCACTCGGTCCCGCCCCCCTCGCTCAAGGGTCGTTAGCTAGATGCGGGGTGCATAATCCCAACCGACATTCCTGGAGACGAGTGAGACCGCCCAATAGAGCAAAGCCTCGGTCACCATCCGCGTTGGTGGATGTCATTGGTGGATAGAGGTTTGTAATAACAGGATCGTTTTGAGGTGCGAGCTTACAGTAACCTAGTACATACTGGACAAGGGAGTAGGTAGCGCATGGAACAACTGAATCATGATTATTATACTACTAGAATATACGAAATGGGAAGATTAGAGACAGTAACTAAAGACAGTGGCGGGAGCCCGAGTAAGAGACCTGCCTTTCCTCCTTAGAGCGTACGAATCAGAACCAAAGGACGGTCCGATTAAACGATGGTCTCCGAACACGGAGGTAATTACGGCAACGATATAGTTTATCTAGGACACTAGAAGACTAGACCTAGGAATATGACATCCCTCTACCCCTTCTCTCCTACACTATCTCGCCTAGTTATACATTCCCTTCTACTAACTATATGGTCTCAACCCTCCAATCCGACGCTGTGCCCGAGTAAGAGCAGCGTCACTCTGGATCAGAACCTAGAAGAACAGAGGCATCCAGCAAACTGACCATATTATTCCCTTAACACAGTTATAATATTTCCCTATGTTAGCCGCAGATATAGTAGCTAGAAGACCGAAGATAGAAAATGCAGATGCAATGCAATGGGGGCACAAGGCCACAAGGCACCAATGTATGTAATTAGTCAGCTTAGGTAGTTCTCCACATGGGCCTCGCTGAGAGGCCTGACGGGCGTATGAATCTCTCTCTCTCTCTCTCTCTCTCTCGCTTCTTTTTCCCCCCTTCTTTAGCTTTACAATAGAGTCTACCTCTGGTATTCGAACACTCTTCGTATCGAACCGTGACATCTTGATCTATTTAATTGCCTACAGCAATCCAATATCACCCAGGACTACCAATCCTTGACAAATAGAGTAATTTAAATTGTCGTGGGCCTAAACCACGAAGGATTTGGTAAGCTAGTAACGCTGTTAAATTACTAAAGAGGAAAGGAAAAGATCTCTCTTACGATCTGTTATGGGTTGAAACTAGGGTGGGTGTAAGAAACAAATGAAATAAAGAGGAGCCTGTAAATTACCGAATTAATGCAAGAAAGTAGTTTATTTCTTTCCATTATTTTCTTATCTAATTAGAAATCTCGTAGAAGCCCTTTGGCAGTTGGATTTCTCGCCCATAAACTTTCATGCCTTAGGCATAAACATACAGTGCGCTAAACAAATTGGGTTAGCGTTTTTTGCGAAATTTACATCGTATTCTTTGTTTCTTACATAAATTTGGGGGTTTCTTCGCAACAAATGTTTATTGCATGAAATTTACCCACCCTAGTTGAAACCCTTCGTGCTTGGTTGGCTAAGGCTAAGAGCCTAAGCCTGATTAGGTTAAAGGTTGATTCTGAGTCCAACCCTCTTCGATGTAAACGAGAAGGCTTCCCCTTCTTGTTCTCTTCTTTAGCTTAATCTAGAATATCTTTGGCTACGTGTATGTTGTGTGCATCCAGCTACCGTGCCGTAACACGATCTACTATTTATATCTGTGGGCAAACGGTCTACCTATCCTTCCTGCCTTAGGCCGCAAGGCCATAATGATAATACACAGACTGGGCGAAGCCCAAGACTGTCACACGCGAAATCCTTTTCTCTTTTATTAGCATCCGAATAGTAGTACGGTAGTCTTATGGATACTAAATTGATCGAACTAGAGCTCTGATATACGTATTAAATTCAGTCCTCCTCCTCCCTCGAATACCAATAGAATAATAAGCCTTTTATGACGCTTATGTGAATATAATTCGAGCACTCTTTTTAAAAGACATACGAAAACTGTAAACTCTAGCTTCGTTCCTCCAGGCTCTCTTTCAGCGACACCCGCTTGCGGGTTCGCATCTCTTGTTTGAAGGGGAGTGTTAGAAGCAACAACCATCATCTAGGTCAGGTGATACATTCCTAATCGGGAATGTTCCTATGTAAATAATCCTAAATCATCATTCCTGAGATAGATGCGAATTAATCAATCAATTCATGAAATAACTTCAACAGCCTTCCCATCTCCCAAGTCGTCAAGCCTCTCGTCCGGGAAACAAAGCCTGCCAAGCACGTCTCAACCGAAGTCCTCTACTACAAAGACCCTGGCGATGGAAGCCCACCGCCTCCTGCCTACGTTGGCCAGCCAAACACCTTCATCCGTCCTCCCCACCCCCAGGACGTCCTTATCACCGACGTCTCCGACGACGAGGACAAATACACCCTCGACAGCCACGGCTTTGCTTTTGTGAAGAACCATCCCAGCGCCGAGAAGGACTTCGTCGACGACGCCCAGATCAAAGCCGTCTACTACCCCGAGACCGAGCAACTCCTGAAGGGACTCGTGGGTTCCCCCCAACCCCTATCTATCCTCAATCCAATCAATCCAAAGCTGACCGTCCGTCCCCCAGCACCGGCGCCACTCGCGTTTCTCGCGTTTTTATTTTTGACCACACCATCCGCCGCGCCGTTGCCGACGACCGCGCCGCACCCAGCCAACCGCGCGGTCCGGGCTTCCCCGTGCACATTGACCAGTCCTATACCGCTTTGGAGAACCGTGTCAAGTACCACCTGCCCGACGAGGCCGAGGCCCTGCTCCAGAAGCACTTCCAGATCATTAACTAAGTTCCACTCCGTGTGAATATAGGACTATGTTTATGGTTTACTGACTTCTCGCAGGTGTGGCGGCCAATTAAGACCATCCTGAGGGATCTACTGGGGCTGGCCGATGCGCATTCCGTGCCTAAGTCCGATTTGGTTCCGTCTAAGCTGATTTATCCTGATCGCAAGGGCAAGACGTATTCGGTGCGGCCCAATCCTGCCCATCGCTGGTACTTTAAGTATGCCCAACGGCCAGATGAGCCGTTGTTTATCAAGTGTTACGATTCGTTGAATGATGGCCGCGCGAGACGGGTTCCCCATTCCGCTTTTGTGAATCCCGCTCATGTGAATGAGCCTCCCCGGGAGAGTATCGAGGTGCGAGCGTTGGTGTTTTATGATTATTGAACCGTCTAGTCACCCATTAGTAGTCTTTGAACTTTTGGACATCATGTCCCCTTTCCTATACTTTATGAACCTAGGTACCTTCACAGTCCTATTTCAATCACCCAATCTTATGCATGTGAAGAAGGAATGCTATGAACATGATTGATATTTCTCTACTAATACTATGCAGTAGTTCATCCGACTACTAGTACTTATACCTCAAATTACGCCTAAAGACGCGCCCGTTCAGTAGCCAATACTGGATATTCGCTCCGGCAGCACAAAACAGCCCAAACGTCACAAGCGCAATAATCACAGCCCAGCCAACGGGATAGTTGGGCGCGTCCTTCTTCTGGAACAGCTGGTAGCCCACGACACCCGACAGATTCGACGACACCATGAAGAGGGCCATGGCGATGGCCCGTTGCGCCGCCGTGCCAGCGTTGAGAGCCACCCAGGATGCGTTTACGGGATCTGTGGTACGGCATGATTAGTTCTCAGTCATCGTGTATAGGGGTACCGGGGTTCCAAAACTTACGGCCTGGCGCTGAGAAGATGGTTGCGAGCGTCAGGAATGCGAACCGGGCTTGTGAATTTTTGGAATGTACGAGCATGCGGTTTCCAATGACAATGCCCCAGTAGATCAGAAGACCACCAAAGACGAATGGGCCGCGCACCTTGGTGCGGTCGCTACCACACCAAAAAACATTAGTTTTCCAGTTTCTCAAACTCTACCAAGAAAGTAGGTACATGGGTAGGGGTACTCACGCTCCCCAAGCCCAAATGATGCAGACAACCATGGAGCACCAGGAACCAATGGAGACCAGGGCGTTGGCTTGGAGCCGGCCGTAACCAAAGGAGGCGACGATGGTGGGAGAGTAGGAAGTCAGAGCGGCCATGGGCGCTATGGCCGAGATGGTGAGCACCAGGTGTGGGTAGACTGTCCAGTTTGCCAACTACAAGCATGTCAGTTGGTTCCCGGCGCTTGACTGATTGCAAATTTGTATAGCGAAACCTACCGCTTTCTTGAGTTCGGACCATTCGATATGCGGCCTCTGTATCGCCTTGGACGGGTCATCGAGCAGGACGCGGTTCACCAGGATGTGTCGCTCTCGGTCATTGAACACGGTGAAACCGAGCAGGGATACGGGGTCTTTGGTCGACTTAGGGAAGATGGCGAACCACAGGAAGCCGACTAGAACAGTAAAGGTGCCTTCGATTATGAACAACCATTGCCATCCGGCCAGGCCGGCAACTCCTCGCATGTGCAGGCTGGTCGGGTGGTCAGTGTTTTTGAGTCTTGGCATGGGGGAAAAGAGGTGGAAAGACTTACATGCCGTATGCGATCAGACCACTAAAGGCGTTTGCAAGCATGTTGCCGAACCAAAACAAGGTGAATCGTTTGGATAATTCGCCGCTCTTGTACCAGGATGTGATGGAATAGAGGGCACCGGGAATGAAACCGGATTCAGTCAGACTGGTTGGTCAACCAGTTAGTGGTCGTACGATGGGCACGCATACGAGTGCGTGTGTGTGTGGGGAGGTGGCTGCGTACCCTAGGAGGATGCGGGTTACGAGGAAGGCCCCGAATCCCTTCTGGAAGGCCTGGAAGGTGGCTACAAAGCCCCATGCGACGATTTGGCTGCCAATCCACAGGGTCGGACCGACTTTGTAGAGGATCATGTTGCTGGGAATCTATGGTCGACTGGGTCAGGTTGTTGTTGATGGGTCGGGTGAAATGGCACTTGGTACCTCGAGCACTACAGCACAAGCAGCCATGAGTTGCTGGCCCAGATTGAACTGGTTTTGGGTGATGTCAACATCTTTGAGGAAGAAATCCGTCAGTGCATTGCCGCTGGGTGGTGGCAAGAGAAAATTAGTATAATGGCTTGAGGTCATGGAGGATGGACAACCTGAGTACCTAAGTCCACGGGTAGGTACCTACTCACATATTTCCTCTGTCAATCTGGAGACATGCGAAACATAGGGCCAGAAGAGGTATCAAGAGGAGGTCAGTCCTGATGACGAGTTAGGATCGTACGGGTGCAGAGACGGCACAGAGAGACTTACTTCCGTAATACCTTGCGCTCCTCCTCGTCGGACCAGTCCTTTACAATCTCGTTGTGTTCGGGGTCTGACAGATGGCTGCCATCGCTGCTGGTCTTGGCTTGGACGGTGGTCTCAGCCTTGTCGGCCATCTTCTCACTGGAATGAGGAGAAGCCATGGTGCTGCTGAATGTGTTTGGCGAAGAAGGAAAAAAGGAAAAAAAGTTGCGATGCTCCCCTATGGACAGTAACGACAGTACTTTGGCGGTCTTATCCGAAATAATTCTGGGAGCGGGTGGATTTTATAACAGTGGTCGACATTGGCAAGCACACGGTCAGCCTTGCTCAGGAGGTGGTGAAAGGTAACAACCACAACGGTGGGCGGGGACATGTTAGCGAGGATAACGTGTATGATGCTATTATGGCATCATCAGGTCGAAAAAGTCGACAGAGCCAGGAGGTTGGCTGGCGTAGATGGTATATAGAAGAATGTAGCTAGGTAGCGTACTCGCTTTTGGCATGGACAGGCAGGAAGAGCCATAGCTAGGCGAGAGGCGAGTAAGACAGACGGCAGGATGGATGCCGTACTGTGGTTGCAAATTGTAATGCATCTATCAGGTTGGTAACATGTTGGTTGTTCTGCTGCCAGACGCCATGAACCACGGTGATGTGACTCGAGTCAGGATAATGATAGTTGCCGCTGCATACTAACCTCGATTAGAAATATAAGCGTGTTGGTCTCAGGTCTGTAAAATCATTTCAAACTAGTTTAGCCAAGTCCCCACTTAAATATAAGTAGCGTGAAAGGGGGTGGCTAAACTAGTCTAGTCGCCCCCCCTGCGTGAGAGAGGCAGGGCAAGTACGGTTCATGAGATGGAGTAACTACACCATACGCACCTGCCTCGTCATCTCCTGCTCTGCCTGGGAACGACAGAATGGACCATATCGCGCTCTGATTGCGCCATTCAAGCTAGCAATAATCCCATGGCTACGACCCCAAGACGCCAATACCAGGGAGTCAGACATGACCGACGCCGGACCGATGACACTCCATCTTCTACTCATATAAGAGTGTCATTGTGACAACCCAGAGCATGAAACGTCCCTGGTTACCAGTCCAGCACCCAGCACCCAAAACCCAGCACCATGTCTCCCGCAGCAGTAGACATTGCTAAGGCTCTCCCCATCATTCCCAAGGAGCAGACTGAAGATGCTCCCCCAACCGTTCCAGATGTCCCAAAGCCTGTGACTGGCCACAAGGAGCCCCTGAAGCTCAGCGGCGCCCTCGACCAGTTCCAACAGTTTGATGTAACTCCTGTCATAGGCCGTGAATTTGTCGACGTCGATCTGGCCGAGTGGTTGAATGCACCCAACTCTGACGAACTACTCCGCGACCTGGCCATTACAAGTAAGAACTCACCCACCCACTTGGCCTGAATCCGGCATCTAACCAGTTCTTTAGTCTCCCAGCGTGGCGTCGTCTTCTTCCGCAAGCAGGACAACCTGACGGACGAAATCCAAAAGCGCATCACCCAGCGCCTAGGCGAACTCACCGGAAAGCCTGCCACATCCACCCTCCACATCCACCCACTCGCCAACTTTGTCAACCCAGAAGACCAACTCATGGCCACCGTCTCCTCGCGCCAGATGGAGAAGATGTTCAACAAGTACATGGACTTGGCCCAGACGCAGACGCACCAGTGGCACTCAGACATAGCCTGGGAAGCCCATCCCGCCGAGTATTCCTTCTTGCGCATGAAGGAGCTACCCGTGACCGGCGGCGACACGCTCTGGGCCTCGGGCTACGAAGTTTATGACCGCGTCTCGCCGCCCTTGCGCGCCTTTTTTGATACGCTGACGGTGCGCATCTCGCAGCCCCAATTCAAGGAAACGGCCGAGCGCCTCGGCTTCGACCTTGTTAATAGCCCGCGCGGCGCGCCCGAGAATATTGGTGACGAGCACTCGTCGATCCACCCATTCGTGCGCACCAACCCGGTTACGGGCTGGCGCAGTATCTTTCCCTTATCATCGCTGAACAAGGAGATACAGGGGCTGTGTGCCGCCGAGTCGCAGCGCTTCCTTGACTGGATGGTGCAGCTAGTTGTCGAGAACCATGACTTGCAGGTGCGGCTGCGGTGGCAGAATGCGAATGATTGTGCGATTTGGGATAACCGATCCGCGTACCATGCGGCCACGCCTGATTATATCGGTCTGGGACTGGGGGCGCGCTTGGGGTCGCGGACGACGGGGGTGGCGGAGAGGCCGTACTTTGATCCGCAGAGCACCAGTCGTCGGGAAGCGCTGGGTGTGGATGATGTTCAACGGGCTGCGTGATTAGGTAGACAGACTGTAGATGGCAAATCAAGAATTTCTGATTGGATTTGAGCCTCAGCCTTGCGTGGATTTAATTACCGCTAGCGTTAGTCTCAGCCGCATGTTGCGGGAAGTCTAGCCTATACTGTATTAGTGTGTACACTAGTATTAGCCGGTGCAAAGTTTGTGGATGCCAAACCAGACTACAGTACTATGGTATAGTGATAAGGCGCTTGTCGCTTCTCGTTCTTCGTTCTTCGTTCTTCGTTCTTCGTTCTTCGTTCTTCGTTCTTCGTTCTTCGCTCTTCGCCCTTCGCTCTTGCTCTTTGTTCTTCGCTCTCCACTCTCCACTCTCTATCTTTAAAGCCATGTCGGCCCGTTTTTAGCTACTCATAAGTTAAAAATAATTAAATTCCTCATTATGTTATGGTCCCAGGCCTGCGGCCTGTTCCCTTGGTTGTGGCTGAAGAGGTGGCTGATGGATTATATCAGAGAAGCAAACAAACATGGTAACACAGCATTAGGGCATTGGAGAGGAGAGTCGCTATCTCGCGCACAAAGGTGCCGGGAGATTTCTTCTCTCTCTCTCTCTCTCTCTCTTCAGTTTAGATTAATGGAACTTGGTAATCGCAGACCTTGCGCATCCAGACCGTGTCAGTATATAATAATAAGAATCAATTTAACGTACTATCTGGATCCCTTTCGGGTCTATGAGCACGGCATTCTATCTGGTCTGCCGCGGGCAAAAGTTTCCCCGTAGGCCGTAGCCCTGAGGCTGGGGGTACACAAAATCCCGCCTCCTCCCGCATCGATCAGCCACCTTGCTGCGTGGCGCACCTTGTCCCTGTCATGCAATATCCTCTTAAAGTCCGTTGTTCCAGCTCATTGGAGGAGCGCGATCCTCTGGTCGGTCCGCTGCGGGCAAAATGCAAGGAGATGGTAGAGAGACTGTCGGGGGGCCCCGCACTCACACGCTGGGTGGATTCCAGGGACACCAATTTTCGCGAGCCATCCTTTAACTCCAACTACCTCAGTCCGTAGTGCCATGAGCGCCGAGGCCTCGTGTTTCTGAAGGCCGTCGTACCGGTTAAGGCACTGGGTTTCCCACGGGTCCTTCCATGTCCTTGCTCTCCTTCCTAGTCTGGCCGCTTCGGCTTGCCATCTCTCCCTCCATTTCGCTCGATACTCGTCCTGGATCATCCGGTGCGGGCCTTTTCGCTGTTATGTCTGATATCCCCTAACTTGTTCGGGCCGGGGGAACAGAAGTCTGTCATACTGGGTCCGAAGCGTACACATCGCGGGTTCAGGTTTAGACCGGATACGGCGGGGTCGGCCTCGAGTTCGTCTCGGGGGAGCAGAAGCAGCATCCCAGACTTGCATCAGGGCTCCCTCAATCTGGGTAGTGACCTTGTGGGAGTTCGTCGATGGTGCTCTTTGGGCGGCCCGTTCTTGGACGTAGAGTTCGATTGGGGGAACGTCCGCCTCTCTCTCAAGCGCGGCGATTGGTGTCCGTTTGTAAGCCCCTAGGATCTTTCGTAGACACTTGTTCCGAACCTTGGCTAGGTCCTTCATTTTGCCTTCAGAGATTGGCTAACCCTGCTGACAGACTCCCCAAATAGGGGCGCCGTATGTCATAATGGGCCGTGCAACCGCTGTGTAGAGCAGCCTCGATTTCCGGACGGATGGTCCATATACCGATGAAGTTACCCTCGCCAGGGAGTCGAAGGCCTTAAGTCCCCTCTGTGTTGCCCGGAGGATATAGTCCTTCTATGAGAGGGAAGGGTCGAGCCAGACTCCCAGTACCTGGAGGGATGTAACTAATTCAGCTTGATGTCCCTATATTTGGATCGTGGACCGGAGATCAGCCGAAATATTGCGTTTCTTAGTGAAGTGGATAATCTGGTACTTATCCGGGGCAAATTTAGCCCCGAACCGTGACGCCCATTCCAGGCAAGTATCGTGGGCCGCAGTTAGTCGTTGGCAGTTAGCTGCTGCCGTATCTCCCCAGGTAACCAGTGTAGTGTCATCAACGAACCCGAACCCGAGCACGTTACCCTGAACATCTTTAAACTGTTGTAGTAGGTCAGATATAAATAGGATAAACAGCGCGGGTGATAGGGTAGATCCTTGCGGGATCCCAGTCTCCGTGTCGAACCAGCGGCTCTTAAAGTCCGAGAAGAGGATCTTTGTTCGCCGTCCGGTTAAGAAAGATGCGATCATCTGGACAATCCATTCGGGGTATCCCATCCGACGAAGGACCCAGAACAGCCGGGGGTGAGAGACGTTATCAAAAGCTCCAGCAAGATCAAGCCCAAGTACGGATACTACTGACTTCTTTGCGTGCCACGCCGTCTGTATAGTCCCGGTAAGGAGTTCTATGGCGGAGAGAGTGGATCTCTCCTTCCGAGCTCCCATTTGGTTCCAGGGAATCAGGTCTCGTGTTTCCGCTTCGGTGATGATTCGATCTGCAAGGATTTTCTCGATTAACTTTGCGACCGTGTTTTCAAGAGCAATAGGGCGGTAGCTGCTTGGGAGTGAGTAGTCCTTTTTCTTCTCCTTTCTTAGTACCACCGTGGTAGATTCCTTTAGAACTGCTGGTAGCTCCCCACTTCGGAAGAGCGCGGTGACCGTCCGGGCTAGGTCTACGGCTAGGCAGGACATTATATTGTATTTGTATACAATCGCAGGTTTCACCAGTCTGCCTATCCAGACTCCTGCAACAGTTTTCTGAGCTGTACCATCTGTACTTTACTCTTCTACAGTCGCCCCCCTGTGTAACGCCTGTTTGCTCCCTAAGCATACAACACCAGCGTTCCAGCCTAATTACGACTGGTCCTGTCTCTCTGTATACCGACACGCGCATCCGTTCTCTCGAGCCACGTGGTAGTCTCTCCGGCCGGGGTTTAATCCCGTCTGCTTTCAGATTCACCAAGGGTCAGAGCCAGCAGTGGCTACCACGTACTACGCCCCGCGACTACTGTAAACAGTAGCCGTTTCGCGTTGCCCATAGAGGTCTCCCTCTGATGGGCCGACTGTGTCTTGCAGGATAAGGCAGTACGCATTCGTTCCGCTCCGGGCAACGCAAGCCGCCTTATCCTACTAACTGCGATGGAGTGGACTTCCACCATGAACAAGTCACCAGATTTGGGTCACGGGACTTACCACTTCATCACTTGTAGACTTTACAACCTCCTGTTGACGTAGACGTAGATTCTTCCCTCTTCATAGATGAATCTAACTTATTACGTTACTACCTTGATTTTACATCATCCAGTATCATTCCGTGACACTAACCAAGCTCGTGTCCTCCATCATCTTAAGTTGGCCCGTGATTCTCCCATTGTATAGATCCAAGCGACGGGTCTGTGTCCCCATCAAGCCTCCATCAGGAGCATACCTGTGTTTCCCCTCTATCGACTGGCCTGTGACTCCAGTTCCGTAAGCTGTCGTGCTTGTTACGCCCGGTAAGCTCGTGTCGTTGTGGTATTAACAGGTTCCGATAGAGGGGCCTTAACAAGCGCTCCCGTTGCGAAGAGGCCCTCCGGCGTTAACAGAGTTCGCCTAGATTTATACAAGTTAGCCTTAACGAGTTCTTTAGAATTAGGATTGTTCCAAAGCCTCGCTACACGCAGCTCGTTGCTCACGCGTAACCCCAGAGTAGGCGAGCCTGAGGGTGTCCTGTTAGAGGCCTAGGACGCGTCCTCATCCACCTAATGATAAGTCAGGCTTCCGGATCCAGCTGCGAGCTAGATAGACCCCTATCGGATGGTTTTCGTATCCCTTTGTATCCCTCAAGAGGCCTCCCTTGATGAAAGGACACCGTGTCTAAGCGGAGGCAGTAGACACAGTCGTGCTGGTGTTGGTGGTATGGCGATACCACGCTCAACACCTGCGACCTGCACGCGCGACGCGTGCGTCTCTCTCATCGCCACTGTACTTACCCATCAATAGAGAACTCTTCTCCATCAATGTTTCCACCCGCGGCGACGTGGACGCGTACAGTTGGTATCACCTTATATACGCGCTTTTTTGCTTATAATATCACATCATAATTATTCTTAAGTAGTTAATGCATTCCCTAGGCCTTACCGAATTAAGACTAATCCATCCTCTCTCTTGATAACTCCAATGGTGTCATATACCTGGTTATAATCGTCTTCACTTCTATTAGACTTTGATAGTAATTATAAGCACGCTAATATGCATCATAGAGGTAGCCCAAGTCTATATATTATCCCCCGCCTTTGCTTTCGTTCTTTGTTCTTTGTTCTTCGTTCTTCGTTCTTCGTTCTTCGTTCTTCGTTCTTCGTTCTTCGTTCGTTGCTCTTCGCTCGTTTGCCTAGTCCACTATACCCCATCAGAACTATGCGAAAACCACATGCTAAAACTAGAACGGGATGTCTTCAATGTAGGCACCGCCGCGTCAAGGTACTGCATGTTCTCTCCGTCATCCCTTATTCCCGTCTTTCGTCACACACTCTCCTGATATCGCCATCGTCCATCAACCGCTCATCATGCTCGCTAGCTAACCTGCCCTCAACTGTAGTGCGATGAGGGGAAGCCGGCCTGCTCCTATTGTGCCAGATACTCGAGGGCGTGCAACTATACCGCCGCCGCCGCTACACCCTCCACGTCTTTACCACTTTCCCTATCACCGTCGACATCATCAGATAGCCATGGCACCACATTAGACAGCAGTGTGTCCGCAATCACAACCTTCCTATCACATTCCTTGGCCAACGAACCACCGGATACGAGCTATGTCTACTCTTCAGACCTGGACATGAAGGCCTTGGAGTTGCTCTACCACTACACCGCCCAGACATACCTCACTCTGACCAGAAACGAGTCCCAAGTCGAGCTGTGGCGAGTCACCGCCCCCAATCTCGCCTTCAAAAGCCGTTTCCTCATGCGCAGCCTCCTGGCCATATCCGCTCTACACCTGTGCCACTTGCAGCCGATCCGCCACGAGGAATTGACCCACGCCGCGGCCTTCCACATGAACCTGGCCCTCGGCTACTTCCGCTCTGATGTCACCGATATGACCAAACAAAACTTCGAGACCGTTTGCGCCTTCTCCTGCTTCGTCAGCATCTACGGCATGGCCTCGTGGCAATCCGCCGACAGGCGCCTCCGCTCCTCACCCACCAGCACCAACAAACCGCTGCACGATTTCCTCGAGCGCCTCCACCTCATCCGTAGCACCTTCTTCCTCCTCTCGTCAAAAGCCGACTGGGCCAACACGGGCGCCATGGCCCCGCTCGCACACACCAACCTCTCCGTCAACTTCGCCACGAACCCGGACGACCACCGCATAGCCGCGCTACTCCAGCTCGTCACCCCGCCCGACTCGGCCTCACCCGCCCGTAAGGAGCAGTATCGCGTCTACCGCCACGCGCTCGACCGTCTGCGCATCACCTGCGCACTGTGTACGTCGACCGAGAACTCATTTAACAACGCGGCTCCCGTTAACATCTGGATATCGAGTATATCCGAAGAGTTTGTCCAGCTGCTGTACGAGGGACAGCCAGAGGCGCTGGTGTTACTGGCGCACTTGTGTGTGGTGCTGAAGCAGGTGGGGCGGTTCTGGTTTATGCATGCGTGTCCGGAACGGCTGGTGACGACGATTGCCGATATGTTGAGTCATGAGTGGAGAACGTGGATTGAGTGGCCGTTGAGGGAGATTGTGGGGAGGTGTCTGTGTCCGCCAGAGCTGGAGGGGAGGACGCTGCCGATTCCTATCAGATGCTAAGATGCTAGTGCCAGAGTTGGATGCATGGCCATGGGCCTGATTTCGATTTTATTTAAGGCAACCACTGCGATAACATGGGTCTCCGACCCAATGCCTCTACCTGAGTTATAATCCAGCATGTTCGTAAATAGACATGGTAAGTCTGCGTGACCATTCCCTTGCCCGTTCACCATGATACTGATGAGAAGCGTTCTAGGGGACCTATTCTGATTGAGGAACTGGCTGGGGTGGAAACAGGAGCTGAAAAACTGCCTAAACCTGCTGCTCTCGGGAGTCGGTAGTCACTGAACGGAAAGCCATATCCATGGCTACGTCTGTACGGGTAGACTACGTGTCTTTGCAGTCTCAGGAAGCCAATTACCAGCCTGGTTCTCTATTCAAGGGCCACCACAACCTTCCTTTGGATAGACTATGTGGCGGAACGTTCAAGCAAGCATTCATGCAGAACATTAGGTATTTAGGGGTGCTTCAGGCCTACCTACTTCTTAAGAGCTCAACAACCATTTGCAGACCTCAAGGGGCCAGAGGTACCTTGCGATACCGAACCACCTCAGCTCCATCCTCCAGGATAGTCCTCTCTCTAACAAGCTTGTATCCACCCAATCTCAGAACTAATTTGAGCTATACTGCCCAGTAGACGATACCCAGCAGCAAGTGTCATGGGCCCAAAACACGAAGGATTTGGTAAGCTGGTAACGCTGTTGAATTGCTAAAGAGGAAAGGAAAAGATCTCTCTCACGATCTACTATTTACATCTGTGGCCAAACGGTCTACCTATCCTTCCTGCCTTAGGCCACAAGGCCATAATACATAGACTGGGCGAAGCCTAAGACTATTATAAAAGGTCTCTCCTCCCTTTTAGGGGGGCCGTCTCTCTCCTACCCTTAACGCTTCGGAAGCAATGTTTCGGCCCGTCTAAGCTTCGTAGTTATCTGTGATGGGGTGGACTTCCACCATACACAAGTCACCAGATTTGGGTCACGGGACTTACCACTTCATCACTTGTAGACTTTACAACCTCCTGTTGACGTAGACGTAGATTCTTCCCTCTTCATAGATGAATCTAACTTGTTACGTTACTACCTTGATTTTGCATCATCCAGTATCAATCCGTGACATTATCTAATGCGATAGTATCTTAAACTATCGTGATATCCTCCCACGTCGGGTCGGCGTAGCCGGTCTATTAGTATAGGTATTAGTGTTATGGTCCCAGGCCTGCGGCCTGTTCCCTTGGTTGTGGCTGAAGAGGTGGCTGGTGGATTATATCAGAGAAGCAAACAAACATGGTAACACAGCATTAGGGCATTGGAGAGGAGAGTCGCTATCTCGCGCACAAAAGGTGCCGGGAGATTTCTCTCTCTCTCTCTCTTCAGTTTAGATTAATGGAACTTGGTAATCGCAGACCTTGCGCATCCAGACCGTGTCACCCTCAAGCCCTAGCGTCACCAGATAATTAATTGATAGGCATACCGGACAACAAAAAGATGGCATGTGCACGGAGTATCCGTGCCCCATGACCGCCCCACAACCGGATAAGTCTCAAACATGTCCACATCCCCAGGACGTCAACCCTTTCTTCGCCTCACCATCTAACCCGCTCCAACCTTCCGAGTCCGCAGCAAAGTTCTATCATGGTACACACAGCCGCTCATTCGACTGGCTTGGCCATATATTCGATGAGTTTGGACTCGGCCTTACAAGTTACCTTGTCGCAAAGGGAAATGGGGAGAAATTGCCTAACGGTTCTCCAAGTCCCTGGCCGATGTCGCTAACTCAACTGATTTGGCCGACCTGACCGACCGAGACAAGATCATCCCCATAAGAATTGGCGGTTGTGCCCATCGTCAACCCCTCCCTGGGCTGCTATTTCTACTCGATGCCATCCATCATCGCCTCTTTACACCACAGCCCTGCAGTGGTATTGTTCTTCATCATACTCCCTGTAAGCCCCTATCACATGGGAAGGAAGTATTCGCCCAGATATGTAGATCCTGCGCCACATCAACACGCCAAGCAAACAAAACATCCGTGCTAAGTCTGCAAGGGTTCATATTGCCCAACCACGGATTGATGTTATGGAACGTGGTTTCGACTTGTTCGTGCCCTGAGCATTCAAATTTCAATGTGCACTGCCACACGAACATGCTACTCGTAACTAGTTAGGATAGACATTGAATTATGCAAGCGTACGGAGTACACAATTGACGAAACAGTTATGAAGGATCTGCCAAGGACTACCTAGTGAGTACCTATGGAACATCGCTCAGGGATCTGTGCTTTGACTTCGGAACCATTCTCCATTGACCGTTAAGTACAGAGCTCCCCCAGGAAGTTATTGAGGATGATAGACTTCGACAACATCAAAGGACCGTGTTCCGGAAAACCTTCCAGATCTCGCGATGGAGGGTGAATCATCAACCCACTTGGGTGCACTAACAACAGAGTTCACTCCAGCGCCGAACTGTGCGACCCAGAGCGTCGGTAGGAACAACGTCCTAGAATGGGGCCGTATCTGTACGATGACCTCCGGCTCTCAATCGCTGGAAATTTCAACGTCGTGTTACCCTCCTAGATACGGTTCCTTTTTCCAGTCTCCCGGGCTATGGGTTTTACTCTCCTGGACTGAGCTGTCCGTCCGGACAGTGACGGACACACATCCGCCTGCACAGTCACGCGACAGGAAGGCGATCAGGCACCGACCCCTAGCGCATCGGAAGATACTATATCGAGGGATATTTGGAGCCGGTTGTCAGTTGGAGAGACGGAGATTGGCTGCTGTCTAAGGTAAGCAAACTGTCGTTTAGTTTCCATTATATTCAAGTCTTTAGGGATGGGTATAGTTTCTAGCGAACCAAGACAGCACGCAAACCTACGGAGAGCTACCTTCGCCGGCTCCTCGAAGGCCATGCAATGATTGACAATCATCTAGTGGCTACAGCTGCCTCACCGACGACTCATACCGATGTACCTCGTTTATAGCTGGTGGTGAAGTCCTGTCTGGAACTTCGTATGTAGAGAGTTGCTCCGCTGTCCAGACTACCATTACCGTCCCGGCCACCTCGACTGGCCTCGCCGTTGAATACCGCGTCAATTTGGTTTTACCGGCCAGCGCAACACCCATCTCCAAACCTACCGGTATACCTAGCTCCGAGACATCAACAAGTCCAAGCGAGTCATCATCCCCACGCTCTTCTGGGGGACTCGCTACAGGCGCTAAAATCGCGATTGGAGTTGTTATTCCGGTCGTCGTCATTGGCGTTGCGGTTATCTTGTTTATTCTCTGGCGATACCGGAAACGGACCCAGGCTGGAAAATCTGATGCCAACCCTCAACCCGGCACCCAATGGGAGAAAGCAGAATTAGAGGGGAGTTCTAGGAATATACCCGATGGCAGTGGAGCAGGGCCTGTACTCAATACTAACCACCCCGAGTTGGACGGAGGCGCAACTGGGCCCCCATCCGCAGCGGCACCCATTGCAGAACTCGACGCTTCGCCTGAACTTGGAAGGGTTGCTGAGCTACCGACGGCAGTGGTACATATTAGTAGAGGTTAATTAAGGGTTAAAGGGGTTTCTGTGGGTTACGACGAAGGAAGCCTCAAGTCCAAAGTTGACCGCAAGGGGCCGTATCCCCATTTTCCAGGAAATGCATTCTACCATTTGGACAACTCTTGCGTGAGAAGGGGCTCGATTGGCGCGGTCTTCTTCGATAATCTATTCTGCAAAGTATATATCTCCTAAACAGGGGATAATTTCGGTGTATTCTGGGCGCTCTCTTTGCGAGTTGGACGGCCTGCGAGTCTACTCTTCAAAGTAGGCCTTGGGATTTGATATTGCTCCGAAACCTTGCGCAAGGTGGGGATTTTCCGGGTCCGAAAATCATCTAGAGCACTTTGTAGAGCCTCTTCTGTATATTCAGGCATTTTGACATGAACACTATATACTCCTTGCATTGATTATTTTATTGATTCAAAACTACCTATAGATCTATGCTATGGATCAAAGGCGGATCATATATACATATATAATCTCTAGGATTGGAAATGTATTTCTATGCACTAGTAAATGAGTTAAAATATACGGTCAGATGGGGGAACATCAGGATAGCTCTCCAGGATAGGCGATGTTATTTGAGATGAGCTGTACTGGTATACGAAGGAACAGAAAGAGACCCAGGATTTCTCATAAATGAATGACTGCGTTTTGGCCTCGATTGATGTTTGACATGGTGTAGTCCTGGTCCCCTGGCTTTCAAACTGTGGTAAACGGAATAAACCCGCCATAGCAACGACATGGGGGGACTCATAGCAACCATTCGACACAGAAAACGGCCGGGGATCGCATGCAAGGGCTCCCTTCAGCTTACAATAGCTCGTTCCGACAGCTAGTGGTCATTTCCGTCGTTGGAGATTAAATTCTGCGAGTCGCTTCCAATGCCATCGCCTTCATTGACAAGGACAGCGACGCTACCCTCTCAATACCGTATCCGATCTTACAATCTGCGCCAAAAATTGCCAATTTCGAGGATGGTAGCGAGGTTCCACGCCTCCTTGCATCTCTCATATCGAGCACTAAATTTTGTCCCGATTGAAAACGAATCAAACTGCGGGAGTTTTCCTTTAACTTCTAGACAGCACGCACACGGAAATCCAATCTACTCACCATCCAAAAAATCCGACGCGATCAGCAAGTCCATGGCGATGTCCGCGGGGATCTCCATGTCCGGCACGTCCTTCGAGTCGGCGAACTTCTCGTTGTAATACAGGTATTCGCAGACCTTCTCCAGCACGATGCCGCTGTTGACGCGCAAATTCGTGAGCCCGACATGTTCAACGCGTTGGGTTGACCTCGAACATTGGATGGGGTGCGCGGAGACTTACGGGATGGTTTCTAGCGTGCAGCGGTTTGTTCGCGCTTCGGCGAAGTTGCCTGGGACGGTTGCGTTAGTTGTTGGGAGAAGCTGGACGGAATGGGGTGTGGTGGTGCGACCAACTTTGGGGGTCGAGCATGCGTCGGATGGCGCCCGAGATGATGGCGGCGGAGCGGCGAATCTTGAACTCGAAGCCGTCGTAGGACACGAGGGTGACGTATTCTGTAGGTTCGGACATGCTTGCTGCTGCGGATTTGGAGCAGGAAATTGGATTGCGATTTGCGGAGCGTTGGATTGAAAATGGCAATAAAGGAGAAAATTATGGTTTTGGGTGGTATTAGATGGAACGGGAAGCGTGAGTTGATGATGGTGGAATGTTTAAGAAGCTTCGGGAGGCAGACGCGAAGCGCGACGAGTGACACTTTGGATGGTACCTGACGCGAACTCACGTGTTTGGCTGCATCCTTACCTACTACATATATGTATAGACTAGGAACTTCGTTGCTTGATGCTGAGCTGATTGCGAAAATTCTGGTGAAATTCAAGAGGATTTTGGCTTTTCTGCTCCTAAGATGTTCTTCCATACAAGGAATCGTGGCTAATCTCCCGCCAGATTCACGACGCAGAGAACCGCCGCGTTGCTGGACAGCAACGTCACGTCAATCGGCATCATGACAACCCTAAACTCTCCCTGGAACACGCGACGCCACACTCGTACATCGTCAGGCGCCTGGAAGACGCGGCGCTGTGACGAGAGACGGTCGGGGGAGGGTGTGGGGTGGGATAGGGAAGAAGGGGATGGGGGACGAGGGGGAAGGAGGGGAGAGTGGTGGTGTCGCCGTCGATTTTTTTGGCGTCGTCGCTGTTGGCGGTGCAAGGGGGGAGCGGAGCGTCAGTTTTATGCTGCTTCGAAAGCGGGTATTATAGGGTGATGGGAGGGATGGTCGTCACTGATGCATACGATAGACGCCACCGAACGAGAAGAATATTCCTACTTTACGTAGCATTGACTCGTTCCTAGCTGCGAGTACGGGCCCATGAGGCACCCGAGTGAACTGTATAATCCCAGGATATATCGACACCCAGATGACCGTTGGTTGGTCCCACTATTCCGCCACTTCTATCGTACATGGGGTATCATTTCTCCTCGCCCACGAGAGGCCCGTCACCAATAACCGGCACTCCCCACTTCCTAGATCTCTTCAACGACAAGGCACGGCACGCCATGGAATCCAAAATCTCCCTCCGACGATTCGGGCAGCCAGACAAGGTGTCCGACGTCGCGGCCTTCCTGGCCCTGAACTCGTACACGAATAATTGCATCCTCAACCTAGACGGGGGGTTGAGTGTGGTGGTAAGGCGGCGGACCGGAACAGATGTGAGGGGCCTGTCTCGATGTGTGATGGTCGCATGCTGCTGTAAGGATTCCAATTGTATTCCCTGGCGAGGGATTTATCAATCATCAATCACAAGCGCCCCGCTGGTATCGTCCTCGACGACAATGACCAGAGGATTAACACCATTGGTATCTGATGCTTTCTCCTTCTTCGATGTGGGAAGATCGTCGTCGCCAGGTCCCCTCTTTCGCTTGGTGCCGGTCGCTTGACCGTCCAACGTGCCATTCAGAAGGCTCTCAGACACTTGTTGATCGACCGCAGCAGCCGACTTTGGTTTGCGAGCAAGTTCGAATTTGTCGGGAAGGAGGACGGGTTTGGAGGCATCCGATAGCGATCTATACATAGGTTAGAGACGAGCGGTTCAGATAGCCGAAATACTCACTTTTCCGTAACGTGCAGCACCAGATCCACACGCGGATCGTCATCCTCGTCATACACGGTGATTTGGCTGTTGCTCGTAATGCCCAGCTCGCTGAACTTCTTGCCCAGGTTCTCCTCAAAGTCGGGATCATAAAGGGTCCCCTCTACGCTGCTCACGCTCAGCTCCTCGCCGTAACCGAGTTCCAGTCGTAGGACGTCTTCGATCAAGTGCTGCAATGTCGCTCGTCCCGGATCGATGATGACCTGCGTTTGCGCCGAGCCGCACGTCCGACAGTTCGGATTCGGGGGCCGGAGTGGCTCCGTGTTGGTCGCGCGCTCGGCATTGTGGCTCAGGAAGATGACCCGGGCTTTCGTGTACTCGGATTTGAGAACCTTGAACGCCTGCAGCACGCAGAGGCCCGCGATCATCGCGTTAGTGGTGGCGATAGCCGGGATGATGTTGCCGGCCATCTGCTTGATGTCGAACTTGGACTTTGTTTCGATGCCGAAGATCTCCGATCGGATGTTCGCGCTCGCCGAGACGAAATCCAGGGTGTCCTCGTCGTCTTTATCGAAATCGATAATCGGAGCGGTTCCCTCGGACTTCAAGGCCATGGATCGTTTGCTGAGCCGGTCCAGGCTGTCCAGGAAGACGACGAAATTCTCCGCCAGCGACCACGTTTTTTGGGCGTCCTTGCAGGTCGAGGGGCCCAAACCTTTTGCGTCTTTCGAAGTGACCTCGAATTTCAGACTGCGTGGCCGTTTCCGCGTCTTCCATAGGTCGTCCATTGACAGTAATCGTTCGATATCTTCGCCGAAGACTTTGTCGAAGACCAACCGGCCGAATTCCGGCGTTCCCATCGATTTCCGGATCCCTTTCAGCGCCTGCGCCTCCTTCTGTAGCGTCGCGATTTCGTTGGCGTTCTCCGCATCCTCGGAGTGATCCAACTCTGGCGCGTCCTCCTCGCTCTTCCCGAAGACTTCGGTGAGCAGATAGCTTTTGGCCCACACGATGCAATGAATTGGCTGGGACGGCGTGCTTCGTATCGTGCAGACGGCGTATCCCTTGGGCGCTTCACGCTCTTGACAATCGTAGCATTCGCTGACGCCTTTTTTGATCACGCGGACGTTCCCGTTGAATCCGGCGGTGCCGCCGTCGACCAGGGGGATGTCGGCCGCCAGGCACATTTTGTTCACGTGCCGTCGCGCGTCCACGTTGTCTAGCGCGTTGAAGACGAGGGTGAAGCGTTTGAACCATTCCACGTTGAACGTCGAATCTTTGATGTTCCCATGGTGGGCGACGAGTTTGATTTTTGGGTTGAATTTCGCGGCGGCTTCTTTCGCAACCTGAGCATTCGGACGGTTAGATATACGCTTGAGCGGCAAGACACGCGGATCACTCACCAGCGCTTTCGGCTTCTTGATGTGTTCGTGCCGAAACAGGAACTGCCGGTTCAAGTTCGACAGGTCGATCGTATCCAGATCGACGATTTCGATTTCGCCAAACCCCGTGAGGGTGAGGTTCTTGAGCAGCTCGCATCCGATGCCACCGGCTCCGACCATCAGCACTCGAGTCTGGAAAATAATCAGTAGGAAGACGTGGGATAGGAGCCATCCTCATCTCACCTGTTCAACCAGGTCGTGTAGGCCGTTTCCGAGCGCTTGTCGCGCGTGCTTGTCGCGTGACATGGTGGATTGAGACTCACGGTGACTGGATGAGTGGGTACGGCATAGATAAATCGGTCGATGGAGACAGTGTGAGGGTGAATGGTAAGTCTATGGAGGATGATTGCGATACCACTGAAGGTTGAGGGATGAAGGTGAGTTCCCTATAAAGCGTAGGTGGATCTAATCCGATCTGACAAACAGGGGTGATAAGTCATAAGAGAGAGGTTTAGTCTTTAGAGAAGGCGAGACAGGTGAAATGCAAATGCCGAAGTGTTCATAGATCAGATGTGATGCGTTGAATATTGTAATACCACCAAGCACACGCGAGGTGTTCTACGTATTACCTGTCCATTCAGTTCTGCCTGTGAAGTCCTTCACGTCTCCTGCAGCGTCGCAGGGATGCGGAGCCGCAGCTCCCCCCTGTCACCAATCCACGATAGCGAGATTGGAGGAAACAATAAGTAAGAGAACGGAGTACAAAAAGAAGTAAAGAAGTGTTGTTTGATATTCCATCCCGTTCAAATCCTGACAACTGAATTTCTCAAAAATATACCTTAGGCTTGGAGCTAAGTAACGGCCTGCCATTCCCCAATTCAAGCCGCCAGCTGATATCCATTATCTCAAGGAATATCAGAATACATATCGGATGCTGAGACTGGCGTATTAAGACTGAGGCTTGCAATCCATAATCATTCTATTCCCCCCATCCTCCAAATCCCTTAAAACCCCACCATGTCCGACGACGCCGACCCCGAGCTCCTCGCTCTGCTCCGCCAGGCCCTCGGCATGAACGGCCCTCCCCCCCGGGACCTCACCAACACCCGCGTCCTCGCCTCCGCCGAATTCATTTACGATAACAGCACCGACGTTGCCCTTGACATGCGCAGCACGCAGCGTGCCGCCGCGGTCCTCTGGACGCAGATGCAGTCGCGGGACTACACCTCGAAGTCCTGGGCGGCGCACGAGTTGCATCCAACGGCGAAGGATGCATCGACGCTGGACTTTGTGTTTACGATGGATTTGCTGAACTTCTGCTTTTGGTCGGAGAAGGGGGAGGGAGAGGGGGAGGGGGAGGGATTTGCGGTGGAATGGAAGGGGAAGCGGTGGACGGGGTATTGGAGCTTAGTGGCGGCGTTGTGGCGGGCGCTGGAGGAGGGTGAGGAGGACGCTGTTGGGTTATGACGGGTGCTGACCGATGTAGGGATCCCCATCACGTCGCATGCTTTCTGGCATGTCGAGGAGGATTGTCCGGACGAGAAGATCGCTTACGTTTTTCGGTCCGCGACGAAGGAGGAAATGCCCCTTTTGAAGGAGCGGATCAAGTGCATGCGCGAGGCAGCTCAGGTTCTCTGCGAGGTGAGTATCCTCTCTAGCATGCAGGAATAATATTGACGGCGAGCGAAGGAGTTCGAAGGAGACCTCGTGAATTTGATCAACCGAGCCGATAAGTCTGCGGCTGCGCTGGTAAATATCCTCGCCGACCATTTCCCCTGTTTCCGTGACGAAGCGCGATTCGAAGGCCGCAACGTCCGGTTCCTCAAACGCGCGCAAATCTTCGTGGCCGACCTGTGGGCCGCGTTCGAGGGGGAAGGCTGGGGCGAGTTTCACGACATAGACAGGATCACCATGTTCGCCGGTACGTCACATGTTCATTCCGTTGACGCCCTATCCCTTATCACCACAGCTCATCTGTCGAAGACTATAGGATCCCGCAGATGCTGTACAATCTGGGCTGCCTCAGCTACAGCCCGCCCCTGGAGAGCATCGTGCGACGGCGGATCGAGATCGAGCCGGGCAGCAGCCGGGAGGTGCAACTCAGGGGTACGTTTTCCTCGGGCCGCGCGACTCTGTGCTCATATTTAAATGCCTCCAGGCTGCTCGATTTGGTGCGTGGAGCAGATCCGGCGGGAGATCGTGCGCCACCATCCCGAGGCGACCGTCAATGCCGTCCTCATCGACTTCTTGCTGTACGATATCGCGAAGGAGCTGGAGGCGTCCGACAGTCTAGACATTCCGCATCATCGCACCCGAAGTATCTGGTATTGAGACGCCTGCTCGCACCGGTTCCGTCCCTGGTGCGGCGATCGGGTCCTAATCTTCATCCGTTGTTGACCTTTACCTTCTCTTCTCGCTCGATTTTTGCAATGCGATCCATGATCCCTCGCTCCCACTGCCTATACTCGTGCTTTCTCTCCTCGCCGACCCAGTCGACTGCGTCATGCATGGAAAGGATGGAACCAACCGAGGGCCCTGTTGAAGTAGCACCATTGGCGGATGTAGAAAGTGTACCGTCGGTTGGTCCATCTTCGTCCGCTTGCATCAACGCATCTAGCTCGTCCACGTCCTCCGGCTCGTCGATGTTCTGATACCACTCCATGTCCAACCAACCCTCCGACTGCGCTCGACGAAGGAACCCATCAATTTCAGCATTCATCTCTGCTTCTGACATGGTCGACGTCCCCGCCGATTGGCTAGCGACAGTGACAGCCTGAGCCCGCTTCTTAAGATACACCTTCCCTGATATCGTCTCCCCCGTGATTTTCGTGACGGCGTAGAGCAGGATCGCAATGATCAGCGCCGGGATCGCGTCGGCGCCGATGCTTTGCGATTCGCCTTCATCATCCTGGAGTCGGCGAGAGCGCCGTCGATTCGGCGTCTCTGCTCGCGACGTTGATGATAGGATGGATTCCAGACCGGCGAACACGTGCGGAGCCGCTTCGGCGAGGTGAAAGGCGCCGCAGAGCCGTCGTACCATAGGCAAGGCCCATTGTGGGATATCCTTCACCGCATCGTTGGAGGCTAACAACGAGCGTTTCCGGGGCGTCACTGACGACGATGAAACTTTTGCTTTCGAAGCGCTGTGGATCGCCAGTCGTGACCGCGTGGCTGTAGGACTACTCTCAAGTGCCTTAGGATTCCTCGAACGCAACTCTTTCTGCGTCCCTGTAACTACTTCTTGCCCCCCCCTCACGCTCGCCAGCGCCGTTGACAAATAATTAAACACCTTTTTATACACCCTTGGCCCACACGGCGGCCGGGCCTCGATCTTCGGTAGGTTCAACCGCTGTTTGAGCCTACGTCATATCAATATCCGATGACCCCTGCAGACGTCCCCATTTCAATCCCACTTACTTCTCGCAGGCGAGGTGCGCGCAGGCGTAGGTGCGCGCGATTTCTTCCTCGGATTTGAGGGTGCTGGCTTTGCTTCGGGATTGGGCGAGGAGGGAATGGGCCAGGGAGACGAGGTCAGGGGGTGGGGGGCCAGTTAATGAGGGGAGTAGGCTGGTTAGAGCCTGCTCGACGGGTCGATTCATTTTTCGGCGGCTAGTTGGAGGGAGGATGGAATTTTGAGATCGTGATAATACAGTTAATACTGCATTTGGTGATTCGCGTGGTTGCTAGAGATGTCGTTGAGATACGCGTGGCAGGACGCGGGTTAAGCCTGGCGCTTCGCACTTCAGGGGCAGCCCTGCACGCGTCTCCGCCAGTGAGATTGGAAATTACATTTCTTCCGGCAAGAGAGATGCATTCAACTGTCATGATTAAAGGCGAATTTCATTTCATGTTACGATTTGCACTGTTACTACCGTGCCTTTGAGACATGTCAAGGAAGAACCTCTGGGAAATGAGAAAGTAATCATGCACACTATGTTGCTGGTCAGGTTTTTGCCGGAGTGATCGGATCGCAAATTAATTGTCCTCGGACTTTTTACTACGTAGAGCCACCGGAACGTTTAATCAGATATTCAATTCCAGGCGCCCCTTTTATTCTCTACCGGCACTTATCAATTAGTCTTCCTCCTTCGGGGAGCTCGATAGCATATGGGGAGAAGTCGAGTGCGAGATGTCCAACTCCAAGTGGTAGGCCGATACCGTATCCATACAAGTAGTAGGTAAATACTCCGTAGTCCATCAGAAAATATTACGGCACCAGGACGGAGTACGTTACGGATTACAAACGATATCGTACCCCCGAATAGATTAATACAGACACTCTACGGCTGATGATTTGCATTTGTAGTAACTAAAACGTAACTCTCAATCATAATATCTCCTCCTGTTACAGCGAAACCACAAAGAAGATTGGTAGTGGATTGGTGGAGATGATACTACTGGGTACTCTGTTGTACATTCATGTATGTGCCATGTGGCTTCAAGCAATGCAATATCACCGGCAGACGAGCACAAGGAACGATCGGGATCTTCTCATCCGTCAGGGGGAAAGGTGATATAGAAGGGAATGACCGGAAATTGTCCATCTGATAGTACGGACTACTAAGGCATATTTGAGGAACATTTATAATTTAAGGAATCATTAGAACTCGGTATCGTTCCGGACGGGGTCCAGGTACCCGCCTTATTCTCAGTAGCTTCACGTTGAGACCGTGGTCCCCCCAAAAGCAGCGCACCATTGAATCAATCCCCAACCCATTGCCCCATCCGTATCTCCGTGAACCGCTGCGCTCTGCTGGTCTGTCTGCATCACCGTCGTTCGCCCTCACCTTCTCCACACCACTGCGGCTGGCTTCCACAGCTTCACGTTCTTCACGTTCTTCACGTTCTTCACGTTCTCCCTCTCGGTTCCAGCTTCATCTGTGCTCCTTCACCAGTTCACCTCCACCTTTATCTTCGCCTCCAATCCCACCCCCATCTCCAACTCCATCTTCAGCTGCATTGACCTACCCCTGCTCATTACTACTGCCAGGCCTGGAACCTTATTATTACCTAGGACTGGTGGTTCTTGGTAGTTTGCAGCTCCTCAGCTCCTGCGACCCGCATTGTACTGAAGCCACTTGGTCCATTCCATCTCTCCTCCTCTCGTCCTGTACCACCATATTATTCTGTCGACATTTGACGCGTCTTGGTAGCCAGCCCTTCGGAGCATTGCGCGCGACGAGACCCACTTCTGGAAGTCCAAGCAATACCGGAAATTGAGATTCAGGCCACATCTCCCCTTGCTTTCTCCTCCCTCCTCGTATCAGCCATTCGACAACTCCGTCAATCCGCCCGGTGACCCTGCTCCTGCAGAAACCGCCATTTCCTGTCCGCGAGCGATATTGTCCATCTATCGCGGTGAACCGTCCTTGATTAGCCTCATTATCAGTTCGCTACGATCCGCTTTCGTCCTCTCGACCACGTCCCATTCGTCCGCAACCACCACCTCCCGCCCGCCATGGATATCGTGCAGGCCTATTACCCCTTCTTCTCCTGGACCGCCGTGGTCGCCATCGGGATCGGTGCGTACGTCTACTACAACCCCTCCCGTCGCCCATTACAAGGCAAAAAGCGGCCATCCGATCAACGAGCACCCGGGGGCAATTCGCGGCCACTTCCAGCGATCCTGGTCGACGATGAGGAATCATCTACAAATGCGAAGAAGGCACCGAAGCCGGGGAAGAGGGCCACCCGAGCCAGCGTGACATCCGATGCGGGTCCCACGGCAGCAACCTCGTCCAAAGAAATAGCGGTGGACGCCGCCGACGCCGCGGAGGATGATGCCGAATGGGCAGCGCGACTGGCCGATCTTCGCAAAGGAACGAAACTTGAATCGTCCGGTTCTACGTCGAAGGCGGCCCGCACCGTCAAGCAAACCACAGCCAATCGCGGGGCCGACTTCTCCCAGAACTCGTCCACGACGGGAGCAGACGCGGACGATGACATGTCTCCGGTCATGTCTCCCAAATATGGTGCCCAGGCTAGCGGACCGAGCGGACAGGATGTTTCCGACATGCTCGAGCCCGCCAGCATTGGCCCCTCGGTCCTCCGCGTGACCGAGAGCCCCAATCCCCAGCCGACTCGCACCAGAAAGCCGAACACCCAATCTGCTCCGGCACAAGAGTCCAAGAAGCAGCGGCAGAACCGCAAGAAGGCCGAGGAGCGGAAGGCCATCCAAGACCAAGCGGAGAAAGAGCGCCAAGTGCTTCTCGAAAAGCAGCGACGCCAGGCCCGCGAAACTCGCGGGGAATTGGCAAAAGATGGTTCGGCGTTCATGCGCTCGGCCCCTGCGACCAACGCATGGGCCGGTCGTGCACCGAACGCGCCATCGACGGGCCCCGTGAACGGCACCCAAGCAACCTCCCTTCTCGACACGTTCGAGCCCCACCCCCCCTCTCCATCCAGCTCGACTGACCTCGCGACCAGCGCCGCGTCCACCTCGGCGTCGGGGAAGAACTGGGAGCGCGACCTCCCGTCGGAAGAGGAGCAGATTCGGAAGATCATGGAAGATGACGAGAGCATGTGGAACACGGTATCGAGCAAGAAGAACCGCAAGAAGGCCCCGGAATCGACCAACGGCGCCGGTGGCACGAACGGGATCGAGAAGAGCCACGAAGCCCGCAGTGAGCCAGTAGTCGCGGCTGCGGCGGTCCCTACGACCAAACTGAATGGGGGATACGTCCCGCCGAAGATCACCCCGGGAAAGGGCCATCCTGACGACTCCGAATGGACCGTCGACGCATAGCGGAGTTTCGATCTACCATAATCTTTTGGGGAGAGACACTTGAATCCCTAAAAAAAGACCCCCACTGTGCCTAGCATGTTCGACACCTCCACCGACCATCATGGAGCGCCTCTCACCGACCAAATTCGCAACAAAGAAGCCACGGACGTGTACACCATCGGCCGAACCACGGCTCGCGTCTAACAAGGAAGCGATCCCCCTCCCCATTTCCTTTTATTATTTAAACTCTGCGCCTGGCCAAGCGGTTGTTTTTTTCTTTCACAGTAGTATCTCCACAGCAAGGATGGTATCCCTCGCCAACAAGGTCATTCCCTGACATTTGCATCGTCCACCCGACCCGGCCACGCGCCATGATTTTGGAGTTTCGGAGGGGGGACGGCACGCATTTCTACTTTTATTCCTATTCCGTACGGCGGAGCGGATCGTGAGGCAGATCACAGATGGCCTCGTGGCGTTTTTCAATCCGACCTGGCATGGTCGATGGGCAAAATTGCTGGATTGCTGGGTGATGGCCACTGATGGGTGGTTGGTAGCAGAGAGTGAAAAGCGATTGCCCGAAATTGCTGGATGATGTCATGGAAGGGGAGCGAGAATGTGTAGTTACCGAAGAATTCACCATCGAAGGCTTAATCGATTGCAAGATGAATCCACCGTGCTAGCCAAGTGTATGTTGCGTATCCGCCATCCGGGGCTCCAATCCTGCTATAGGGTACCACGGTCCGATGTGGTCCCGGTGCCATACTGGTAGGGGATTCGCGCTGACAATCTCAAATTTATGCTGGACAGTAAGGACACTCAAATATCAACACGATAGGTAAATCAACCGATGATAAATTTTCCTGAGAGATGTAGTAAGACGGAGGTCCGGCGGAGGTGTATGGATGCCTTAATGGTTAGCTTTGTTACGTGCCATAAATACTGTAACGGAAACAAGGTTGAATAGTATCCCGGTCTCCGCATCCACTCCCACTACGATCACCACTAAGGCCACCTTTACTCCCTCCCAACCCTCCAAGTGTCAAGTCTGGCCCATCAATGCTGTATCTCCATCCATGATTTTTCTTTATATGTCCATTCCGCGCTCCCACTCCTCGCTGTAGCCACTGCACCACCCCTCTGCACTTCTCTCCATCACTCCACTTCCTTGCTTGTGGTCGAGTGTCGGATTGTTTTGTAGCGCACTCCGCACGGGCAGGTCAGGTCGAGACGTTTCTCTTCTGTAGTCTGTACACCACGGCCTCTACCAACCCCCCCACACCGTTTTTCCCTCCTCCACCGTCCACCATGGCGCAGATTCGAGGCACCGCGGGCTACCAGCTCGGCAACCAAAACCCCTTCGGAGGCCCCGGTCGGGACGCCGCCACGAACGATCCCAGTCCGCTGGACGCGATCCGAGAGCAGACGAGCAAGATCGAGGACATACTCGATACGTTGGCAGAACCCATCCGACCGTACGTGAATGCCCTTCGCGAGGCGGTTGGGGGCGGTCGAACCGCTCCAGCAGCTCTGGCTCTAGAAGATGTGAGGTTCCCGAGCTGACGGTGTCTAGATATATGCCCGCCATCGGCCGCTTCCTCATCGTGGTAACGTTTCTGGAAGATGCACTGCGGATAATAACCCAATGGAACGACCAGCTCACATATCTACGGGACTACCGACACAGTGAGCCCTCCCCCCTTCCGCATGATTCCACCTGTCCACCCCACTAACCCGTCCTTCCTAGTCCCCGTGGGCATCACCCACATCTTCCTCATCGTCAACGTCATTGCCATGACCGCTTCCTCCCTCCTCGTCATCGTCCGTAAGCACTCCGAATACGCCGTCTGCGGCCTCCTCGGCGTCGTCGTCACACAAGCGCTTGGCTACGGCCTCATCTTCGACCTGAACTTCTTCCTGCGCAACCTGTCCGTCGTCGGCGGCCTGTTCATGGTGCTCTCCGACTCGTGGGTGCGCAAGAAGCTCGCCGGCGCCGGGCTGCCGCAGATGGACGAGAAGGATATGAAGATGTACGTGCAGCTGGTGGGGCGGGTACTGTTGATCTTCTTGTTCGTCGGGTTCGTGTTCGCGGGCGAGTGGTCGATTTGGCGGGTCATCGTGTCGGTTCTGGGGTTCGGGGCGTGCATCATGGTCGTGGTGGGGTTCAAGGCGAAGTTCAGTGCGATCATGTTGGTGGTCATTCTGAGCATCTTTAACTTGCTGGTGAACAATTTCTGGACGGTGAGATTCCCTCGATTTAATCTGTTGGTGAAACCATGCTGATCGATTCATCTAGCTCCATCCGCATCACCCACACAAGGACTTTGCCAAGTACGACTTCTTCCAGATCTTGTCGATTGTGTAAGTGCTCCCCCGAAGCTTTGGCTGGTGTTTTTGGGCACTACTAACGAGACATAGCGGCGGGCTGCTCCTCCTGATAAACATGGGTCCCGGAGACATCAGCATCGACAACAAGAAGAAGATCTATTAAACAGAGTAAAACCCAGATATGGTTACGCCCATCCGCTGTGGTCGTCTATGAATCATGATTCCGGACGCAGGCAGTTCAGTTGCCCGTGAGGGAGCTTTCCTGAAAGTCGGGGGGGATTAGCACAGCATGTCACCGATGACTGGAGATCACATGTATTGTAAGGTAGCTTTAAAAGTCATCATTCGTCGAGTCTAGGCTAGCTCTAGTGCCTGAAATCGATATTCTTTAAACGAATGGCTCGTTGCCAGGCCTACTTCTCGTGATCCCTATGGCTGAACATTGTTTGCAACGACGGCGGCATATCGAAGATAGTGTCGTAGACCCGTGCAAAGCCGAGGACTCAATTCTACTCAAGCCCCTGACCAGCGCAGCTGAGACACGAGGGAGATGAACGGATGCAACTACGAACAACGAAGCTATAACCCGTGAGTGGACCTGGACCCTGTAAATTAGTGGGACGATTTTCGATTTCGTCATACATCATGTGACCTGCCAGCACTATCTCGAGTTCACGATGGTCGAAGCGATGACTTGCGAAGTTGCGATGAACACTGGTGGTGCAGCTGAAGTTTTGCTTGCAAGAGGATTGGGTAGACAACTCTGAAGCTACGCAACCAGATCGACACGAGATTTCTCCCTTCGAAAATGGTGGCCACCGACACGGACGAACAAAAGGCGAAGAAGGTATACCATACCAAAGCCTCAGGAAATGCGCTCGCAACGGTCCAGCAGCGCTCGGAGGCGCACGAACTGAAATTATACGGCAGCTGTTTCTGGTAAATGGTGACGTTCCTGCACAAGTAAAGTCGGAGCGGAGACCGAGCGCTAAATGCTCCGGCAGCCCGTTCGTTCAGCGCGTGTGGATCTCCCTCGAGTTCAAGCAGGTGCCGTATCAGTACATCGAGATCGACCCATACAAGAAGCCGAAAGAGCTCGTCGATATCAATCCCCGAGGGCTGGTGCCGGCGCTGAAGCACGGCGATTGGGGGTGCTATGAGAGCACGGTTTTGATGGAATATGTCGGTATCTCCCTGGCTGTCGCTGCCGTTCTCGGTTGACGGGCGGAATAGTTGGAGGATCTTCAGGCGGGAGAGTCGCTACTCCCAGCCGATCCACGGATTCGGGCGCACAGTCGTCTCTGGTCCGACCATGTAAGCCATTGCCCTAGTTGCACCGTCCCGACCGGCTTTCCCGTCGCTGAGCGCATCAAACACAGGCGAACCGCCATATCGTGCCTACCTTCTACCGCTACCTGCAGGAGCAAGACGCCGAAAAGCAACTCGAGCATGCCGTCGACCTGAAGAACCAAATCGCAAAACTGGTCACCGCAGCCGACCCCGCGGGGCCATTCTTCCTAGGCCCAACGCTGTCATTCGTCGACGCCCAAATCGCCCCGTGGGTCCTCCGCCTCTCGCGCGTGTTGAAACCGTACCGGGGCTGGCCTGACCCGGAATCCGGAGGTCGTTGGGAGACGTGGGTTAAGGCGATTGAGGCGGAACCGGCGGTCCAGGCGACTACTAGCAATGATGACCTGTATCTGGATAGTTATGAACGATATGCTGGTAAGTTTCATGGACGGTGTGCGAGCGTGCAAGAGGTGCTGACATGGCGCGAATAGAAAACCGACCAAACACTTCGCAGGTTGCAAATGCGGTTAATTCCGGGAGAGGATTGCCATGAGACGAGCAACTGAGCAAAAAAAAGAAATGGAAGGCTTCATATCATGATATCACCGGCCGTATGACGGTTATCGTTTGCGAGGACTGATATCCATATCCAAATTGAATAGTAGCCGGATCAATATTTTGATACTAAGACGACGGCCTCAAATAAATAGGAAATTGGAGATAACATCACGAGTCTTCAACTCCAACATATACTCCTCTCACCGATGTACTACTTCAACAGAACAGACAAGAGATTTGATTCATGTTAGGTCTAGTGTAACTTGTAAGTGTAGCTGTGAGTTGTCGTCTCGTCTGAAGTAAGTCGTGTCCAAGCATGGACCCACTTAAATTTCCTGTGCATCGCGCCTCATCCCAGCATCGGATTTCTCTCGAATTCTACAGCCCAAGCATCACATACCCAGACTCACCAATATTGCATTCTTCGGCCGCAGTATTGATATCGATACCCTGACCAAGGTGTTATACCGTGCTTGGGGCAATGGCAGAAGGGTCAACCGACTCTTCGGCCTCGGCGAAGATGGACCCAGCGTCGTCGAAACCTCAAGCTACCGCTGCGCAAGATGCAGTTCCGAAGGCGATACCGAAACCTAGCGAAGGAAACCCGGCGTTCCGCATGATGGGTAAGTCACACATTGATAAGCCTATCCGAAGACGAAGTGTTTCGTTGTCTAAAAGGACGTCCGGACTCATTGGTATCTAGGTTTGCCTCGTTGGAGACCACGACTCCCATCTCGCAACTGGATGATTTTCCTCTCTACTGTTTCTGCATTCACTGGAGCGTGGTGGTACGATCGACGCGAGATCAAACGCGCCCAGAAGAAATGGTGCGACGAGGTGGCCACCCTGGCTGAGCAACCGCTCCCGCCGAACCGTATGCCACGACGGATCACCGTCGTCCTCGGCACGTTCCCTGGCGACGGCTTGCTGAACATGCGGGAGCACTTCCACGACTACGTCAAGCCGGTTCTCCTCGCTTCCGGGCTGGATTGGGATGTGATCGAAGGAAGGAAAGAGGGGGAGATCCGGGCACAGGTGGCGGAGCGGATACGGGAGGCGCGGCAAAAGAACGGGGAGAAAGGCGCTTCGAGCGAGGAGCCGGTCGTGAACGCTCCGTTTGACCTGGAAGAGGCAAGGCGAGCTCAAGGGATATACATGGAAGGTTCGGAGCGGCGGGACGGACCCCTTCGTGGAGATTTGGTGATCGGGCGACATGCGTGGAAAGAATATATCCGGGGTCTGCATGAAGGATGGCTCGGTCCGCTCGATCCCCCTAAAGTGGAAGAACCGGCGAAAGATGCAGAGCCGGCAGTTGTGCACGAGGCGAACCCGGCGGTGCCAGCCTCTCCGGTTTCATCGATGGCGGAAATCATGACGAAAGATGGAGCCACGGAAGGAACCAATGCCGAGCCGCCAAAGGAGAGCGAGGAGAAGGAAAAGAAGGAGGAGGAGAAGAAGGAGGAGGAAAAGAAGAAGAAGAAGCGCCCACAACCCGTGCCGTTTATCACTCCGTCCGAATATCCTGCGGCCGAACTCTCGCCTAATACCCCCAAAGAACTCGGTCCGTCCGCGGTGGTCACGTTCCCCCATATCATGGGATTCCTGAACAGCCCGCAACGACTCTACCGATTCTTAAACCGGCGATATCTAGCTGACGACACCGGACGCGAGGTGGCAGCGGTTGCATTTGGCCATTATCGACCGTACGCGCGCCACGACGAGTCACACGAGCCGTCGGAACTCGCCTCCGATTCGAATTCTCCCGCAGCCATGGGATCCCTCTCAGAAGCGTCCAGCTCGGAGCAGCTCCATCTCCTCCAGGATGAGGAGAAGAATTGGCACAAATCGTATCGCAAGCGCGGACTGAAGGAAGACGAAGTGCCGCCGGCGAAGGACGAGAAGGCGTCGGATGAGGAGGTGGAGGAGAAGCCGCATGAATACACCTGGACCAATGCGATCGTATTGGACCCGCGCATCGCTGATCGGATGCGGAAGTTTGTCTACGAGCGATAGAATAGGGGAAGGTTCATGGCATTGCGGGCGTTTTCGTGGGCACTCCCTATCGTTTCCTTGCTCACCATCGACGTTCGTGAAGGGGGCCTTGTATGTTTTGGAATTGGGTATGTAATCTAGCATGGGATCATGGAGGGAAAAATTCTGCACATATCCGTATGGGGGGCTGGGAATCACCTGTACAATACCTCCTCTCTAGTCGACCCGCTGCGGTTGGATCCGGGAAGCCAGCCCGTCCAACGGTGTCAATGTTAACAATCACTGTACAATTGCTTGAGAACCGCGTCTACTGCTTGAGCTACGGCGTCGCCCTTCTGCCACATGCCGTCGTGCGATTCCGTCACTTCCAACTCCAATAATCGGTTCCTTGGAGTCACGCCAGGCGATTGCGCCGGATTCACAAGTTCAAATCCCCATCGACTCTGCAGCCACGCCCCCATCACCGATTTCTGCTCTTCCTCCACCAGCCCATCCTCCCCACTCCACACCAACACAATAACCCTCCCCCCTCCCTCCACCACCCATTCCTCCTCCCCAAACGCTCCATTCACCGGGCTCGCCGCCTCCCATGCGGCCCCATCCCCCCCAAAAGCCCCCGTCAAGAACTCGCCGTACACCGGCTGGGACGCATGATTCCGTGCCAGCAGCGGCAGATCATGCAGTCCGGAGAGCGACACCACCGCGACCGGTCTCCGCAGCCGATCCGGGAATGCGAGGCCCGCGCGGAGCAGCGGGTCGCCGACGAGCTGGAAGGCTAAGGTCCCGCCGCACGAGTGGCCGACGAGGAGGTAGTCGTGGCCGGTGGGGTTGCCCACGCCGTAACGCTGGTTGAGTTTTAGCAGCGCTTGCATCACATCGTCAACGTGCGCGGGATGCGCCACCGGGCTGCCGCCAGAGGGGTCGGGAGCGCTGAGGCGGTAGTTGAGGCTTGCGAATCCGGCGATGTGAGATGAGGCGCGGGAAAAAGACGGGTGGTTTAATAGGAGGTGGAGAGTAGGAAGGAAATCTGCTGAGCTCTGGGTCGGGTCGCGCCATGCGCCTCCGTGAATGTAGCTTTGAGGGATTAGTGGGATCATGTGGAGGGCGGACTTGTCGACTGGATTGGATCATGGTCGGGCTTGACTTCTTACAACTCGGGAAAGGCGGATAGCGGACATGTGGGAAATCGGGACCTACATTACCCAAACTGCTCCTTGTTTATTTAACTCCCTGCTCTGGACGAGGACATCGAGGGACTGCAGAGGGTCGGGTCCGTACGATATCCTCTCCATCGGGGGATTATCGCTGCCCATACAGGAACACTAGTATATACTGGAATTTGCTCTCCAATTCTCCGTGGCCAAAACCAAATATACCAGTACTCAGCGGTTAAACATGCGGGGTGTGGTTTAATACTGGAGATATAATTCAGTCCCTGAGAGGAAGGGAGGCGAATATAATTACGTGATTGGTTGAGAAATGTGAAAAGGAACAAGATCTGATTGGTCCCGATCGAAAAAGTTGAGAAATATGATTGGCTGAAAATGGATAAACGGATTACACCACGTGACCAAAATATAGATAGAATCACGTGGAGTGGCGAAGCCGCCCGTGACCCGGCCATGTCATCTCCCTGACCAGCCCTACGTTCCCTACAAATGCCCTGCCTCTCCCCCCGCAATTCATCCATCTGCACCACTCTACCCATTACCCAAACCCCATCTCTGGAATTGGGGGTTAAAACACCATCATGGCTCCCTCCGTGGGAACCTTCCACCTCCTGGTGGCTAAAAATGCCAAATTACTCCGGTTCGTATCATCGATCCTCCCGTCCTGAGATCGTACTGACGCCCCCTCTAGGTTCGCATGGAAGCAGGCCGCCCAAGCCGTCCAAAACCACGTCCCCATCGCCCGTGCCATCGAAACCGAACTCCAACCCATCGCAACCCGCATCGCCCCGCGGACCTCCGCCCAGCGCATCGCCTGGCTCAAGCAATCGGGCGCCCGCAGCTACGCGTCCGCCGCCCGGCACGGCGCCTCGCGCTCGTTCTCCACCTCCCAGCGGCATGCGGCCGGACTCAAATACGACCGCAGCAAATACCCCACCTCCCGTATCCGCAGCGCTGTCGAGCGGTTCACGGGCCGCGCGCCGTTCGCGTCGACGATGCGGCCGAACCTCACGGGCGGGTCGCTCGGGCGGACGGCCGGAGGATACACGCTAGGCGCAGGGCGGGTCGGGGGCGCGAGGCATTTCTCACATGGCCCGGCGAGCCCGGCGGAGGTGGTGCGACATGTGTCGCAGGGGGTACGGGCGTTCATGCTTGAGGGGAAGCGGGCACAGTTCGATGGGGTGGATCCCGTAACTGGGAAGCATCGGTATAAGGAGGTGTCGGTGCTGGAGAACGACGTCTCACGCAAAATGAGCGCGTTCCAGCCATGTTCACCGGGGTCGTTCATCGACTTTCCCGTTAACCCGACCATCACTGCGCTGGCACCTCGCCACGCCTTTGAAGGCACCGGATTCACCCCCAAGTCAATGGACACCCTCAACACCGACGGGCTCCTAGACGTCTTGTCGATCGACTTCTCCCGCGCGCTGAAAGACCTCGCCATCGTCCTGACCGACCTGAAGCGCCTCGCCTCGCTCGGCGACCTCCCCATCTCTTACCACGGCACGATCGTCCGGGTGCATTTCCCGGGCTGCGATGCCGACACGGTCGAGCAGCTGTGCGACGAGTTGGGCATCCAACGCGGCATCGTCGGGCAGGATCGGGAGTTCCCCGCGTTCGCCGGGACGGAGATCGCGCTGCTCTTCCCGTTCGCGCCTAGTATCGTGTCGTCCGAGGCGGACGGCCACTCGCTGTACGAGCCGCGGAATCCGCCCGACAAGATCGACTACGACTTCGAGCTGTTTCCGCGCGTGCGGTCCGTGATGTCGGCGGAATCGGAGGATGGGAATGGACCGCTCATGATTCCGTCGAGCAATCCATGGGTTTCATCCCCGTCGGGGTATGAGAGCATTCGTACCAGCGACTTGGAGGACGGCGACGCTCGCGGCCCCCCTCGGTGCCATGATCCGCTGGAGTATCAAGGTCTCCAGGGGGTTTATCGGTTCATCGAGCAGTGCGAGGTCTAGCATCGCGGCACCGTTCGTTTTCCTTTCATAGTTATTGTCCTCTCAACTTAGCGGCTCCAAATTGTAAATTAAATGACTCAAGACCATTCCATGTTTGCAGGTATCCGGCAATGTGATCCTTGTGGGCACAGAGGATGCCGGTGAAAGCCGCTCTGTGCATCTACCACCAAATCAGAGTTCAGAGTAGAAGCCCCTGCTGAGGCCATTCACGTGGCCTGTTTATGGTAGAATGAGCTGCTGTAGTCGTTAAGAGCGTGATTGTGCGTTCGTTCCCAGTTTCACGCTCGGGTATTTGAGTATTTTGCAGGTCGATCGCGAATACGACCTGGCCACTCCAATATCTGGGTTTGCCATTAGATCCGAGTCATCCTGCAACCTGGAAACCGCGATGCCTTGAACTTATGCGGATTTTCGAGACCCGTCGCCACGCTCGGCAATTGACCGTCACGCTTCCGACCGCTCAGCGCCGATCCATCGAGCGGACTCACGCCAGCGGATTCGCATGAACTGTAACATTCTTCACCGTCACCCGCTCCGCCGGCCTCCCCTTCCCATCAACCTTCACCTCCTCCAACCGATCCAGCGTCTCCCCCCCATCGATCACCCGCCCAAACACCGTATTCTTGCCATCCAAATGCGGCGCCGCCGCGAAGCAGACGAAGAACTGGCTACCGTTCGTGTTGGGGCCTTTGTTCGCCATGGAGACGATCCCCCGGGCGTTGTGGCGCAGGGCCGGGCGGATCTCGTCGGCAAAGAAGCCGGAGTCGGAGGGGTCGTGGGGGGCGGCGTGGATGCTGCGGGAGGACTTGGATTTGGGGTCGGTGGCGGGGGAGCCGGTTTGTGCGATGAAGGAGGGGATGATGCGGTGGAACGGGGAGCCGTCGTAGGCGGATGAGGCGCAGAGAGCGAGGAAATTCTGGGGGAGGGTTAAGATGAGGAACTATATTCTTTCGGAGGACGGACTGACCTCCGCTGTTTTCGGGACGCTGTCGCAGAAGACCTCGATCTTGAGATCGCCGATATCGGTGTGGAACTGGGCGATGTTAGAACTCGAGACATACAGGCGTCCGCAATGGTTTTTTTTTTTTGGAAAACGTACCGTGACAGACATGATATCTTATAATGGGGTGGCCTGCTCAAGCGGGCAAGGCGGTTGTTGAGTGTAGCTAGATTGCACCCGGCGTTTGGCAGGAGTTTCCTTGGAGGACTAGGGACTCAAGAAAGCAACCAGATTAATAGCGGTATGTATGATTGGAATGGAATTGGAATTAAATCGGAATAAAACTAAAGGCTCGAATATTTATCAAGTTGTATTGGAGATGTGGATGTGAATATTAATTATTGATTATCTGATTATCGTGGTGGTGCTTTGATGATAATTCACAATACGGTAATTACCCCAAGGAAATAACTGCGGGGCCCAATCGCTGGTAGTTTCACTTAGTAAGGTATAAAGGTACCCCATACGGGCCATAATTATCATCGACTTCAGTCTTTACCTACTAAGGCCATATGTTACGATAGGAAGGACTTAGAATCTTAAATATTGTTGAGTGGGCATCATCGGATTGGAGCTTGGGGATTGGATCGGAGTTCCGACAGTCTCACTCTCTGCTGTCTCTCGTGTGTGTCATTGAGTGAGTGTCTCTCTCCCCAGCAGGCCAGCACATATCGTAATCTCGTAGGGTCGTCATACGCCGTGCCGCTACACCTCTCTAGACTCTAGCCCCATCGGCTCCTCCGCTCTCTCACCACTTCACTTCCGGTCAATCACTACTCAATCGTTCACTAGGGGAGTACAGGTACATCTCTACTTGCTACTATTCATCTTGTCCGACCCTCCTTTCTTGCATCGGTACTTGTAGACCGCCTATCTCGGTCGCTGTACATCCCCATCGCTCGGTCCAGGCTCTCCCATTCGGCCTCACCTCACCTATCACCTCGTTTTCCCTGGTCCTCCGGCCGTACTGCACACCTGAAGATTCCGCAATCAGGACCCCCCTTGACAGTTGCCAGCAGCCCAGCACGAGTTCAGCCCTGCGAAATCCACACCCCCTTCGTCCCCACTTCGCAATCCATCACACGGATTATTCACATCTCGAACGACGAACCGCTCTTGTGTTTACTGATTCCTGTATGATCACCCATCTTCTCCCCACCTACCCTTCCTTTCCGCACCATCGTTTTCGAACCCTCGTGCTGCTCTCCCTCGAATCCGCTTCGATTGGCGGCGTTTAACCTTCCCATGCCGCGGAGCGGCCGTGTCCTTCGCCCGCTGGCCACGCCGTATCGCCGGGTGTCGAGACGATGGCGGCGTTTGTGCGGATATCCGGTCCGCCCAATAGCAACTTCCTCGTGGGCTACCCGGGCATATCGGCGACGCTGGTAAGTCACTCCGCCCTTTCCACTCGCGCGGTCCGGTCCGCACCGTTGCGCGCATCGCTGACCGTGTGCTCTCCTATCTAGCCGCGAATAGAAGGAAAAGTCGAGATCCGCCCCGGCGTCGGGGTGTCCGCCCCCGTGCAGGTGTCCCTCGTCACCATCGCGCTCATGCGGAAGGAAACCATCCACCCGTCCGCCGACTCCATCACGAAAAAGCGGCTGGCGGCTCCGCGTAAGGAGATCACGGACCTGGTCGGCAAGGAGCGGTTGCTGTATCGCTGCCCCACCGGCAAGGAGTTCGAGAACGTCATGGCCATGGACCTGCCGTTCGTTATTTTTATCCCGTACGGGCGAGGGGGGGAGGAGGTCAGTCGCCGAGTACCCCCGGCGAGCCTGCAGTTGGCGAGTCGGACCGCCGAAACATATTACGAGCTCGTCGTCACGGTGCAGCAAGGGGCGCAGGACCAGAAGAAGCACACGACGCCCGTCCCTATATTACGATACGATACACTGTCAACATTCGGCATGTACAATCGCCCCGAATCCGCGGAGCGGGTGACGGACCATCTGGTCACGTTGGGCATCTCATTACCACGGTGGTCCTACGGCCCGCTGGATCCGATCAGCGTGTACATCAAACTGAGCCCGAACCGGGACTGGATGAACAAAGCGAAGAAGGTCACCATCCAAAAGATCACCATCGGTATCGACGAGGAGGTCGTCTACAACCACGAGGGCGACGAACCGACCATCAAAACCAAATCCATCGCCCGCACCAGCCAAGCCGTCAACGTCAAGATGCCCGAAGCCGGCTACTTCACCAACCTCGGCCTCGTCTTCCCCGCCAAGGACCTTCGCGACAGCGACGGGATAATACCGCGCGGGAAGAAGGAATTCCCGCTGTACCCCGTCAGCGGGTTTACCACCATCGGCACGCTCTACAAGATCCAATACTTCCTCACCGTCAAAGTAAGTCAAGTCCCCCCAGTCCACCGTTTGATCTAATATGATCAGGCCCACATGTCCTCCGCCCGCGACATCCTCCTCCGCCAACCTATCGTCGTCTGCCCCTTCGACCACACCAGCTGCAAAGAGGAGATGGAGGCCATCGAGCAGGCGGCGCGCGACGCTGCGCACGTCAGCCCCGATAACCCCATGCTCCCGGCGTCGAGCGTCATCAAGGCCAACGATTCGAACGGGCTGCAGGCGCTGGGGATGACGATGGTGGGCGGGCTGCGGAAGCCGCTGATCGAGTAGGGGAGTAGACCACTGAGTCTAGGAGAAGGTACTTAGTCGCGCGGACGGATTCTTGCCAGGAGTACTGGGCTGGGACGTGCGAACGCCCACATTTCCTTGCCGATGGAACGGGATATCAGACCGGAGTTATATTGTCCTTTCCCACAGCCAGGACGACGAAGGAATTCCGGAACCACGCTTAGGAGTTTTTGAGAGCATCGCGTTGGCGTTTTTTGGAGATGGGAGGGAAGGCCAGGGGGATATGGATCTGTGGCGCGCGGCTCGTTCCGCTTTGGACAAAGCGTGGTGAATACCGGAAACGTTGGGGGGGGGACCGAGAACTCGGTTTTTTTAGGCACCGCCGATTACGGAGGCGCGTAACTGCGTGATTCAGAAATTCACGTGGAGGTACATCGCATCCGGGGGGTGGCAATGGTGGAGAGTTAGGTATTTGTGAATCTAAGGTCTCGAGATATGATGGACTGTTTTCGCTTGGTTGTTGAATCCTGAACTGTTGGGCCATTGAGGATTCCCGGAAGAGATAAAAACGGCTTCAGGTCGGTCTACGCCATGAACAACGAAGGAATTAGAGTCGATATAATTTTTCTGGGGGAGGGGAAATCCAGTCACCTTGATCGAAACGCCAGCTGAAACGTGCGCGGTTGCGCGGTCCCATCATGTTCCTGCGGTTGCCCTTTCCCAAGGAGCCGAGCGATTGACGCGTCGACCATCTCTTTCAGGGCGATGTATTGCGCGCTGGACTCGCCAAAGGTCGAGGCGGCGTTGCGGAGGTTGGTGCGGAGCTGGAGGGGATTAGCTGCGTTGAGGGGGCGAGAAGGGTTGACGGACGATTTGGATGGTGTCGTCTGGTTCGGACATTGTGGGATTGAGATGGGGGGATTGGAGAGTGTAGGGTAATGTGTAACTCGGGGTTTAATCAACATAAGAGAAAGTTCCGTTGAGATCAAGTGAATTTTTGGTTTCCATCATACGTATGCAGCTTTTATGAAGTTGTACGCAAGTAATACACGTTTGATCACTACTAACTAGCTATAGATTCCCAACTTAGATCTCATTTGCAAGGATCCGCAACTACGCCAATATCGCCGTCGCCAACGACCATGACCGTGGGGTATCACATAAAACTCCTTTCCTACGCCCAATCCCAAGTCCTCTATCGCTATCTAGGTCCATTCCCTGTCGGTTTCGCGGCCCGATGCCTTCCCTTCCGGCCCCCCGACCGCTTGAACGGAGGTCCCCGTTTCCGCGGCGACCATTGGATCCCCTCGATCGCAAACCCCGCATCCGACGCCGTCAAGTAACTAACAATCCCGCAGTCGACGATCGCGAGGATGACGTTGCGATGTCCTTTTTTGAGGCGCTGGTAGAGCGGCATGGATTCCGGCGGGGGTGCGTATGGTGTGGACGCCAGCAGCGAGGAGAGTTGCGCGAGTGAGGGTACAGTGGTTTCTCGTGCTGACATGACCGCTATCTGGTAGTCGGGAGGGGGAGGGGAGCGTTTGGAGTAGTTGCTGGAGGGCTTGTAGACGTGGAAGGTGATGCTGAGGGCGTCGGGGTCGGGCGTTTGGTCGGGGTCGAAGTACGGTGGTGTTGGAGTATCGGTGGGTTTGGTGGTGGGGTTGTGGCTGGGGATGATCCGAAGCAGGTGGAAAATATCGTCTAGCATCTTGTTAGAAATGGTCAGACGATGAATCGGAGATGACGCACCGTATGAGCGATAGAGGCCTGGCGATACCAACGGGCCGGCGATGCCGCGCTTCTCTAGTGATGCAGCAGCGGATCGCGACCGCCGTTCCGCGAGGAAAGAGAATAGAGAAGTGGTCCTAGCCGGTGGGCTTGTGGTCGGCCCCTCGACTTGCGCAATACCTGCTCGAATCACGATATACCCCAATCTCTTCAAATGCGCATACACCGAATACATCTCCATGGTCAACGGCCTCTCGAGTGACTGTCCCATCCCAATGAACACCGAATAAGCCGCCTGCAGGCTCATGGGAACCGTGTCCTCCTCTCCCGCGCCGTGAGCCCCCTCGTCTCCAGGAAGCAGGTCCGGGGGCCATTGAACATCGAGAGATCCGCGCTCCAGGAGATACAGCGCTTCTTCGGGCGCCAGCCATATCTGGCCGCCCGTCCACCGCCCCATGGTCATGAAATGCCGGTCGTGCGGCTTCTCCACGAACGCGCCGCATCCCCCGTAGTCCAGGATAGCTTTGGTGCGGTTCTTCCCCCGGTGGACTCGGGTATAGGACAAGGCGTCTTCCATGGCGGCCCGCGACGCCTCCAGCACGGATGTCTGCATCTGCGTCGCGTCTGGTTCGAAGTCTTTCTCACCCCGCTTGGGGAGCTTGTGTTGGGAGCCGGCATTGCTGGAGATGTCAGCGCTTATATACGGGAGTGGGGGGAGGAGCGCACAGGAGGTTGGCTAGAAATCGGAAGTCTTGCGCCTCCTCGGACAGATCGACCTCGACTCCAGGTTGGCCGGAGGGAGGCACGGCGTCTTCATCGATGTCGGCCATGATTGGAGAAAGGGAAATTCAAACGATCGAAGGCGATTGATATCGAGATATGATATTGCTGGACATTGCTCGACATCACAGGACTTAGAAGGATCAGTCCCCAGCGCCATTGAATATCAAACTCTGAGTCAGGGAGGTGGTTTAAAGTGGGGCCTTACGACTCAAGATCAGCAGGTGGTGAGAGGCGCAACTTCCTTCCACCCCACGAGTCCAGAGCCACAGATGAGTAGACAATTCAGTGACTTCACCGTGCAGTGTGTTCAATAGACCCGCCAGAACCGTTATTGTCCAGTTACCCTTCGCTCTAATTCATTATCCCTGTACCTTTAATTCCCTCCAGAACTTATTGATCCCTCCGGCCCTTCCCAGGGCAACCACGACCGAGCCTCAGGTGGAGGGGTACGCACATCAAATCCCCCTACGAAGGCTACCATGGAGGACTTCAACAGTGAAACCGACAGCGACTACACCAGCTACTGGAGAGATTGGGTATGCGACGATCCACCCCATCCGAGGGCAACAATGCTAACCGCGTCAGTTCATCTCCTCGCGGGGCAACGAGTACTTCTGCGAGATCGACGAGGACTACCTGACCGACCGCTTCAACCTCACTGGCCTTAACACCGAAGTCGAATACTATCAATATGCTTTGGATCTGGTCACCGATGTCTTCGACCTTGATTGCGACGACGACATGCGCGAGCGGATTGAGAAATCGGCACGGCAGCTCTACGGGCTCGTCCATGCCCGGTACATCGTTACCACGCGGGGTCTAGCGAAAATGGTTTGTGCTGCGCACTCCGTGAGACACCGATTTGCTTATATTCTACCTAGGTCGACAAATTCAAGAAAGGCGAGTTCGGGAAGTGCCCGCGCGTGATGTGCGATCAACACCCCCTCCTTCCCATGGGTCAGAGCGACATTCCCAACGTCTCCTCGGTCAAGCTCTACTGCGCCAAGTGCGAAGACCTGTACAACCCCAAATCCACCCGGCACGCCGCCGTGGACGGCGCCTACTTCGGCACCTCCTTCCACAACATCCTCTTCCAAGTCTTCCCGCAGCTAGTCCCGCTGAAGTCCACGCGACGGTACGAGCCCAAGTCGTTCGGGTTCCGCGTGCATGCGTATGCGGCGCTGCAGCGGTGGCAGGACGATAAGCGGGATGAGATGCGGATACGGTTGCGGAGAGCAGGGGTGGATTCGGGGTTTGAGGAGGATGATGATGAGGATTTTGATGAGCCGGACGAGGTGGATATGGATGCGGAGAATCTGGATAATCCCCTGAATGACCCGCGAGTGAATCGAACGACTGTCTGAAGAACATCAAAATGGACTCTTTTACCTTACAATTGATTCGTCTATACATACGGTTGAGTTTACCGGTCCATTGGATCCGTCATGCCAAAACCCGTAGTCTATGTGGCGTCTAATGCATCCTGGACGATTTGATATTGGATGGATCAGTATCGATGTGGCCATGTGGGTGGGCTGTCTGGACTGGGTAGTCCGGCTGGGCAGGACTCGCCCGCAGATGTCAGAGTGGGGCACACTGAATAGACAGTGAACCCCGCCATCTGATACTGAAGTTTCCACACCAGATTCCAACGTCCCACTGCCTTCAACTACTTCCAAATAGTTACTTATATGATTAATATCAATTGGTAAACGCCGAATTTTGCCAACATGTTCAAGAAAGAGTGCGTTTTATCTGTAACATAAGAGTGTTGCGACCGTCCAGCTAACCCGCCTGTAGAATCCCTCCTGGGACCAAATCGAAGGTCAAGTCCTCCGTGCAACGCGGCATCCGAAGCAAAGCGATCGAGACGTATCCACTGCTAGAACCTTACATGGACGAAATCATGCCGAAGAAGGAGCAGCTAGACATGATCAAACTGTACGTGCTGCGCATTTTTTCCCCGAGTCTGCCATTCGAAATCTGACACCCGCATGCAAGCCCCGACCGAGTCACTCTATACGCCCTCTCCGCATCGCCCGTCGTCCCGCTGTTCTGGCAACACATGGACGACCCCCTCATTCCGCACCTCCGTCTCGTGCACCGCTTCCCTGATTGCTTCCACCGAATACGCATCGACCGCGGAGCGATCCGCTTCGTCCTGTCCGGCGCCGCGCTGATGACCCCCGGCGCGACCTCCCCGGGCGGCCGGCTACCGGAGGCGGACGGCAACGGCGAGGAAGACTACCGATATGGAACCGAGGAGCTGGCGCCGGGGACGGTGGTGGTGGTTGAGGCGGAAGGGAAGGAGAATGCATGTATGGTGGGGCAGTTGAAGGTGGGGACGAAGGAGATGAAGGCGACGAAGAAGGGCGCGGCGGTGGAGGCAGGGCATTATTTGGGGGATGGGCTGTGGAATTTGCATTTGGATTGAAGGGGGCGCGATGTGAGGGACATGGAGGTTTCGTAAAGTGGAGGGCGCGGGATTCCACGCGTGCATATCACGGACAGGTTCTGTTGCGCGACACGGGTTGCGGCGGTCATGCATGGGTTCTCGTCGGAGTTCATCACACGGACAATCATGATTGGCCATAGAATATTGTCTTCGACGTTCTGTACCCCGTTACCAACATATCATCATTACCGTCCAGCCCCGTCCCCGGCGCCGCTTCCACCACCTTGTCCGCCCATAAAGTTGCGTGCCCTAGCCTCATGTTAGCAAGCTGGTTGTGGCCTTCAAAGGTGACTTGAACTTACATTTCCGCAATGGACGGATCGCTCATCAGGCTCGACAGATCCGGCATGCCACCACCGCCTCCCTGCCCGCCCCCGGATCCGAACTGCTCGGCCATCTGCCGCAGTCGGGGGTTGTTCAACACGTCGTTCATCGCGTCCGGGTTGCTCATCATGTTCTGCGCCATCTGCCGCATCATGGGATTGTTCATGATGGAACTGAAATCCGGCATCCCACCGCCGGCGCCACCACCGCCGCCACCACCCAGCATACTAGCTAGACCAGAGAGATCGGGCATCCCCCCCGAACCAGCCCCGCCCCGCGCGGACGCCCCAAGATCCACACTATCCTCCTCCCCTGCCTCCTCCTCCTCATACCTCCGCTTCGCCGTCTCAAACCCCTTCTTCATCGCCGCGCTCCCCCCGTTCCCCTCCGCCTCAATCCCCGCCCCGTACGCCTCCATACTCCCCTTCATATCCCCCAGCGCGAACCGCGCCAGCCCCAGCCGGCTCCACGCCTTGTTGTACTTCGGATCCGCTGCCACCGCCAGCTCCGCGTCCCCCGCCGCCTCCGCGTGCCGGCCCGCGCCGCTGTACGCCGCCGCGCGGTTCGAGAGGTAGATGGGATTGGTTGGAGTGATCGCGATGGCCTGCGTGTACAGCTCGATCGCAGTGGGGTAGTCCTTCGCTGCCATGGCCGCGTTGCCCTGTCCCTTGAGCCGCTCCGCCTCGTCGTTCTTCGCGGTGGGCGTGCTGACGGGGGGGGAGGTGGGCGTGCTCGTGGCCGGGGTGGCGGGGCGCGCCTCGCTAGCCGACGATGCGCCCGTGGTGCTGGCGGTGCTCTTGCCTTTGAGCTTCTCGTAGACGCCGTAGATGCCGACGAGGGATTGGCCGCCTAGGGCGTCGGCGACGGCGGATTTGTCCGAGGCGTCGACTTTGAAGGCTTCGGCGATGCAGTTGGAGGCGATTTCGAGGGATTCGGCATCTTCTTGGGCAACGGTGCCGTCGGTGGCGGAGGTGGAGAGGAAGTCGAGGATGGCGAGGGCGAGGCGCTTCTTGGAAGCGTTGAGAGAGGTGGCCTTTGAAAATGTTAGCATGGGGTGAACTAGCTGAGTTGCGGTTTATGTCGACCAACCATTCTCGATGTAGGTACGTATTGTCTATTTGGGATACGTGGAAGTAGTCTTTATAAAGGAGCGAAATTCCTCACTTGCATGGAATATCAGAATGCTTCTCTACTTGGGGTGTGATGTAGTGGCGTTCAGATGCCCGTGCCCTTAGATTTGACCAGCGCCCAGCGGGCAGCAATGGCTTAGGTTTGATGCCTCAGGCAATAAGGCTTTAGATTATGAATGGTTCCCTCATCTGAGTCAGCAGTGCGAGTCTCCCAGTTGTCCAAACAGTCCAATTCTGGTGATCGTCTTCAACTGCTACTCTGCCAAATACACTGTCACTCTCTCCTCTGCGCGACATTTCATGATGAATATTAATATCTGGTGCTTCTTTAATGCCTGGAAAATTTAAATCCCCATTCTCTCGAATGTGCCGTCTTTATACTGAGCTTGGAGCGATATGTCTGGGATACTTTTTATAATCCCTCGCTCTGTGCTGCGTCGGATTGGTAAACCAGCAGCCATTGTCATGAAGAAGTACTGTGAACTGCCAGGTCTTGTGTCTTATATCTGTATCTCCGTGTCATGTCTGCCTCAGATTGTAACGCGACTCGCTGTTTCGCTCTCGCTGCTTCTCACTGCCCCTATATCTTGCTACGGCTGACAGATGGAGTCTCCGGATCTCGTATGCCCGTCTTATTGTCAGCGAGCTGCTTCCGAAGAATCTTCGTTTGCGCGTTTCTCGGAAGCACCGTCACCTCATGAACCCCTCCCCTCAGCTTCTTATATCCGCTGACCTTACTGTCCACCAGCTGCCGAATCTTTTGGAGGGCCTTGACTTTCTCTTCCCGTGTACGAACGTGCTCCTTGAGAACGACATAGGCAGTGGGAAGCTCGGTCAATTGCTCCTGGTCCCATACGCTACCCACAGCAGCCTCCGCAATATCCGGATGGGACGTCATGTAGGTCTCGAGTTCCGTGGGGCTGACTTGGAACCCTTTGTATTTGACCAATTCCTTGGTTCGGCCAACAACGGACAAATATCCTTCCTTGGAGAACGTGCACACGTCGCCGGTATTGTACCAGCCGTCGCCTTTGAACGCATTCCTCGTCGCTTCTTCGTTAAAGATGTATCCGGACGTTAGATTGGGTCCTCGAAGCCACATTTCACCCGGTCCGCCTGCGGGCGCATCTTTCGAGCCATTGTCGGCACGAAGCACGGCTTCTATTCCGGGGAGAAGGTTGCCAAGCTGTCCAAGCGGAACGGTTTGTCGCTGTTTCTGATATACAACAAACGGCGCCGCTTCAGTCATACCATAGAGCATGATCGTTTTCCAATTGCCTTTGCTTAGTAGCCTCTGGTATGTTGCGTCCTCCACTGGAAGGCCGCCGCAGACCAGGTAGCGCACGCTCGAGAAGTCATACCGTTTGGTAACGTCGGAATTCGCCAATGCCAATGCCACCGTTCCCACGGCCTGGGCCGCCGTTGCTTTGTTGTCCTGGACCATCTTCCCGAACGTTTCCAGATCATATGACGGCATGATGCAGTGGAGGACACCACACCAAGGACCAAGGAAGAGGGGGATCGTCGTGTTTGCGATATGCACGAAGGGCGTATACGACACGATTCGATCTCCAGCCGTCCAGTGGTCCGGATCGTGCTTGTGGAGCTGCAACACATTCGCCACATAGTTGAAATGCGTCAACGCCACGCCTTTCGGATTGCCAGTCGTTCCACTAGACAAGTGGATGGATGCGAGCCGGGTTTTCGTGTCCTTATAGTGCGGCACGTCAAGCCTTCCCTCGCCCAAGAGCCCCTCGACATCCGGATGCGTGGCGGACTTGCCGAGGACGGTGACCAGTTCCGGCACGTCGAAGTCTGCCCCTCCTTTTTCTTGAGCGAGCCGGATGGCGTCGAGAACAGTCGGCAGCACCTGACCGTATACGAGGATGACGTGAGGTTTGGAGACGGTGAGGGCATGGGCGATCTCGGCGGCCTTCAGAGCATGGTTAATGGGACATGCTACTCCGCCAACCCACAGAACCGCGTGGAACAGTTCAATATATTCCACGCAGTTCGGGACAATGATTGCCCAGCGGCTTTGGTCGGGGGGGTTGAAGCGTTGTTTAAATCCCGAGGCAAAGCGGCCGGCGCGATCTCGCAGTTGTCCGATGCTCAAGGTGCGGCCAGTAAGGCAGTCTCTGGATATCAAATGCGATTCGGGGAGATCATTCCGAGCAGATGTATGTAGAAGTTCTGTTAGGTTAAGGTCATTTGGTACGGAAATCGCCTCGGTGGCGTATGTTCGCATTATGGGACACTAGGGAGAGTTGCGGTATGTAGAGGCAAGGCACTAGGGTAGTATATCACTATTTTAAATCGATACGAATTCCGACGGGAAATCAATTGAAATATATCCTTTTATGTTTGTCTATGTAAATTAGCCTTGAGTTCCTTCGTAGTGTTTCCTGGGCGATTCTCCTCAAAGTTACCATCCGGATCCTAGTGAGGGGCTTCGATCCGAATCCTCGGCCACCTTCACATTCCCGTCCGCCTAAGTTCAGCACCAACGGCTGTCAACGACCAGTTAGACGGCGAGTACACAAGATGGCGCAGCCCTCCGTAGACGGTGCTCCGTCGAAGTACGCGATTCAAGAAGCCGCTCGGGAAGGGAAAAGTGAGCCGCTTTACCATTTACGATCCCTGCATTCAGTTGCTAACGATGACGCCGTAGCAACCGTGGTGGAATCACTGCTTCATGTAAGGCTGCCTGGGATCCGGAATTTATATATCTAGAGAATCCCATCTGACGTTCCTTGCAAAGGCCAGCCCGAAGCTTGTAAATGCTCACGATGAAGATGACCGACTCGCTCAGCACTGGGCGGCATCGTACAATCACCTGGACATCCTCCAGCTACTGGTCCAACAAAGTGCATTTGACGTCGACGCACAGGTATGGTGCTTTCCCAAAGCTATTAATCCGTCGTCTTCGGAGTTGTTAGAATTCGAAACTAATGGAAAAATAGGATGGTTCCGGCTGGACCGCCTTGATGATGGCATCGTCGATCAAAGACGGGGAGGATGCCGTCGAGCTGCTGCTGCAGAGGGGGGCGGATGTAACCATGACAAGTCCGATATTCCTTTCCTATCTCAAGAGACGATTGAAATTAATGGTCGGGTTCAGATAACAATGGACAGGTTAGCTGCCAACATCAGTCCCGCGGCGCCCCTAGACCAGAGTACTAACTGCGTGGAAGACCGCTCTCCACTTCACAGCCTCGAAGAACAACCTCGACATCGCCAAGCGGCTGATCGCGCACAAGGCATCGGCGCGCACTAAAGACAAGCGCGGTCAGCTTCCGCTGCATCGCGCCGCAGCGATCGGTTCACTGCCCATGATCAAACTGCTCCTGAGCAGTCGAAGTCCCGTGAACGCAACGGATGTGGATGGGCTCACGGCACTGCACCATGGTGAGTCAAGGGAGCGTGCCCGCACTGCGACGGTCGGGCTAATCAAGATCACAGCGATTTCTGAAGGGCATGGGGAGGCGGCGATGCAGCTGCTCAGAGAAGGGGCGGAGTCGGATAAGAGGGATTTAGGGGGACAGCTTCCCATTGATCTAGCCCCTGATGGAAAGGTAAGAGGAATGTCGACCGCCGGCTATGAAACCAACTGACACTGAAGTAGATTCGCAACTATATCCTCCAGAGCGCCGAACGGGAAGGGATAGAGATACAGCAGACGTAAACCTTGCGGCACCTTTCTTGCCACACAATGTATCCAATGACTGACACGTATGCGATCAAACACGGAACCATGTCCTAGTGAAATTTGCCTTGCCAGTAAACGCACCTCCTCCAATCTCGAGCGTATTCACTTTTTCATCACCGTACTCTCCGCTAGTTCCCGCAACATATTTTTCAAATCCACCACATCATTCTCCAATTCCTCCACCCGCTCGCTCTTCTCCCCATACATCTGCAGCGTCGTCTCGTACCGCCGGTCCAACCCCTGCAAATCCGCCCCTAGCCTCGCCACCTGCTCTTCCAACCCTCGCGCCTGCTCCGCCTCCCGCATCAGCGCCACCGCCTCCTCCCGCGCCTCATCGCGTTGGGCGGCGACTCGAGCCAGCTCCTCGCGATGGACCGCCTTCTCCGCTTCCAGGCGCCGCACCGCGGCACTCATCCGCTCGACGAGCTGCACGGACGGACCCGCGCCGACGGTGCTGACGGAGAGCATGTCGGCGATCGTGCGGCGCGGGCTGTTGGAGGTCGCCGTGTCGAGACCCTCGTCCGGGTCGATGGTGTGAATCGACGGAGGTGTTCCCGAGAAGCCGGGGGCTTTGCTGAAGCCGCCGGATGCGCCGTTGACGCCCAGTCCGAATTGCGATAGGGAGGACGGGAAGGAATCTTGTCGTTGGGGCGTACCGACCATGTCCGGGGTTAACGACGGGAGAGTCGAAGTGCGCCGGCTCGGGGGTCGGCCAGAGTCCACGGGGACGGACAGGGGGGCTAGATCGGATGAGATGGCGCGTCCGCTGCGTCGACTGTGCGGGCCGAGGAAGTCGTTTCCGGAAAATTTACGATTCAAGGAGGCGGACGGGGAATCGGCTCGAAGGAAGCTATTCTCTTGCGCTGGGCTGGACACCGTCTCCATGCGGATCTTCGAGCGCTCCTCGTCGATCCGGTGTTGCACATCCTGTTCCCATGCTTTCTTCTCCCGCTCGAATGCGTCCTTGGCCATACTCAGAGCATTTTCGGCGTCGTCCAGTTGTGATTGAAGCCGCTGGAGCGCGCTGGCAGTGTTTTCCGCGTCCATTTCGAACGATCGGACCCGCTCATGTGCAGCATCCAACTCCTCTTCCGCGCGTCGGGATTTTATGTTGGCTTCCCGGGCCCGTTTCCTGAGCTCCCCTTCGCGTCGAGCGACCTCGTCTCGCTCCTTCTCGACGGTAGATAATCTAGCGTTCAACATGTTCTCGATCCCCTGCCAGTTCTCGCGCGCCACCGAATATTGGGTTTGCAGCGTCTCGATTTGGCGGAGGAGCTTGACCTGCGAATCACCGTTCTCACTCGACGATACTTCTTCGGACTTCGTTCGGAGAAATTCCAGTTTCCCTTCCAAGTTCTGGCGGTTTTAGTGAGGCTCAGGATGTGTACGCTGGAAATTAAACTTACCAATATTTCGGCCTTCAACTCCGACTCTGCCAGCTTGGTCTTCTCCTGTTGCTGTGATAGTTGCTCCTTGATCCCCTGAATTTCCGAACGGGCCCGATCCTCAGCGAGCTTCTTCTCGATGCTTGCATTCTCCAACTGATCCGTGAGGTCGACCACCGTCCGTTTTTCAGCTTCCAGCGAGTCGGCGTGCACGCGGCTTTCCGCATCGATCGCACGGTCGTTGGCTTCCGTGAGCTGCCGTTTCAGGTCCGCTATCGTCAAGGCCGCCGCCTCTCGATCCAATCGCAGCTGATCCACATCCTTCTCCAACCTTCCAAGAACTTTCATCCGCTCGATCGCCTGCCGCTCATTTACTTCCGCCCGTCGAGCTCTTTCGGTCGCCTCTGAAGCGTTTCGCTCAGTAGCGTCGAGCCTTTTTTTCATCTCCCCTAGCCTTTTGTCCTGCACCGACGCATCGGCGCGTAATTTCTTGATGGCGGTCATGTGCTGTAACTCCTTCTTCGACAACGTCTGGCCTTCGTCCATGAGAAGAGCAATCTGTTCTTCCTTCTCAGCCAGTTTTCTGTCGAGAGAGCCTGCCTCCGCCGATTCCTTTGCGTGACGTGCTGCCTCAGCAGCGGATTTGGCGAGGTATTGTAACTTTGCTTGAAGGGCATCGATTCTTTCTAGATGTGCATGCATTTCTTCTGACCGCTGTCGTGATTCCTCCTCGTACTTTTTCCGGAGCTCTTCGACATTGTCCTCTCCGTAAGTAAGCGCATGGTCCGCTGCGCCGGCGGTAGCCTCATCCTGAGGAGGTTCCGATATTGCAGGTATCTCGAGGGAGGGCTTCGCGCTGGGTGAGTCGGTTGATAACCTAGGCAGAGGCTCTTCTGGGACGCTTGGTGCGTTCAAGGACGGATGTGCAGGCTGGATTTCCGATTCCGAAGTGTCGTGGTCTTTGCCCTTATCCACCACCTCCTGCTGCAATTCCGACAACGTTTCCGATACCCGAGACTCCAAGCTTCCACGTCCAGCATCTGTCGCGATCCCCGGGCTTTCCACACGGGAAGGTGTTTCGGACGATAGTCGACTTCCTGGTCGTGAACCATCATTGTTCTTGGCCACAGCTTTCGCTAGTCGATCTTGTAAACGTCCATTTGCTCGGTTACGTGATGAAGATCGCTCTATAACAGTATGTTAGCATGAAGGCACCGTGATCAAGACAACATCCGCGGGCGCACCTTTCTCTTGACCAGCTGCTGTTGATTTAGCCCTCTTGACTTCTTCGTCTGTCGTCTGGTTTCTTGCCGCAGCCTTTTCATCCTCCGCAAGGATCGAATCGAGCCGTGACTCTAGCCCTGCGACAGCTCCTGAGAGCAGAGAACTCCAGCCTTTGGGCTTTTGCGATGCCATGCCTGCCGAGCGGTGGACGTGTAGACGAGAAGCCTTCAAATATGTGGCCGTGTGGCCTGTCGGCACAGCACAATGTCCTTGCTGTGACGTCTGCTTCAGGAAAACTTATATCGTGACTTGGAACGCATCGCAGCAATCACAGCCAGGTAAGACGTTTGGCAGACTGGAGTCGAGATGAGAATGACGAGGGATTTACTGAACGATGTGGGCTGAATTGGAACTGCTCTGGACTCCCGCGGCCCGGCATGTACAGGGAGGACAAGAATGTTGTTACGCTTGTAGTTCCCTCCGTTAATCGTTAGACGGTGTACGTAACGTTGTACCCCTTCGATGGTGCAGTACTGGCTTGACCGGGGATTGGCCGGCCCATCACAAGTCACGAGATTTCGTGTTCTTTGACGTTTAAATTAAACTTTTAAGAGGATGAAGCCATCTAACCAAATAAGGTTTAGATCGGTGACTGCCCTAGCGAAGGAGATATAAATAACTACATAACATCTAACTAACTTCAGCAGGGCGCAGGCCCCGTTTCTTGCACTCATTATGCAGCCGTTCCTTCCTTCAACAACGGTCGAAAACAGCAAGACCGTCCATGAACAGTTAACCAACCGTTCAAAAACCGTTAGAAGACTGTTCAAGAAAAATCTTACCGTTGAAGCAAGTACCTGGCTACTTAACGGTAAAACAAACCATATCTTGCGCCCTGCTGTTAACTTAACTAACTTAACTAACTAAGTTAACTTAACGTAATCCACCAGCGAGTCGCCCAAACCACCGAGTCGCCCACCTCAACCGTGGCCCACTACCGTAACCTGAATATCTCAACAACTACTGAAGCAATTTATTAATTAGGAAGTAGGCTAGGATCTACGTTTTCTGTTATAGCTAATTGAGGCATTGTACAGGTCTCAACGCGATGTCCTGGCTCGCGACAGCGTCCGCAACGTCGCTGGCGCCTTGCGGGAACGTCATTAGAAGTACCATTTTCACTGATTATATCTTGATCCCGACGTTGTACAGCTAATTCAAGCCCATCAGTAATTGAGCGCGTATTAGCGCCCTTAAGCACCTTTTTTTTGCGTTGTTTGCGCTTTGATAGCGTCTCGTTTGCCTTCCGAAGCTTTCCTATCTCGACCTCCATGATTGAAGCTCCGTGCGCGACCATTTGAACACCCTTTTCAAGGCTTGAAAAGCTTTCTAAAAGCGGTGTTGGGGAGGTATTTTGATCTCTTTGAAGGCGCTGTCGTATGTACTCTGTTTGGGACCTTATTTCAGCGACGTTGCGTGGTGTTTGCGACTCCCATTGAGTGATCTCTGGTAATGGCGTCGGGGTCTGTAATCGGACATCAAGCTTTGAAATAACAGCTTCTGGATCGAAAGGCACTAATCCTGCGCCTTTGAAGGCGCCCTGGATATTCTCCGTAGCAATTGCTTTTTCGAAGGCGGTCTTGAAAGCAGGTAAAAAGTCCTCTTTCGTGATGTGGTTGATGCGGCACCGGATAAAGTCCTCAATCTCCTTGCTATACGCGCGCTTTAATGGCCCAAAACAGCCAACGTCGAGGGGTTGTAGCAAATGAGATGAATGCGAAGGCATGCAGAGAGTAATAATCTTCTGGTCCTTGCAGAAATCCTGGAATTGGATAGTGTCATGGCTGTTATGGCCATCCATAATCAGAAGCCGATAGGCGCCAGTCGTACGGTCTTCTGTGAAGCGATTAAAATGCTTTAACCACTCAAATCCATGCTCAAGGGACGTCCAGCCCTTCTCGCTAACTGATAGAACCCAATCAGGCCTATCCGCAATCGCCTCGTACCAGGTATTGTAATGTCGAGCGCTTTTGAAGATGATGAAGGGTGGGACAATCCAACCTTGCGCGCTGGCAGCAATGATCGATGTCACCCATTCTGTATTGCCTGGCTGCAAGGTTTTTGGAGTCTGACGTCGTTCGGTACCCGTGATGACCATGCGCGTCCCGATTACGCCCATTTGAAAGCCAACTTCATCAAAGTTGTATGTATCTTCATCCAGGATACCGTATTTTGCCTTCACGTTGCGTACGAGGCGAAACCACGCGCCAATAATCTCTGGATCTTCGTTCAGGGCTCTTTTATAGTCGTACTTTCGATTAACACGTGTTTTGAGCTCTGGAACGCGTTGTACGAATCTTGAAGGCCAATTGATACCAACGTGAGCCTGACCGCGATCGCTGAGTAGCTTGTTGGCTATATCTCGCAACATATCGTAATTGAGCTGAAATCCGCGCGCGTCGACATCGAGGCAGTAGTCGATAATCACCCTTTCTTCCATATTTGAGAGCTTTTTCGAATTCGGGACACAATCGCTTCGTGCAGTCATTCCGTTGCGGCGGTCACGTAAGGTACTCCACGGGACGTTGTAAGCTTTTGCAGCTTCTCGAATTGATTGAACTTGGTCTTGTTCGATAGTCTGGATGGCTAGGTTCATTCTAGCTTCATTTGAAGGTAATTAAGGGCTCTGTTGTTGAGACATTGCGAAAAAATCGTGATGATCGCTGTTACGGAGATGAAGTGGGCGACTCGGTGGTTTGGGCGACTCGCTGGTGGATTACGTTAGTTAAATAGTTAACTTAACTTAGTTAATGCTAGTAATTACATCACAGCATGATGCCGTATATAAAGCCATGCCCGGAACCGATTACTCCACAAGCTTGATACAAACCTTGCCAATGTGAGTCCCCGAAGACGCATACTCATAAGCGTTTACCACATCCTCCTGCGTGAACTTAAACTCCCTCTCAACCGGTAGGCGAAGTTCTTTGCGAGCGACAAATTGAACCACCTCTTCGAGCAGCTGAGTAGAACCGACGATGACGCCACGCACGACAGCGCCCTTAGAAAGTGCTAGACCAGCTACATCAGGCATCTCGGACTGCTTGGCTTGCGACAGAAAGCCAATAACGGAGACATTTCCACCCATCTTGACGCAATTCAGGCTCTCTGCAATGGTGCCCGAGCCATCATTCTCGAGAACATAGTCTACACCTTCGCCATTAGTGAGCCTCAAAACTTCCTTGGACCACTCCGGATGGGTTTTGTAGTTGACACCGTGATCGGCACCAAATCTGGATTTGGCCAGTTCGAGCTTCTCATCGCTGGAGGAGGTCACAATGGTGGTCGCACCGGCAGCTTTAGCCAAAATTAAGCCAGTAATCGCAACACCTCCAGTTCCTGATTTGACGTCAGCAAAAATTGGTCGTTATTCTTCCTCTATGTCTAGTATAGATCTTGTATACCTTGGTATAAGACAGTCTGACCCGGTTTCAGAGGCAGGTTGGCCATACAGAGCGTTCCAGGCAGTCACGCCGGTGCAGACCACAGTCGACCATTCTGAAAAGTTCTGAGGCGAGTCTTTCCGGATTTTTACAGCCGATGTGGCAGGAATATTGACGTACTCGCGGAGAACCCCATCGATTGGGCCGCCTTGGCCATGGAACTAGTCCATTTGTTGTCCATAGAGATTCGTGATATCAAAGGTACCGACGACATGATCCCCCACCGTGATTTTTTAAACCCCCTCTCCAACCCTGACGACGATTCCGGCCGCATCGGAACAAGGGATCACCCTATCCTTCACAGGGTATGGGTATTTTGACGTGGCTATCACAATGTCGCGGTAGTTCAGCGAAACACTATGAACCTTGATCAAAACCTCGTGCTTGGCTGGCTCAGATATCGACTCCTGGAACGCCTTTAGGCTGCGTACGGATTTTCTTTCGCCATCAATGCGGATCACGCTTTGTGACATGTTGATAAGATATAAGAATGACAATGCTGAGGCAACCTTAAGAAAGATGAGGCTGGAGAGATACTTATAAATTTGCTCGATTTGCTCGGCTGGTTTGGGAGATGGCGGATTATATATCTAAGTTGGTGAGCCAATTGTGTCATCATACGGAGTATAAGGTAACTAGCTAATAAATAAGTGTCACACTAAGGTCATCTGACTTCAGTGCGTGTTGAGGGCTTTGCTCGGAGATGTCCATCCAATACATCGCTCTTCTCTCTCATACGTGATCTTTGCTCGATTGGAGTCTTCTCCACACAAAGCATCCCATCACCCATACCTAGGGCGATTCAAATGCTGATTCGTCTAACCTGCCTTCTTAATGAAGATTTGAAGCTTATATCCGACGTATAAAGGAGTGCAGGTAACTCCCTATGCATCTCCATGATTAGGAACGATCTCGGGTTTACCTCGGAGACGAGCTCGGTAGAAGTCCGGAACTGGGGATATTGTACGCCACCTCCGCACTCCATGTCGTGATACGTTTGCCAGTCTTATCTTTTGGCAAGTGTTTTCAGGACTGAACGTCAACGAGGTGGTAATTATGCCTCATGTCTCCTTCACATTCAGTTGAATTTGACTTAGCATCCAGGTCACTGAGCCCATAATCGACACCCACTAGATTGTTGTTCATCTGATCCAGGCTATTCAGGATGGCGATAGCTGTGAGTGTGACCTTGACGTGCACCAGAAATTCGTTCGAATCTGTCCTTTCGCATCTTGCAATGCGTCATTATTCGGACTTCTGAGTCAATGTTGTGTCAAGGCTGATACTGGCCAGGCGGTAGGGCAAATATGCTCAACGTCCAGCATGATGGATAATCTGCTCCAATGCCAGAATCTGGTTCAAAAAGCAGCTTCTGCCGGAGCAAAAGTTAGTACTGTCTTATCTTTCCGAACCATATTTTGTAAACCCGACGTCAGTTGTTGATCTCGAATGTTGAACAAGGAAGCAGGCTATCTTTTTCCCTGAGGCCAGTGATTATATCGCCTCCTCGGCTGCCGAGTCCGTATCCTTGGCCCGGTCCCTCGAGGAGAGTGACTTCGTCCAAGGCCTGCAGCGGTCCGCAAGCGAGAATAAGATCCATATCAACGTCGGAGTCCATGCCCCGGCCGAAGGGGGCATCAGAGTCAAAAATCTGTTGTTGTGGATCGATGACAACGGGAAAATTACCGAGCAATATCAGAAACTGCATCTGTTCGATGTCGAGATAAAAGATGGGCCCGTTCTACGTGAGAGCCAGTGAGTTATCGGAGGGATTTCGGACCCGACGCTTGCTAAGCCTATTGTAGCAGCGTGGAGAAGGGTGATAGCATTCTGCCTCCATTTGACACCGTTTTGGGTAGAGTTGGCCTTGCCATTTGCTTTGATGTACGGTCTTCCATCCATATCGTCCGTTGTCATCGCTAAGTCCTGATGTTCCAGCTCCGATTTCCGGAAATCTCCGTGGCGCTGAGGCGACGGAACGCCGACATCATCACTTTCCCTTCGGCATTCACTATACCGACAGGCAAGGCCCACTGGGAAGTGCTGCTGCGAGCGCGAGCCATTGAGACGCAATCGTACGTCGTAGCAGCCGCTCAGGTTGGCCAGCACAATGAGAAGCGGGTGAGCTACGGGCATAGTATGATTATATCTCCATGGGGTTCCGTTTTGGCCGAGTTAGGTGGTGATTGGAACGGTGGGCCCGAGTTGGCGACAGCAGAGATCGACCTGAGTTCAATAGAGAAGATAAGAAAAGAGATGCCACTATTGAGGAGGACGGATGTATACCCGGAGATATAGCCCGATCAATTGATTGGATCGCAGCGTGCATGTTGCGAACGATAGTAAATATAACGAACTGTAACGAGCCCGACAACAAGAGAGCAAATGGGGTATCATTAACACCGGACACCGGGACGGTTCTCCTCACAACGCCAAACAGAACCATGGAAAGTTAAACAAAAGCTTGAACCACCAGACCTTCAGACCATCCCTGTGATGGAAGGGACAGGTTATTAAGGAGCACTTTGCCCATGAGGACCACCCGAATCTTAGCGTCCCCCTCCAGCTAAAACATAGTCAGCAACGAGATAGACCAATTATGGCAGGGTCAACATACCTGGCATTTGTGCCTGATTCGACGAACCAGGACCTCGACATTGTCATCTCTCCGGATCCTACAGGTAATGTCTCTGGCTGCCGTCGCAACCCTGACCGGCACTCGAACTATATGCTCCTCTGGAACTTCTGGTTCTTCGGGAGCCTTCGCCTTGCCCTTGGCGTCCGAGTTGTGACCGTCATGAGCATGTCCGTTCCCCGCGACTGCCACCAGCGCCGCGGACATTCTGGAACCCCCCTGACCTTCCACAACTCCGAGCGGATCGGTGACGACCCACGCCGGGACGAAATAATGATTGCCACGCTCGTCCCACACGCCACCTCTCAGCTGGGTGCGCGTGCGTCGGGGAAGCAGGCCGGCCCGCCTGGCTTCTTGGTCCGCGATGTCTTTGCCCTCGACCCACAGGCGTCCGGATGGACAACTCAGCCCCGATGCGCGAAGGATGGCCGTCGCCGTCGCCAAGTTCGATTCGCCGCCGGAACGAATGACGTCGCATGCGCTGCGAAGGGCGCTCCAAGCGTTCACGTCCCCGCCCACCTGCGTATCGAAGAACGCCTCGCGCTCGCTCTCGAGATACCGGCGTGTGAGCGGCATCTGCACCGAGCTATGAGCAATTGAGCTGGGTCCGTCGGCACCTGTTGGTGCAGCGGCTACATAGTTTCTGGATGGTGGATTGACGTCCTTTGGAGATGGGGGACTGTCTAAACTCCAATTGTCGCCTCGGCCGCCCCGATGCCTGGAACGCCCGGAGCCGGATGGGATAGCAGCGGCTGTAGATACGCCTCCTTCGCCCGTTCCATCGCCCGTATCAGGAGCAAGCCGGGCTGTTGATGCTGTTCGAATGTCTCCAACTGAATTATTTGCGCTAAAACCCGCCCCTCTTGCATTAGATAAACTGTCTCGTGTGGACTGAGGAATGTAATTCGTCGCGTACACTTGTCCAATGGCAGAAACGTTAGTTTGAGCAGTTTGCTCGCCGTTATCTGCAGTCCGAGAGACACAGCAACCCTGCAGACGGAACAATTAGCTGATAGGTTCCCATATACTCTCACCTCCCTCCAGCAACCATACCATGACGTCGTCTTTTGCCCGTATAATTGCTTTTTATAGGGACCTTGAGGTCGGGGCCTTTGCGGTGTGTTCGATAGCGGTCAAAAGATCGAGTGGAGACGGTAGAGTCGATGACTGTGACGAAACGTGGTGCGGGAAGCCTTCTGGATGCGACCAAATTCCCGCAGTGTGGGAGAAGAGGTTTCTAAGCAATGAAGGTCACCTCGATCTACCCGGTTCGATGCGTTGCAAGCTGACTTGGACAGCAAGATCGGAAACGAATGTCCAGCCCTTGGAGCCGATGGCTCGCCCGGATCCAAGCATGAGAGGAGTCAGGAGGGGTCCGATAGCGTCCTCATGGCAAGCTGATTCCTTACGCTTGCGACGGGTAGAGTAGGGTATGGTAGGAGCAAAGGAAGTTATGGTATGGTGCGAATCCAAAGTCAAATGAATGTTCTGCGATCCGAGATGGCATCAGGAAGTTGATGGATACTACGTAGTAGAATGATATCGTAGGTGGAGAGCTGGGGTGACCTAACCTGTTATGGACTAGCTTGTGGCGTTCACAGCGGGGCGTTTAGTCAGCCTCACCTAGGCATTAGGGACACGCGACATAGATAGGCAGAAGCACATGACCACTTCAACGACAACATCGAACGTCCTCTTTTGTTCGGATTCAAATTCTCCAACCAGAAGAATTCTATGTTTTTATTATAATTATAATTCTAGCATTGTGTCTAGTGCCATGTTCCGCCCATTGGGTTCTGAGAGGACGAAACGCGAATGAAAGAGGAGGGTAACGATGGTATTTCTGGGAGATACCTGTGCAGAAACTCTCTATCCGGAAACCCCCTTTGAGCCATTTGTCTTCCTCCAGCCATCATTTCGGGATCTTTACCTGGAAATGGATGGCCCTTGGACTTTCGTATCTCGTCATGGACGGGTTGTAGTTTGTCCAACCCCATCCAGGCTCGAGGCGGTCCATTGTTCGAGAGATCCGGTCATCATAGAGCACCACCTTGATCCTCCTTTGGCCCTTTCCATGCTTTCCATGCCTACTATTTCCGGCAATTATTGTACTTTCCGAGGTCTCGAACCAATTGATTTCTTTGTGATCTCTTCGAATCTTAAAGTCATGCTCTTAACTACGTCTTCCCCCCTCCTGAACAGCGCTATCCGGGTTAGTGTGGTGGAACATTAGAAGGGTCACTACTATGACCACGGATACGCCCAAAGATCCCGCTAATGAACATTTGGCTCAGCAAGTCGTCGGAGTTGCAGGATTTCCATCCCGCATCGCGGTTAGCCTAAAGTTGGTTGCCCCTCTACTCTTGCAAGCAGGGGATGGTCGTGCACCTGCCGTGGGGTTCCACCTTGCTCTTGCCCATGTGCACGAATTATGCCACGCGGCATGGATCATGGTGACACCAGATGATGACTATGTAGAGGCTTTCATTGGCCCGGATAACCCAACCAGTGAGTTGGGATGGCAGTGGGAGCGTCATATCGGCATGGTACATACCCTTCAATGGCATCGATCGTAGATAGCGGACCTCCCGAGCCGCCCGCCATGGCTAGATCCGGATGAGCCAAATCTACCATCCTATTCAGACTGCGTCTATGTGCGGGACTACTTAGGATGATTGAGACCATCCCCTCGTGTTGGAGATTACTTCGACATCGTCACGTTCGAGGCGAGGAGCGTCGACACGTCCCCAATGCTTTCGTAGGATCTCGTTAGTAAAGGTGTATATAGTCTACCGCAAACATTTAACGTCACACTGTATGGCCAAGTCACGGAGAAGCTAATTTGGGCGGCGCATACAATCACTGGTAGAGGTATATTCGAGGTTCGGCAAGAGCCCCATCCTTATACAAGAAAATTGGTGGCCACGAATAGTATATCATTTATGTTTTCTTCATTCATTGACCCCACTCAGGCGTCCTTCCTTTGCTCTTCACTAGTAGGGATCCAAATACAGATACCTCGCTTATCAACCTTCACGTCAGCGTATGTCCGGTAGCACACATGAGGCACGCTCCGTGCCACCGGGGCCGTGCATTTGGCAGGAATGACCCTCAGCGTCTTGTTGAAGTACCGGTCCTGCACCCTCAGCGACGGGTAGACCCAGTCGCCCTGCACCAGCGGATAGAGCACGTATTCGACTGTGCGGCGGCTCATCGGCAACAGATTCAGGGAACGGACCTTGGGGCCGCTGAAGGCGAATTCGCTGGAGGCGTCCATGGCGATGTCGAAGGTGAGGTAGTGGAGAGAGGGATTCTCGAGCGTGTATGAGAGGTGGATTAGGAGAGCGTCAGTTGTCGTCGGAGTAAGGGTCGGCGTCGACGGGGTGGATGCCCAGGACGACAGCCCTGCATGCGCAAGAACTCGAGGCTCACTGTTCGGAACCAGGAGACGCGGTACTCCCAACGTCGACGTGACGGATTCACTACTCGCATTGGCTCCCGATGACCTTCTCCACGTAATCTCCAACGACACGTCGAGCGAGATGGCTCGCCGATCGTCCAGGGTGGATTTGCGAACAGTGAGGTCGAAGGACTTGCGACACGGCTGGCGGGGCTGGAGGACTATGGCTTTCTGGTCATCGTCGGGCGTAATCGAACACACCGCTCCGGTGAGCGCAGTGGCCAGCGATAAGGATGCAGACTCGATGGTGACCTCCGCCTCGGCGAACGACACGATGTGGGCGCCGAGCCCCCACTCCTGGGCAATGCCTTGCGCTCGACCGGCCGTGTCCGAGCCGACGGCGTCATCGCTCATATGGAAGTACGAAGGCCATGGTTCAGGATGTAGTCGAGGTGCAAACTCATAGCTTGCCTCAAACGCGCCGACGAAGATGACCCCGACGCTGACCGTCTTCGATAGCGGGGTCTGTTGATCCGATTGCAGTTGGTAGGTGAGCTGAAGTTCTAGCGCATATTCAAACGGTGCCGATGGTGCCGTGAACGTGATGGTTTCTCGGCTCGTCTGCCCCGCGCTGAGAGGTCCAAAGGGATGAGAGTCCGATGCATCATGACCACCGCTGGCACCAGGGGACGAGACCGATGAGCTCCAAAGGGTCTTAATCTCCTCTTCCCCTCCGGCTCGACCGATCAATTCTGCGTGGAGTGTCCCAGTTGCTTCTTCTTCCTCGTGGTTGGCGAGATCAACATGGAGCACAACGGTCTCGTCGGTGTAATACTGTTCTTCGAGGTTGGGCAAGGTCACATCAATCTTGGGGGGCTTGGGGAGAATCGTCATGTCAGGCCCAATCTCGCCGGTGACGTGCTTTCTCCTCACACCCCTGGCGCTCCGCAGCCACCAAGCTGGTCTCCGGTCCCCCGTTTCAAGCGAATTCGAAACCCTGAAGGGGATACCGCCGGGTGCAAGCCGGTATGTGATGTTCGTGACTTTCAATTCCCCCGATCTGCGAGGGATGAAGCTGCCTTGGAACACCTTCTGTTTACCTGGAGCCATGGTGAGATTAGTAGCACTGGAAATGGTGAGCGACATCGGATCAGCCGAGTCGTCGACGAGGTCAACGTTGACCAACGTTATTCTCGAGCCATCTGTGGCATCCGAACTCTCTGGCGTATGCTGATGTGACAGTTTGATCTGCTGCAAAGGCCCTTCAAACTCCACAATAATATCTTCAAGACGCAGAGCCGACGAAGCCTCATGTGCATCGAACTCCAGCTCCAGCTGAAATGTCAGAGTGTCGGCCACATGTCCTTGGACCGCCTCAAAAGCGAAGCGGGTGTGCAGTGGAGAAACCACCGCCTGGGCGTCGAGGTGGGCACCACCGGTCGTGGCCGGGTCTATCTCAACACCATCTAAACACCTCATGAAATCATACGTGACGTCCTCGTGCTTTTTGAGCGCCCGACTCAGTAGCTCCCACTGCGTCTCCAGAATCGTCTCGATGTCCCCAACGCGATGCGCGCATTGGTTCAGGAGGTACGTGGTTTCGTTCACCAGGTCCCACCACCGTTCGCTCCGCCAACGCATCCCCTTCCAGAGCGGCTTGAGCGTGGCCAGCGCTTGGTCGAAAGCGCCGGCGTCGAACAACTCCTTTCCCGTTTGCAGCCGGAGATGGTCGACGAAGCGCCGCTGCTCGCGGCGGAAGAACTCACCGCTGGACTCGTTTAGAAGGTTGACGATATCCGCCGTGTGGTCATAGCCTTCGGATCCATCGGGGATGGGGAATTCGACGTGAGGTTCCGGGCAAAGGTATGTATCATATGTCGCTGCGCGATGGGCGACTTGCCCAGCGGGAGACTGGCCCGGGGGATTGCGATCCTCATCCGGAATCTCCATGGCGATCTGTTTCCGGTGCTTGGCATGCGTCGCGGCTTTGAGGAGCCAGTATCCCGGGTGGTGCAAATGCTGCCACGGCGAGATCCGTTCGCCGACTGGGAACGCTTTCTCGACCGGCGAGAATACCGCCTGCTCTTTCGCGTCGGCGCTCTCGGATTCCGTGCCGGACGCGGTGAACCACGGCAGCTCCGCGCGCTGGATTAGCTCGGCGAGGATCTTCGCCCACCGGGACTCCCACGCCTGCCAGCCGTAGCATGCAGTCCCCTTTCCGCGCTGGTCGATGACGATCTGCGATTGTTCGCGGTACATCGCGTAGAACTGGACGGCAGACGTCGTCTGCCCGTTCCAGAGCATACATCGGAGATTGCGCAACGCGACGACGTCCGCGAGGAGGCGGACCTCGTCCCATCGCGGAGACCAGGTCGGGGTGGTCTGGAACGGGCCGTCGGCAGCGAAGAGCGCCTCGATCGCCGAGATGTAGTGCCGGCTGGCCGCGTCCATCTCCTGTCGGAATTCGGCGAAGACGCCAAGCTTGAATTCATAGCGGACGTTCCATCCAATGGCAGGCAGCGCCTGGGATGTCCCCAGCGTCGGTGGCAGTGTCGGTGAAGGAATGGTACCTCTGCCTTTCTTCCTCCGAGAATGCTTGGTTAAATCGCGGTAGTACTCGATGCACAGCGGTGATATGGCGGAGAGAATCGAGACCACCAGTGAGGGCCGCTCCTGGGCAGATACACCGGCCGGCACGAAGAATAGGGAACTCTTCGCATCCAACCCGGTGGCGCGGCGGATATTCGACATTCGCTCGTCCACATCGGCAGAGCCCTGGACGGATTTCCCGCCCAGAAGAACGACCGCATACCGCGTTCGATACTCGCTTTTCGCTAGCGCCCCCTTGATCCGGTTGATCTCGCTCTTGAGCTGGTTGTCGTGCAGGCTGTTGGTGCTCGGGTTGGATTCGAAGGCGAAGCAGGATACGAACACCGCAGGGACGCTGTCCTGGTGCTTCGACGTCCACAGCGGAGTCATCAACCCGTCCGGGTATAGGGGCGAGTTCGGCGAGAGCGGGGAGATGGGCGAATGGAGCACGAGAGTATGATCGTGGGAGTCGGAAGCGCTGCCGAATGCTTCTAGTCCGGGTTGGTTGGTCGGGGGAGCGGCTTTCTTGGGAGGAAACTTAAACGTCTGCCACGTATTAGCATGCTGTAGATAGATCATTTCCATTCCTCATATATACCGGCCCAATTGCCTGTATCTTCAACGGCAATAACGCCCCCTTGGACCGCGCGTTTCTCCCATTCCAAGCAGTTGAAGTGCCATCGCAACTTAGAAACTCGTTCAGCAACTGCGCCGCCCCGTCGCCGTCAAGGGACCCGAACTGCGATCCGAGCTCGCCACGCTCTTCTTTGGCCGGCCGGGCGCCATGAGAAGGGAGCTTGATGCCGGAGAGCACGACTAGCGGGATGTTATGCGCGGCGTAGGATTCGGGAAAGGCGTCCATGGCGGGTAGCAAACGGGCTCTGCCGCCCTTCGGTGGAGTGGAGGAGGCGTCAGAAGAGAGGCACTGGCGGAGCACGTATGCAGGATGTGAGCATAGTTAATGGTCGGTCGCGGTTATGAGGCGGTTCCGTCGTAGCGGGTCTGATATCCGAAAGGTTGGCTGGAAGCTGCGGGAGTAAATTGCATCAGCTAGCAGTTGAACAGAGTATTACTAGTGGTACTGACATATCTGGCACATGGTCGGGAATTCGGGTTAATTCCGGAGGCAATACGGCACCAGCCGCTGCGATATGAATGTATGGAATTACTTAGATGCAATTACTTGGAACTCGGAGCTTGAGCAAGCAGAGGGGGAATATGTGAGCAAATAAGGAATATCTAGGCGGCGAGAAGCTGGACCCCATGGGCACAAGCCACCTCCCGCTGGGTCCTCCGTCCACTGCAACGAAAGGGATGTCACCTCAACTCAAAATATGACGATTACAGACATTGTAAAATATGCCTACTTGACGATAACTGGAGCCATATGGTGTCGCCTAGAACTCCAAAAGACACTTTCCGTCATACAATTCAAGCGCCACAGCATCTCCGGATACGACCATGGTCGAAGTTTGAAGAAGAGAGCACGACCGCGTGGTTGGCGATACCAACCCGGTCTCTGCTGGTATTAGGAGCCATTTATTGGAACTAATGCAATCCTTCATCTGGCTGTCCCATTATAACTATTCTTCATTGCCCTCTAGGCTCACATACGACCCACCCAACGAGCGAGGCATGCCGCAGTCTGACCTCCACCTCATTTACTCGGTGGATTCCCCGCCCGCACCAATACCCGAACGTTATCCAAAAACCGCTTGACCAACGGCTCGAACGAGTTCTCCACCCCCTCCTGCGCCATCAACCCCTGCCGCCGCACCTCCTCCGCATCCACCTCCACCTCCAACTCATGCGTGCACGACGGATCGCGCGGATCGCCCACCTGGGTGAGGTCGATCCTTACCCCCTGATGCTCGTAAGATAACCGGTCTTTCCGGCGTGGCGGCTGGCCCCCGGGGTTCCCGTTCGCGCCCACGTGCATGGGGTCGCCACCGTCGACGAGGGTCTCGATGGGGCCGTCGTAGCGCATTTCGACGTTGACGGAGATGCGGATGTCGAAGATTTGGCCGGGGCAGAATATGTCGAGGTCGGCGATGCGGGCTTTAACAATCTTGGCGGTGACCTGGTTGGTTTTGGTGTCCCGGGTGACGCGGATTTTGGGAGCATGTTTGCGCATGGAGATGAGGTCGCGGGCGTAGGCGGGGAGCTGGTCCAGGGCGGCGGGACGGAGGGGGTGGAAGGTGTCCACTTCGACTGAGTGGCGGTAGTGCACGGGGATCCGTGGGGGTTGTTGGGATAGCTGCGTTTCTCGGTTCAAGAAGCGGTTCATGTCCCGATGTTGGAGCTAGATGAGGTTAGTATCTCGTACCACGCCGGTAGGGGAGATTCAATGGACATACCTTAGACATTGTGCTCTCGAATCTTGTCGAAACACCGGGGACGAGGATAGTCTCCGACTGGACCGGCAATGCTATGCGGCCCCCATCGTCCCGCGAGACCAGCGTCCCGATCTTCGCTTCGATCTCGAAGACGGCTCTCGGACCTCCCGCCGACGGGTGTCCCAGATCCGGTCCGGCAACGACCGTATCGAACAGGAAGTCGGCGATCTTGCGGTCGAACTCGTTATAGGGCTCGAAATTCGTGACGGTGGGTTCGGGGAGGCCGGGCTTCGCGTCGCGCAAGGGCGGTGGATGGCCGTTGGGGGGCGGCGCGGCGGGGGGAGCCGGGGATCGATCGACGCTGATCTTCTCGTGCTTCATGCGTGGTGTATGGGAGAGCCGGGCACGCGTTTGACGGGCGTGGATGATCTCTTCGACAATTCGCTCAACATCGGCTTTCAGGTTGTCCCAGTCGGCGCGTTGCGCCCATCGTGGAGGTTCGTGGCGGACGCGCTTGCGCTGCGATGATTCAGTTTCCAGGTTGTCGACGGTGCTAATGCTTCTCTTTCGGGAGGAGGGCTGGGGGGAGCTGGTGATGATGGAGGAGGGGTGTTCAGAATGGAGCTGTTCAGGTGGAAGGCCAGATGGCGCGCTGGAGACGCGATGGGGACCGTCCAGTGGTTGGTCTAAGGATGAGACGGGGGTGGGGTTTTGAACAGGTTCAGGGTCGGAATAGATGGTAGACGGGATGTTGAGGTTGGTGATTCGGGTCTTGGGACTGACGCTGACGCTCTGGTCTCGTGGGAAGGGGTTCGCTGTGGCGGGATGGGGCGTGTACGGTGGCTGCGGAGGGGAGAAGTTGGGGAAGGTCGGTAGCGAGGCCTGTCGAGTCGGGTACATCTGAGGAGGTAATGGACGCGAGGTGGATGATGGAGAGGAATGCGGAGTGGAGTGCAGTTGGGCGGGAATGGTGTTGGCTCGCGCTGCGGCGGCGGCGGCGTCGGTGTTGAGAATGGATCGTAGGTCCATGTTGATCTAAGCGATGGTGATGGTATGGGCTAGCAGGCTTGTATGGCGCATTAGGTCGGGTAAAGCAAGGCGAGGGTGGAAGAGCGAGTAGGACGAAGCGAGGGTTGGTGGAAGGTGATCTGTTGGTATTCAGCATCCATGAAGGGGCCTGAGAATTATTGTCGGATGCGGACATGCGCTGCTGACTCAGCCAGGCCTGATACAGTGAATGAGAGTTAGGAGACAGGTATCAAAAAGGATGTCCATCAAGGCGTAGTATATTGTCAGAGTGGCTGGTACATTCATTTATACAGCGAATACTCTTGAGCAGTATCCGTACCCTAGGGTTAATATTTGCTACGGAGTTGTTTGATGTTTACGCCTTGCGGAGAGTTGACGCTTGACAGTTGATAGCTAAGGATGCACGTGATCTAATCAAAATATTTATACCCTAATTAGGCAAGAAGGCAGAAACAGAAACGAGCTTACAGTTCGCCCCACTCTCAGATGAACTTTCGGATGAGAGTCGCCAGCCGGCCATATGTTTTTCCGAAAGACAGAGACCATCCACTCTCAGGTGACAATGCCCACTCTCAGATGAACTTTCCTTTTCACACTACCTTGTACCAATGTTTATCAAGATGTCGTTGAGCAAGAATGTAAGTTATTCGGAAAATGTTTAGAATATATTCCTAATTAATCCAGCCTATCTACCAATCGTATTGTGCTCTGCCGTCGCGACCTTTGGGCACGGAGCCTTGGGGGCAAGATGTAGCGGGGCACGACCGATGCAGATAATGGCTGCCATTCAAAAGGAGGATCCGAACACGCCAGTCTCAACCACCGATATTCGCAGCGAGAGGAAGGCAATTAGAGAGAAGCACTTGAATAGGAGGAGTCTGAGGAGTCCGATTAAGACATCACTAGATGACGTGTCTACGTTGACCCCTGTACCTGCCCCTATATCTTCCCCTACCCTATCTCATTTATCTTCCCCTATCTCTGTTGCTGTATCTGCCAATATGTCTCGATCCCCTCTATAGCCTGCCTGGCAACCTCCGTCGTTGGAAGAGTTCTTTGCTGATATCGAGCGTCGACGGCTTCAGCCTACTCTGCATCACTGTAGTGACTTAAATACAGTGACCAAATTTTTGGCAGAGACAGGGCAGGAAAAGGACCCGATAGAACTGGTTGAAGCACGGAATATGGCTCTCGCTACAAGCGGAGTATATGCTCCATGTACTCCAACAATGGCATGGAATTATAACTTTGGAGATATACAGGCTTTCTACGCTGAGAGATTCGCACAAGTTGATGCTCAAACTACTCCTTTTGAGTATCGGGATGTACCGAGAGAGCGCCCTAAGCGCGCTGCAGCAGAGAGGGCTTCAAATGCTTGGAAAGAACTCGGTCCGTGCAAGAGGCAGCGACGTCAGTAGAAAGAAGAGAGGCTTAATAATAGAGTAGCCAATATGAGTCATTTAAGAGGAGCAGACGGAAGCCTCCCGCCGAACACACGTTAATTATGCTCCAGCTTTTGATTTGAACCTCGTACCAAAATTGATATAATTTATTCTATACTAAATAGTACAGGTAGGAAAAACCCATTTGGTGGGAAAAACCCATTTAGTGGGAAAATCTCATTTGGTGGGAAAATCTCACCTACATAATTGCCCTGGTTAAATACATTTCTAATACATTAGAAAAGCATTACTCTAGTCCCCGACTTAGACTCTGGTTTTCTAACTCTCTTCTATCATTCTCAAGTCGCTTTTGCCGTAGTTCTTCCCTCATCAACTCAATTCTTAATTGCTTTTCCGTCTGATCTAGCTCCATATCTTGCCGTTCTTGGCTTTGGTTAAGTATGTTCTCGGAGGCCATACGGCAGAGAGCGAGTGATGTATCTCTAAAATGGTAATAGATTAGATACGTATTTCCAATAAATTCTAAATTCATTACCTCTGCGCCGATCCCCTTCGTCTTGTAGAAGAGCTGCGTGAGCTCGAAGATCTTGAAACGCGTCTTCTTTGGGGCTCTGGTGGGAGTAGCTCGGTATCTACCGAGCCATCGTTATCATCTTCTGACTCTCGCCTCCTTGAACCTATAGAATTTCGAATACGTTAGAAATGTATTAGAATATTTCGGAAAATTTGGTTCGTACGATCTCTTCTAATAGCCTCTGCGAACCTCTCCGATAGCGACGTATTCCGCCATGAAAGCGAGATTCCATAGCCTGCCCGGCTGTTATATCTATCAACATCATACTTATCAAGGATCTGGCTTCTATAGGGTCGTTAATATATTTCTAAAATGTTAAGAATAACTTACGAATGAATTGCTCGAAGTAGAGGGAGTTGTCGGCCAAAAGAGTTACTCTTAAAGCGTGTTTGCTCAGTAGCATTAGTGTGATTCCGAGTCCTTTCCCAGACCTCACTAGCAATCATTGAGCAATGTTTATTAAGGCCACACGCAATTGAAGGCTGCATCTTATGCCGAGTCCACTCCTTCACACTCTCAGAGGAACTAGAGGATGCTAGACAAGTAGTAATATATTAGTAATATATTACAAATGCATTCGGTATAGATTCCATGGAGAGACGTACTGATAAGCTCATTGCAGAGCTGAAAGTAGTCCGCCTGTGATTCGCAGCGTACTAATTCCCCCATGCGTGCATGGATAGAGTTAGTATTATGGCCTGAAGTGCCTGCTGCACGATCAATGGATCGCTTGAAATGTATATAACAGAGCATGACGGTATTTCGAGCCTGCCACTCCCATGGACGATGTGAGCCATCAATTTGAGATAGATATTGGCCCCATCCTAAAACATTAATACCGCGTTTCTAATTCATTTAGAATACCTTACCTTGAAGCTGGCCTCTGTCCATATCGGTCACAATGCAGGCAAACCCAGTACCATGTAAGTGCTTCCAGCGAATTTCACGCTCGAGTTTAGAAGATAGAAGCCCAAATAGGGCTTCAAAGGCTTTCGTGTAAGCGGTAGAGCTCTGTGCATTGATGAACACTCGGGCAAATGTAAAAACTTATGAATGTATTAGTAATACATTTATAAAAGGATTAGCGACTTGACTTACTCTTTTCGTTCTCTGGGAGGTAGGCCGCAAAGACGATCTCGTTGATGTCTTTATCTCGCACACGTTTGAAGCCCATATCAATCTCAAAGGATTCCCGATCTAGTATTATCTTTACTTGTTCTTTGAAGAAACAAGTAACCAGAAGGTTAATACCATCGAAGTAATACCCTTGGATATACTGGAGATATGTTAGTAATGCATTTGCAATGCATTGTAAAATAATTACCTGATTCGGTTTCCCCGATTGGATCTTGTACTCGTTTTCAACAGCGGCAATTGACTGGCCAAAAGGATAGGAGAGAAGCCTCTGTTTCTTTATAAGAGCACTAATCTTATCAAGATTACTGAAGCTTTGGTGGACATCAGCAAGAGATGTTCCTTGATGCTGTGTACAAAAACGCTGCATTTCTGGATGCCGAAGGAGACCAGCTAGAGAGGTAGAGATACATTAGAAATGTATTTTAAATGTATTTATAATATGTTCTTACCAGTGGTAATGCTAGGATCACTAATCCTTTGAATGACTTTTACGATCTCATCGCAGTATTGCTGGGGCGTCTTCGTTGGTGGAGGTGGAGGATGTCGATGGGTGCCATGTGATAACCATATGAAGTAAGGTGTCTCGTCCATTTCAATTGAGAGATACACCGTAAATTGTACGGTACAAGGGAGTACAACGATATCTCCCTGTCCCTGGGGATGATCAACACCTAAACTGATTTAGAATATATTATAAACATATTAGTAATGACTTACCGCAGCGTTTGGCCCTGCTATTCATCTGTTTGAGTACAGCACATGGCTCGACGACAGTGTCATGTTCTGTAGTGTTGAAGAGGGCCTTGATTTCAGTAATTCGAGGATAAAGATATCCTGGAATAGATCGGAAGAAATGTTGTGAGCCATATGTATGACGCTCACATCGGATGTAGAAGTTTGGGACGCCCGAGATAGTCTATTATATGTTATAAATGTATTCGAAATATAGTAGAAATCAGTAAACCAAACTTACCACTTGTGAACTTTGGTAAACCTCTGGAATACAGTTCTCGTCTTGAATGTCTTTACAAGCAGATCCCTTGCGAAAGGCTTCTATGATAGGCAGGTAAAAGCTAATACCAGTTAACGCTATATCCACTAAATGCATTTATAATTGTATTTCAAACCTATTCGCTTGCTGGGTAAGGCTCGACTGCTGATATGCATTGCGAGAATTACGTATTTTCTCCCAGTCATCTTCTTCGAAGCACGTATGCTTCAGATCGATGATATCCTGAGCGAGATATTGACACGCCTTGACGCCCGTACATCGTGCTGACATACGATAGCACCGTGCATTATCTAATATCTTCACCACTGAGGTATGCTTCGACCATTTAAGGGCAGATGAGTATTGTACCTATAATAGATTAGAAATGATTTAAGAATATATCCCTAATATATTACCAAGTCTTTATGTCGCTTTCGATCCTCGGCTGGAATGCCTTGAAGGTTGACAACATAGGCAATTCCTTTTTCTGATGTTTGAGGATAATCAGGGATCGAAGGAACATAAATGATACGCTCAACCTCAACATTGCCATGCGATGATTTAGATATAATCCATGGTTCATCAGCAGGAAGTATATCAGACTAATACATTAGTAATGTATTTGTAATGAATTATTTAGTTGAATCTCACATTGTCCTGCTGGACATTTTCGGATATTTCAGGATAGGTTTCTAGCTCATCCTCCTCAAAAGGAGTAGACCATGGCACAGAAAAACCAATGCCAGGAAACTGGGCCATAATAAATGTATTCCTAATGCATTATGCATACAATTTGGATGGATTGGTATTGGTAAGAAAATGGGGTGTTGATCTGGAAGAGTTCATCTGAGAATGAGAAGTAGTTTGGCTCGGGCGGGTCATGTGATGTGTTTCTATGGACCGTGCACTCTCAGTCTCAGATGAAATGATGAATTGATGAAAGCTCAATAGCTCATCTGAGAGTGGGCCGACCTGCAGCCTCGAAACCAGGGTGGAGACTTGAGCGAGTTTGAGCGAACTCAAGTCTTACGTAATCGAGTCGCCCGACTCTACTCACACTCGTCTAAGAACCTTGGCGAGCGTGCCTGTACCGTGGTTGCGCCAACCAAATAAAGTTCCAACTTTCCTTCCTGCTTATGTATAAACAGAGATTTCGTGGTGGTGAAGATGGTGAAGAGGATGATAATCTATATTACACTACTTATCTACATAGCCTCCGTAGACGCCTGATGATAGATAATCCTCTCGAGCTCCATATCACTGATAATACCTTGATTAAACCAATTCTGTAGGCAAATCAGTCTGTTCAACGTTTTTCCCTCCATCCGTGGCCTTTCGGTATCAAGAAGTCTCCCACAAGCTGACCAAATCCGCTCCATATCAGCGGCGGAGGAAGGAGTCGCGAAGAGGTCCAGAGCGATCTGGTATAGAGCGGGAAACCGCGTGCGATTAGCTACCCACCACGTAATAGGCGTATCAGTCTCCTCAGGGGCCTCTCGGAGATAGTAGGAGACCTCATCGGGCGTGGAGATATTACGTGGTTCAAAACGAGGCGCGAGGGCTGCCTGGAAGGCCTTGTAGACCCTTTGGCGATCACTAGGGATGGTCTCCTGCGAGGCCTCCTGTGCATTCTCTGCACCCGAATCATTATCCTGTATCTTGGATACATTCTCGCGGAGTTTGCGTAGGAGCTCGGCAGTCTTGTGGCTACTAGCTTCGGAGTCGTCCAACCACGCCTTCTTGTATTTTGGGTGGAGGAGAAGGGCGAGTCTGTACGCAGGAATATCCTCCATCTTAGACCGGTATTCCTTCGCCTTAACCAGGGCCGCTTGTATGGCCCTTACGAGCTCCTGGAGCTCCTGATTCTGTGAAAGATCCGCGAGGAAACCCTCCAGGGCCCGGATAATCATAAGAAGCGATGGATACGCCTCCCAAAGAGCCCCTTTAGCACCATGGTCCGCATTCCCTTCCAGGATCCAGGTCGCATGCTTCATCGGTTCGTACAACTCGATAAGTTTCTCAAGGATACGCCAATCGTCGACGGTAAGGCCCTGAAGGTGCTGATACCGCTCGCAGTACTGATCAATAGCGACACGCAGCTTGATGGCTCGCTGGACCGAATCGTACCGCGAGTTCCACCGTGTGGCGTTCTCACGTACGATTCTAAGGGGCCGATCGGTCTTAATGGACTTTTCGTTGCCCGTCATATCCTCAATAATATCAGTCTGTATCGTAAAGAACTCTTTCTCCTGTTTAGGACTCTTTTTGATATGACCAATGATAGCTTTAAGCTTGGTAATGGGCTCTATGTCGGTATTGGTAGGAAACCCAGAATCCAAATCCGTGTAGCCTTCAGCCCGCCTAGGTCGTATAGTATCAAGCCCATTGTCATTGCTGGCTTCGATATTAGACGAATGGTCCCTGGAAAGCTGTTGGCAAACTAAATTCACGATGTGGGTACTACAGCGTAAACGCCTTCCCGATAAAGTGAGATTTAGGAGCTTCCCAAGCTCTTTAACCGCGGTAGAGTTGTTTTCCGCGTTATCAGACATTAGGAACGCAATCCTTGCCTGTATCTCAAACGTTTGGATAGCCTTGGTAAGGAGCTGTGCGATATTGTCGCCGGTATGAGCACCTTCGATCTCCTCTAGCCGTAAGAGGATATTTTGTTGACGCGGTATTCCTTCCCCGGAGATGAAATGCGCCTCGATCCCAAGGAAAGGAAGGTCGTTCGTAGAGGTCCAGATGTCATAAGACAGTGAAACATTGCTAAGACTCCGCGAGATCTTATGAGAAACGAGACGACGACATTCCTTGTATGCGAGATCAATTTTCTTGCGCACAGACTTATGGTTGCGTACTCCCATCTCAATCTCTCCACCACTTAAAGACTCCATCAGCGCGTTGAAGCTGTTTGACGAAGCCTGACGAAAAGGCACTCCATCAACCACTAGCCATTTCAAATAGGCTGTGTGGGCGTTGAGGAGGGTCCTCTGACGGTATCCTGTAAAATCCTCCCACGATTCTGGATGTCCTGGAGGGATAACCTTCGATCCATGCCTGAGAAAACCGTGATCGTTTATGAGATGTCGACGGGCATTGGAAGTAGCTGATATCGAATACATCTTGATATCGTTGATCGATTTCGCTTGAAACCAGCATTTACGACAGACCCAGTACGGTATCTCTTCCTCTGTATCGCCCATTTTCCGTACTGTAAACCCCCAGTACCATATGGAGCTTGTCCGGTGTTTCTTCCGCATTGCTTGACGCGTTGGAGGAACGTCAACCGCATATAGACCGTATTTGTCGAGCTGAGGTCGCAGGGGGACAAACTCTAGCAGTCGGTCTGTTTCCGTGGTATATGGGGTCTCAGACGACGAGGTCGAGGAGTACGAGTCTGTATACGATGCCATATTGATGTTTTCCATGATCGGAATCTCGTTTTCTTGAAATCTCACGGACTTTTGGTGAAACCGGACCAAGACACAGACTTGAATTTCGGTTTTGAGCTACTGTACATTTGTAACATGAGCAATGAACATCGAATTTCGACATGAAGCCGTCATTGCTATGTAATTCATATGGTTTTATAGCCATAACGAGCAAATCTGGGGTCCAAGTCCAGCAAGATTGGTAGACTAGTATGGAAGAGGATTAGCGGGAGACTCGCTACGAATCTTGAGCGAGCATCGAGCGAGTCCTTGGCGAGCGAGTGCAAATGAAGCGAGTGGCTCGACTCAAGTCTCCAGCCTGCTCGAAACAGTATGATATGCAAATCACATGATATTTTAGTGTGCACGTGATTGATCTGATGATTGCACAATTGGTGCCTCAGTCCACAAGGCATCCACCGGCGAAGTCGCCAGAACAACGCAACAGCTTCTGCCTCTTGGGGTTCTCTGCATTCTGAGCCTCTGAGCTGTTCCTTTGACATTCACTTTATCAAATACCTGTCCCGGTATCTAATCCATTTAGTCAACTCATCTTCCAATCCCTCCTTTCGATCCTCTTCCATCATCCGTGCTTGCCGCATTCCTTTCAACCCATCATCCCAACTCCGCTTGTGCTTCTCCTTCCTCCCTTTCGCCTTGGCTGCTAGCTAAACGCGCTCATCCGTCACCCATCCGCGTCAGACGTTTGCCTCCCCCGATCCCCAACTCCGAATACCTCTGCTCCTGCTGCATCCAGCTCCGTCGACATCCAGATCCGTCCGCCATCTGCGCCCGATCTTTCGAAAGTCCACGGACTCGTTTCCGACCGTTGTCTCGACTCCCGAACACCCCATCCATATTCCCCCTTCGAGGTGGTTGCGTTGCCGGCATGGTTGGTCTCACATCGGCCGCTGGCCTCGTGGGCTTTCTATCAGAACACGATCCGACGTTGCGAAGTTTCGCCCTTCACAAGCTGAATGAGGATATTGATTTGTTATGGCCCGAAGTCTCCGGCTCCCTCGCTCAAATGTACGTCACCCTTGTTGATGCCTTTCATCGCGCTTGGCCCGTCGTTCACCTGACGGCTGTGAACTTCTATCATCAACAGAGATGTGATGTGGGCGTCCCCTAGCTAACCATGAACAGTGAGGCGCTTTACGAAGATGAATCCTTTCCAGATCGTGAACTCGCCGCCCTGGTGGCCGCCAAGGTCTACTACCAGCTACAAGAATACGACGAGAGCATGGTGTTCGCCCTAGGTGCCGGAAAACTATTCAGCATCGATCAGCCGGGAGAGTTTGAAGACACGATTATTGGTATGTTCTTGGTTCGCCGTTGGTGAGGCGTTGTTGCCGTTCTGGCTGGACCGCTAACCGTTCAACAGCAAAGTGCGTGGATACGTATATCGCGCTGTCTGCTATGCACAATCCTCCCGCACCAGCGAGCAGTGCAAATTCCGCGCCGCCCGTTTTGTCAACCGTGTTCTCCAACGCGACCAACGGTGCCGCGAACACGTCCGCCAGCCTCGCCTCCCCGACCACGCCGTTCTCGCAATCAATCCTCCCGTCAAAGTCGCTCCTATCACGTCAAGATTCATCATCGTTGGAATCGTCCTTGATGGTGGGCAACGGGGGCATTGTCGGTGCTCACCCGGCGCCGTTGGCCCTCCAGCGGAACGTTCAGAAGAATCTGCAGGCCGTCATTCGGAGACTTTTCGAGAGCTGCTACGAGATCGGCGAGTACCATCACGTGGTTGGCATCGCCGTCGAAGCCCGCAATCTTGAGGTTTTGCGGGAAGCCATCCTCCGTGCGAGCCGAGAAGAGAGAAAACAGAGCAAAAAGGCCGCGAGTCCCACTCCAGGCAAGAGCGAGGAACTGATGGAGTATGTGTTGGACATCTGCATGAACATCGTCCAGGAGCGAGGATTACGGAACGAGGTAGGCTCACATCACGCCACTGGACCGCAGGGCGCTAACGTTGAATAGATCCTCCACCTGATCCTCGACCTTTTGAACGACATCCCCAATCCCGATTACTTTTCGATCGCCAAATGCGTCGTCTATTTGGGCGAGCATTCCATGGCATCCAACATACTGAAGCAACTCGTGGAAAGAGACGATTCCAAGTCCCTCGCGATCGCCTACCAAATCTCCTTCGATCTCTACGACAATGGCACCCAAGAATTCCTATCTACAGTGATGGAAGGATTGCCAGATACGACCGAGGAAGCGAAGGACAACGAGCACCCGGTCGCGAACGGGGATATCAACCACGACCGTGAGCCGGCCGAACCGACGGAGACGGACCAGCTGCTGGACTCGAACGGCGATTCGCAAGCGAACGGTCCTCGGACCTCGACCATCGCCACGCGCACGAAGCCGGCGACCGAGGCGGAAACGAAAGCCTATAAATCCATTCGACAAATCCTGACCGGCACGAAGTCAATCGAGCTCAACCTGGAGTTCCTATACCGATCCAATCGACACGATATCGCCGTGTTGAACCGCATCCGAGACAGCCTCGAGGGCCGGAATTCCATATTCCACTCGGCTGTTACGTTTGCGAACGCATTCATGAACTCGGGCTCGATGAACGATGGGTTTTTCCGACAAAACTTGGAGTGGCTCGGTAAAGCCGTGAACTGGAGCAAGTTCACCGCCACGGCGGCCCTGGGCGTGATCCATCGCGGAAATATCGGGCAAGGCTTGAAATTACTTGAGCCCTATCTTCCCAAGGCAACATCGGTGAGCGGATCCCCCTACAGCCAGGGCGGTAGTCTGTACGCTCTGGGGCTCATCTACACCAATCACGGGACCCAAGTCTTGGATTACCTGCGAAAGCAATTCAACGAAGCGACCGAAGAGGTCGTGCAGCATGGTGGTGCTCTCGGCCTCGGCGTCGCCGGGATGGCGACTGGTTCCGAGGACATCTTCGAGGAGCTCAAAACCGCTCTGTGGTCCGACTCCGCCATCAATGGAGAGGCCGTGGGCCTTGCCATGGGGTTGATCATGCTCGGCACCGGAAGCACCAAGGCACTGCATCTCATGATCCAATATGCCCATGAAACGCAGCACGAGAAGATTGTTCGTGGCCTCGCCATGGGCATGGCGCTGATTATGTATGCCCGACAAGAAGCGGCCGACGATCTTATCAATGGGCTCCTCGAGGAACCCGACCCATCGCTCCGCTACGGTGGCATCATGACCATTGCGTTGGCGTATTGTGGAAGCGGAAGCAACCGTGCCGTCCGTCGACTGCTCCACGTAGCTGTCAGCGATGTCAACGATGATGTGAGGCGAGTCGCCGTTATGAGCTTGGGCTTCGTTCTGTTCCGGAAACCGGGCAGCGTTCCACGGATGGTGGAATTGCTGGCCGAGAGCTACAACCCGCACGTCCGGTATGGCGCCACCATGGCCCTGGGGATTGCCTGCGCTGGAACAGGGTTGGACGACGCGATCGATCTGCTCGAGCCGATGATGAAAGACTCGGTCGACTTCGTCCGCCAGGGCGCGTTGATCTCTCTCGCCATGATCATGGTGCAGCAGAACGAGGTCATGAATCCCAAGGTGGCGACCATCCGCAAACTGCTGACCAAGACGGTCAGCGATCGCCATGAAGACGCGATGGCCAAGTTCGGAGCGGCGCTCGCACTGGGAATCATCGACGCCGGCGGTCGAAATTGTACCATCGGCCTGCAAACGCAAACGGGGAACCTCAACATGACCGCGGTCGTGGGGATGGCCATCTTCACCCAATATTGGTATTGGTTCCCGCTGACGCACTTCCTATCCCTCTCCTTCACACCGACGGCCATCATCGGAGTAGACCAGGATCTGGAAATCCCCAATTTCGCGTTCCACAGCGCCACACGGCCGAGTCTGTTCGACTACCCGCCAGAGCAGGAGGTCAAGACCGAGGAGGCACCCGAGAAGGTAAAGACCGCCGTTCTTAGCACGACGGCTCAGGCGCAGAGGAGGAAGATTGCCAAAGAGCGACAAGCCCGGCGGGAGAGCACGAGTGGCATGGAGATCGACCAAACCCCTACCACCCCCAAAGTTGGCGCCGAAGACGCGATGGAGGTGGACGAGGAGACAAAGAAGGAGGACGAAGAGAAACCCCCGGCCGAAGGGGACAAGGAGAAGTCAAAGGACGGCGCGGCAGTCGAAGGCAAAAAGCGACCGGAAAAGGAGAAGGTGGGGTACGAGCTGGAAAACATGTCTCGCATTCTTCCCGCGCAGACCAAGTACCTCAGCTTCCCGAGTGACCGATATGTTCCGGTCAAAAAGGTGAGCACCAGTCTACCGTTGTATGTTCGTTGCTAACAGATTCCCAGCCTACCGGCGGCGTCATCCTGGTCCACGACAATCAGCCATCCGAGCCGAAAGACCTGCTCGAACTCAAGGTCCAGAAAGCTGTCGTCACCGCCGCGCCCACCGCTGGCCAATCGACCGGTCCCTCCGGGGCGCAAACGGCCACCACGGGAATCCCCAGCATCGGCAGTCTCTCGTCGTCGCAGCTCGGAAACCTCAACCCCGCGCAGCGCGACATGATCGGGAACCTGCAGCGCCTGTTGGGGGAGCAAGGCCACGGTCAGGCCGGGGAGGACGAGCCGCAGACGCCCGCGTTCCGGGGCGATCACGGCGGCGCGGCGGCGGGGGCGGGCGTGCTTACCGCGTGGGATGATGGGGAAGAGGAGGCGGAGGCGCCCGACGCGTTTGACTATGACAGCGACGGACACCGCAACGATGGGATGGACGATGATGAGGAGTAAAGGGACGATACCACCCGCCTTTTTCGCTCGGGGACGACCACCATCCACCTCCGCTCGCCATTCGGCATCCTCAGATTCGCTACGACGCCTCGAGACACCCCGATGCGCTGGATCGGCCACCCGCTTCGATCCACCCTTCGACCTAATCCCCATGCATCTGGTTCGGCGCCTACGGACTGTAATCGTCTTTTTTCACGTTCACGTTTGTCTTAACAACTTCCTGCCTGCGTACCTTGCGCTGACGGGGTCCACGGTGCTTCTGGATTTTGGAACCCGCGCGCGGTCTTAGAATAGTAAGGGGGGGACGGGTTATAAGATGTAGAGTATTCATACGTGCAACCAACCCATCAGATATAATCCATGTGTGTTCTTGAGAATTTGCTTGGTCGACGTGATGAGATTATGTCCCGGATTTTCTTTTTAGTATAAGTAGAAGCGTTAAATCGTCTGGTGTGGAATACTTTGATGGCAACAGCATCTAATAGCTATCCCAGGCAGGGGGAGCTGCTTAGTGGGCTGTGGTAATCCACGTCCGCCACGTCCAGACCACTGTACGCGTAGACCTACCGTACGAGTCCTGTAGCCAAGCTTCCTTTACTGAGTTATTGCCTTTCAACCTGCATGTTACAACTATCGGAAAAAACATGCCATTCACCCCTTCGTCCAGAAGAACGGTGCCTTTGCAATCCCCATAGCGTTTAATGGACCTTCTGGTCATCACCCCCCACTTCGACGTGGACAATCGGTAGCCATGGGTCAAGGGCAATCCACCCCTCCCGTCTCCATCGGTATGTGAGCCACCAACGCTCCAGACGGCGAATCTACTAACCCACCCGACAGAGGAGCTCAACCGGGATCTCGTGAATAAACTCCTCGAGAAATGCTACTCCCCCATAGAAATATACTCTTTCAAGCATGTCTTCCGCTCCCTCGCCGACAGCGAGAGCGGCCTGCGCTACTGGACCGAGAGCACCCTCTGTCGCTTCCTCGAGCTGCCCGACGCGATCGGCGCGGGCCCCGTCGTCTATCAGATGGCGACCTATCTAGGCGCGTTCCCCTTCCCCAGCCAAGCGCCGGCCATCTTGACCAACGACGCCTTGCTGAAGGTGGTGACGATCTTGACCGGGAGATATGAAGCGGTCTTGCGGAAGGGGAGGGAAACGTGGGTGAGGGAGATCTATCGGAGCCTGGCCGTCCACGACCGCACGCTGCGGCAGAAAGAGTCGCGAGGCGGGGAGAGTCCGACAGAGCGAGCGGACGGAAAGGGGTTCGCCGTGGATGAAGCGGCGGATGACGATGAGGATGGCGATGACGAGCTGGTCCTGTCCGCCTTCGAGACGTTGGATGCGATCGAAGCCTTCGGACACGGCGAGAGGGTGGACGTCCACCACTCGGTCATCCCGAGCGACAACCTGCTGAAGCTGATCGAGCTGCTCATCCTCGCATCCCCGATGGGCGCGCAGGAGAAACTGTCGGCGATCACGTCGGAGCTGACGGACGCGAAGGTCAGTGAACTGCGAAGGACGGCCGGCAACATCTTGGCTACTTTCGGCGTGGAACAGAGCCATGGCGTGGCGTTCAAGACTTTCCACGCCGTGGTGATTACGTCCCTTCCGTACCTGTTCGACGGGCTGCGGCCATTGTTCGAGCATTTCCTGTTCGACAAGGACTTCGACCTCTCCAAGCGAAAGATGTCGGCGTCTTTGACCTCCGAGTTGTCGCCGTCTGTCTCGACGCTACTGTCGACGCCGCTGTCGACACCGTCCGAGTCCATTATTGCAGAGAAACCCACGCCGCCAGAGCAGGAGCCGGCTCTACTAGAGCCAGGAGAGATTCTTGATCTGAATACATTGAGTCACCTGTCATTCTTCCTCCGTCCCTCCCCGTTTCGCCACGTCCATCCGCTGTACGCCGGATCCCGCGCGGGATTCAGCATGGGATCGTTTGAGAAATGCGTCTTCAAATACCCCGGACCTACGATTCTCCTCTTGCGAGGTGAAGTGATGTCCGCCAGCGAAATGGCCAGCACCGGGAATCCCCGATTACGTACATTTACCGACTCCATCCCCCCATCACGCCTCTCCTCGTCGATCCCCACATCCTCCCAATCGTCGACCGTAACCTACGGAGCATACATCCCCTCACCATGGAAATCGACACCATCGGCATGCTTCGGCGATTCTAGCACCGTTCTCTTCCAACTCTCCCCACGGCACCTTCTCTTCCCCGCCTCGACTCTCTCCCCGCATTATGTCTACTGCAACAAGAACCCCACGACGTTCCCCGGCATCGGATTCGGCAGCCCCGCCCCCGTCCGCAGCGCATCCCACATCCACGGCGTCGACCGTCGCCACAGCTACTCCGAGCGCCGCACCCTCCCGCTCGGCCCCGTCAGCCTGCACCTCGAAGACGGCCTGGAGTTCGCCGTGTTCACCCACGATGCCGAGGGCGGCGGCTCGTTCCTCCCGTCGCCGATCGCCGGATTCTCGGCGCACCACGCTGCGGCGCAGCCGAGTGCGCGCAGCCTGGCGTCGTGGCAGGACCGCATCGAGATCACGTCGCTGGAGGTTTGGGGGCTGAGTGCGGCGGGCGATGGGACGGAGGCGGAGGAACAGAGGCGGGCGTGGAAATGGGAGGAGCGGGAGGCGGAGCGGCGGAGGAGGATTAATCTTGGGACGGGGGATCGGGATGCGGATTACGAGCTGTTGAAGATGGCTGGGCTGGTGAGCGGGGAATACAGCGGGGGAAGTATGTGATAAACGGGATGGGCGGGAAACATTTCCTCTTACTGACGAGCCAGTCGACGGGATTGCTGTCGTTTGGATGGGCGTTCATGGATGCTTTGGACGAAAAAGGAGGATTTAATGCGTCATGAGATTCACAAGATATAGTAATACATGCGTCGTCCTGGGGATGCTTCGCTATAATACAAGAGGTTCGATATCATCCCATGTGAAACACCCAGACTCCATCCGCCCGCCGCCGTGGTATGCTCGCCTTTCACTCCGACTTATCCTTGCCTGTGACGTATCAGATATGCCATGGTGAAGCGTAAAGGTCAACTCACCGCTGCTTGTGCTTCGGGTTCTTGCTACATATGATGTAGACATACTTCTTCTTCCGTCGCACGCTCTGTCCTTCTGTCAGCACACCGTCGTCACAATCGCCAATCCTTCCGCCGGGAGATTTCTGCATACCTTACATCCGTCGCATAATTTCTTCACGGACGTCCGCACCTGTTCAGCTCAGCATCCACCCCCGGTCCTGGAATCAAGCAACCAACCTTCATCCCTCTTCGCTGTCCTACGGTTGTGAAGATCGAGGTGCCATTGGCCTCCACGGCCCCGGAAGGGCTTAGGAATTGCGATGGACGATTGGGTCGTGGGAAGCGGAGGGTTTGCGAAATCGACGTGATGCTTCGACGGAGCGGAAGCTGGGTGAACGGACTTGAGCAGGTCGGTCGGGAGACCTGCCTGCTTGTAAGTAAGAGGGTCCGAGCCAACATCTTGTCTGGTGATTTGGGGATATGCGGCGTGGAGTGGTCGAGGATGTTAATTGTTGGATCCACCACGAATTCACGATGTCCAGTCTCCCAAGAACCCTGTCGATGATAATCTAGATCACGTGACTCGATATATACTAGAATATCGGATATCACGGTCGGAATGGAATTATGGAATCTCCTCTAATCATCGACTTTCCGCTGGGGTTTTACTGTTTATTGGTGTCTCTAAATCAAACTCTGCACATTATACAACTCTCATTTCCGACTACCTTGTTGTGCTTCGGTTTTATCGATTTGCTTCAGAAGAAACCCAATGCTAGCATCTCTAGCCTTCTCCAGCTGCTGTAAACGAGCCAAAGGAAACGATTCATACTCCGGCGATGTCGCTGAAGGGGATGCTTGTAATGGCTTAGTTGGCTCACTTGACTGACTCGCAGCAAGTGGAGAACCGGCCGTCACCGTATCTGCCTTCTTTTGATCTAGCAGCTGTCTGAGGACAACGATGCTCTCGTCTCTGGATTGGAGCTCTTTCACCAGAGCCCTTCGTTCCTTCTCCTCCAGTTCTGGATCTCGTGGCACAATCTTATCGCCTTGCTCTAGCCGAGATGCAGAATCCACCTGTCGCCGTTTCCGATCCCCTTCCCCGTCCCGCTCCCAGGTTTGTTGCCATCGTCTGACAGCGTTTCGCGCCACCGTTTCGATATGCTGAAACCTTACCGGACCCAGCAAAACGCCGCCATACCATCGTGCCACAACAATGCTCCCAGTAACTCCCATTTCTTCGAGAACCTTCTCGAGCCGTTTCCCGGCCCATGACTCCCCATCATCATCGTGTCCGACGTCGAAGAGCTGCAACGGCCCTGATGATGTCTTCAGAGTCGTCTGCTTTGAGGCTACCCGCCACGCTGCGATTCGGTGGGTTGCCGGCTTCAGCTCTGGGAGGCTTTGCAGGGTCCTCGCTGGCAGGGAGGGAGAATAGTATCCGGCAAAACGAGATTTTCGGTCAAGGACCGCCTCTGAGACGGAGTAGTTGTTGTTACGTTGCCGTTCATCCGGTGTCGAATCGGCCATGGTTCCCGCCGAACGCTTGAGACTCATAGTGGATATGGATGTGGAATCAACGCAACATGGCGCGATGTCCACGCTCTATAGCTAGTGGTAGCCACATGCCCAGTCGCTAGAATAAGATCATCTCTGAGACCATCTCTGCAGAGTACGACATGGAAACGGTTGTAGATTTACATCGCTTGTAGATGATAATTGAGATAGGAACGGGAAGTGCTGGGATGGACGGAGAGGCTTAGTAAGATCAGGTTTAGACTTAATACTGACTTATTATCACTTGACACTTAATTAATTAGTCACTTAGTAGCAAATGTTGGGTGCACGAACCACCTGTTCCCTATCAACCTCGAGTCCAACTTCAGACGCGGCGAACGTAAACAGAACAACCACAAACTTCAGCAGCATCGTGAAGCTACAGCAAGCACATCCCGTTAAGCCAATATGGCTGTGGGTTTCTTTTCAAGGTCCTTCTGGGTTCTAACCGCCCTTGGTGGGATCTATATAGCCTTGCTTTCAACTTTGACCTTTGTAGATGTCCAACGCTTGTATGTCCCTCAACTATCCGACAACAATGAGGATGGAGATGATGATATGAGTATGGAACGTGGACTTACTGGTTAAAGCGCCCTTTATGCAAATAAATTCCATACCGGTTACTGGGACGATGTTTCTGAGACTGAGCGTTCCGGATTTTCTAGTACGTTGGGCATTTGAGATGATATTTCCGCCATCCTGGGGACGCGTGTCTGGTCGGCATCTGGTTTGGCGCGTGATTCCATCGCATATCGGTTCTGCCTTGCTTAAGATTCTTGCGCAATTGTTCTTCCTGCGATTTGATCCATGATCGGGATGACTCGCGGAACTTACTCGAGTACAGAACATCAAGTGACCCCTTTCTTCATCGATTCAACCGACAATGTCAAGCTGTACGCGTGGCACGTCCTTCCGATATCGGTTTATGGGAAGCATAGAGATATAATCCTATCACAGCCAGATGGTCTAGTCGAAGACTTCAAGCAAAGCCTTCCGTATAAGCTATTGAAAGACGACCCAGATAGCAAAGTCATCGTGAGCTGTGAGTGGCGTCGACTGTGACCGTGTTGGAGGTTTTCTAATTGACATGCATAGTCCATGGGGTAAGGATAGCCCGTACGAATACATAATCGAAAAATGGGGACTGATGATTACCACTGTTCTAGAACGCTGGCCACGTTGGGCAAGGATTCCGCCCTGATATTTACCGAACGGTGACGGGCCTTTCTCCTCACAATCACTTGATCGCTATCGATTACCGTGGATTTGGGGCTTCCAATGGCTCACCGACCGAAGCCGGCCTAATTGCCGACGGTATATCGACCGTCGATTATGTGGTGAATATACTAGGAATCCCTCCTGCACGTATCGCTATCCTAGGCCAGAGCCTCGGCACCGCCGTGAGTTCCGCAGTAGCGCTACATTTTGCCTCTCCCGGTGCTCCCGAACTGGCGCCGCTGAACTCCTCATCCCCGGAAATCCAAGCGTTGACGCCCGCGGCGCCGATGGACTTTGCGAAGATCATCCTCCTGGCGCCGTTCACGGACCTGCCGACGCTGCTCCGCACGTACCGCATCTCCGGCATCATTCCCGTGCTCTCGCCGCTCCGATACCATCCGAAGGCAGTCGACTGGATGCTGAAGCACGTGGTGGATATTTGGGATAGCGCGGCGAGGTTGGAAGCGTTGACGCGAGCCACCGTGTCTGACGGCCGGACACTGGATTTGCATGTTGTTCATGCTATGGATGACTGGGATATTAGGTACACCCACAGCGTCGACATCTTCAAACGGACAATGAGAACGGATGCCAGTCGCACAGTGGCCACAACGGACCTGAAATTTCGTGGCGGTGAACGGAGGCAATGGCTTGGACCGGATCAAGTGTGTACCATTGACATGCTGAACTACGGAGGTATGTCTTCTCACCTCATTGACTTCAAAACGACGATATTCAACACATGATGCAGGACACAACCGAGCAATGAAGTCGAGCGCCGGGCAGTTGGCAGTTCTAGAGGCCTTCGGACTGTGAGAAGGATTTTAGTGGAATGGAGCGAATTTGGGGGGAAGGTAAAGAAGAACTACCTTCGCTGAAACGTTTAAAGAATGGATGGAGGTTAATTTGAGTTTTCTGGGCGTGATTGAGGAGCCCTAACCAGTAGGATACTCTTACCTTATACATATAATTTTCAATGCAATCCTTGCGTCTAATAATCCTTGCATGTCTTGTGTTGATAGGCACTTAGTCTCTCCGTCGTCAACGATTGCATATACTGTAACAAAGCCTCCATCCCCTTCAACCATTTCTTGTTCCGGGGTTGAAAGGTACGTATTCATTCCATTCCTCATTTATTCTTGCCCAAGAGCTCTTTAGCTCTTCTTAAGACCGTGTTTTCTTAAAAAATACATCGGGTTTCGTCTAACGCAGTCTGATACTGTTTATACACACGCTTTAATAACGACAAACCCAATCTGGCCGTCTGTCAACACCCATACACCTTTGTAGCCGCATGATTTAGATGCCATCTCCATCCTCCGCCTTGGGCAAACGCAACGGCAGGAATCGATCCGGCGCACGTGTCCCTTTCGCGAACACCATCTCCATGTATTCCCGCACATCCTTCTGCGGCGCCACAGCCCGCGACAACGCCGAGAGTACAAAGGTGGTCTCGTCCTCGGCGAAGAATCGGATGGTGACGGGCTGATAGTAGAACGGACCATCGACGTCGAGCTCTGGGATGCCTTGCGGTTTCAAGGGGCTGGGTGGATGAGTGGGAGGTGGGGGTGCCGGGGCTGGAACTTCAGGCTTGATGGCCAAAGACGCATTGGAAGCCCCTTGCGGAGTGTGCTTCGAGGGCGTCGCGCTAGCGCCGGGGTCAGCTGCACTGGGCGTGTGATTTGACTGTGTGTTCTGCGATGCGGCTGATACAGCTTCCGGCTTCACGGCTGGCGTGGCGGGTTCTGCGACCCGTCGTTTTTCGCGGATCGGTTTGCCGTCCAAGTCACGGAGGATCAGAAAGGAAGCGGTCGCCGCGCGAAATCCCGGCTGGTACTCAATGATGCTCATCCGAGGAAAGAGCCATCGGTCGTTCGTATTCTCTTCGAATTCTATCAGGAGATGGACCGGTCCATCGTTCGCGGGCGGTCGAACGATTCTCGGGCGCGGAGGAAGCGGCTGACGGTAAACGTGAGCTTGTTGCGGGCCTTGGTAAGCATATGGCAATGAAGACGGGGTTCCGAAAGGGTTTTGTTGTGGATGTTGCATGGTTGGTGGAGGTGGCGGTCGAGGGGCGGGGGAGGGGAGGGGGTGTGAGAACGGATTGGAAGCACTGGGCTGGCGTGGTGGCGCTGGCGGAGCCGCTGGGGGAGGCGGGGCCGGCGTTTTCACCGATGCAGGGGCTGGCTGTGGAGCAGGAGCCGGTGTTTGCACCGGAGGGGTTGGCATATTCGTCTTGCTCTGTGCAGATGTGGGGGTTGGCGAGTGGGAGCTAGCTGGAGGAGCTGGGGTGGGTGTACCATGTGCAGTATGCCCACCACGCGCCTTGACAATTGCCGACAGCTCATCGATGTGCCGCTGGAAGTACTCCAGCTGCGACGGATTGGCGTTCCCTGACGCGACAATCCTCATCACCTGCTTGAGCTCCATGTTGGTGCTGGCTCGTTGTGCCAGCATGTGGATGACCGGATCGGGTGCTGGTTGCTGGGACGGAGCGGGACTTGGTGTTGGCGCAGGTGGAGGCGGTTGTGAAGCAGGGGGTGTCGGGGCTGCCGCATGGTGAGGGGCGTTTTCGGGGACGTTGCTCCTCGCCTGATGGCTTGGCTGCTGCGGAGGCTGCTGCGGAGGTGCTTGCTGTGGAGGCGGTTGCTGTGGAGGCGGTTGCTGTGGAGGCGGTTGCTGTGGAGGCGGTTGCTGTGGAGGCGGTCTCGGTGGCATGGGGCCACGGCTTATTGAAGGCTGCTGAGCCGACCGGATGGGAGTGGATTGTCCCTGGGCGAGAAAAGAAGGACCGGGGGTGGAAATCGGTGTCTTGGGAGTACCATGCTGCGCTGGCGCGACGGTGTACGGAGGCGGTCGGTGGTAGTGATATTGGCCAGGAGTGGGAGATGCTGGATACCCCGAGTAGAAAGGAGATCCGTATGGTACGGGGGCCGTTTCGGTCAGAATGCGTTCGCCAGGGAGAGCGTCCATGCGCACCACGTAAAGATTGGCTTGGAATATGTGTGGCTCAATGGTAACCTTCACCCCTTTCGCCCATTCTTTCATGCTTCTCTTCTTCTGGCCCGGCTGTTCGTTGTGGAGATAAACGATATCGGCTTGTTTTCTTTTCGCCCACCATCGATCGAGTGTGGCTTCATGTGTCCATTTGTGGCGTGAACGGCGGAGGGATTCCGCAAGAACTCCGCTGTAGAATTCATGTTAGCCTGCGCCATCTGCCGAAGAGCCCATGTATACCTTTCGCGTACGGTCTGGAATGACTGCACATCTTCGGGATCCTGGGGAGTAGACGTTGTCGGTAGCGGTTCAGCGGTGATTTTCGAAGGAAGGATTTCTGGCTTCGGAGGCGAGGGAGAAGGTTCTTTGGGTGTTCGCGGCGCGGCGTTGGATCTTCGACTTCGTGTACTGGATAGTTTGCGAGAAGAGGGATCGGGGGTGACACGTCGGTGTTTGGTGGCCGGAGTTCGCACTCGGCTCGAAAGTCTCCTCTTCTCCGCCATCGCGATTGGGCAAGATGGTCGCGTTGATCGCGATGGTTGCGATACTACGGAATCCAGAATAATACAGATGGGAGGACCTGAAATCAACGTAAGTTCAAGTCAGATGACTTCAACAGGCAAGAACCACGGTGAACCAATAGGCGTTCAGAAACCCCGCAGACCCCTGTTCCAGCGACGCGAGGTGAGATGGTCACGTGCGCGAGAGAACGTGGCCGGCCAGGCAGGCATCGATTCATCGTCATTGGTCGGCCTTTCCTCGGCCACCTGGACTATCACAATATCAGAATATCAGAATATCAGATGCCAATTGCCATCGCCCGCACCCTCCATTTCTCATCTCCGCTTCTCAGTCCTCACTAGAATCCAAATATATTAACCCTGAGGACCTATCACCATGTCGGAACCTAATAAATCCGATGGAAATTGGAGCTCGAGTTCGACTACTCAACCCGAACCGCCTGTTTCAACCACTGGCCAAGCTTCCGCTGGTGACCAAGGTGAAGGCTCCGGGATGACTCAAGAAGATAGCCAAGCAGCGGGCAAGAAGAGGAAAAAGTCTAAAGCCAAACATGAAGGACCTGAAAGCGAGGGTGGAACCGATACCGCTTCTGACAACCAGCAACTTCAGAACCTCATCGCAAGCAACCCCACCTTGAAAAAGCACTTTGCTGGATTGGAGCCCGAGAAGATGGAGGAAGCGCTTCGAAAGCTGAAATTGGAGGAGATCCTGTCCGGAATGGTATGATTGATCGAATTCCATTGCGTCCCTCGACATTCACCATGTTCACGGCTAATGACACCAGTCGCCGCCAAGTGCGAAGCGACAGAAGGACATGGCCGGATATAAGTTCTGGAAGACGCAGCCAGTGCCTGCCTTCGGTAGTTCACCTTGTCTTGATAGATGCACTTGTGCTGATGGCTCTTAGATGACCAGCGCCCAACCGAGGAAGGTCCGATCAAGATGATCGAGATCGACCGAGTCTCGAAGAAGCCTGCTCCGCTGATTGATGGGTTTGAATGGGTGACCATGAACCTTGACGATCCCGCAGAGGTATGGGACTACTTGCTAATATGAATTATCGATGACTTTCTAACCATGTGTGCAGTTGAGCGAGGTATACGAGCTGCTCTCCCATCACTACGTTGAGGACGATGAAGCCATGTTTCGGTTCAACTACTCTCCCGCTTTCTTTACCTGGTATGTGTCTCTCAATACGAACTGCGAAATCACGCTAACTTTTATAGGGCCTTGAAAGCTCCAGGGTGGACCAAAGATTGGCACATCGGTGTTCGAGCTACCAAATCACGAAAGCTGGTTGCATTCATTTCGGGGATTCCAATCGGACTACGAGTGCGGAAGACGGTTCTGAAGAGCTCTGAGATCAATTTCCTCTGCATCCACAAAAAGCTGCGTTCAAACCGCCTTGCACCTGTGCTCATCAAGGAAGTCACTCGGCGCTGCTACCAGATCGGCACCTTTCAAGCCATCTACACTGTGGGCCACATTCTACCCACCCCCGTGTCCACATGTCGATACTACCATCGATGTCTTGACTGGGAGAAACTATACGAGGTGGGCTTCTCGCCGCTTCCATCTGGATCCACCGTCCAACGACAGATTATCAGATACAAGCTTCCGACCACCACATCCACCCCCGGACTCCGACCGATGAAGTCAAAGGATGTACCTGCTGTGCAATCCCTCCTCAAGAGATACCTCGATCGTTTCGAGCTGGCCCAAGAGTTCACTGAAGAGGAAGTTGAACATTGGCTTGTCCATCACGAGGATTCCGGGCGTGAGCAGGTGGTCTGGGCCTACGTCGTTGAAGAGGAAAACACCCATCGTATCACGGATTTCTTCTCCTTTTACAACTTGGAGTCCACCGTCATCGGTCATAAGAAGCACAATGCTGTCCGAGCAGCGTATTCCTTCTACTACGCCTCCGAAAAGGCGCTCACGGGAAATATGGCCGAGCTCAAGGTTCGCTTGAATGAATTGATGAAGGATGCGTTGATTCTGGCGAAGAATGTCAGCCCTCCCAACCCCCCTTTCTTTCATCTTGGTGTTAATGAGTTTCCAGGCCAAATTCGACGTTTTCAACGCGCTGAGTCTACTCGATAACCCGCTGTTCTTGGACGATCAAAAGTTCGGGATGGGCGACGGTCGGCTGCATTACTATCTCTACAACTACCGGGCGGCGCCTATTCAAGGCGGTCTCGATGCGCAGCAGAACGCGAGTGAGAAGCACATGGGTGGGATCGGCGTCGTCATGCTTTGAGGGATGCTCGAATCTTGAGCAGAAAACTGTCGTTGCCGAACCAAGGTGCGTTGCGCGCCGTCCAAAGGTCTTTCACAAACCAATTCTCTGCAGGAGCGATTATCTTTTGGATCTACTTCAACGTGTGTATCTCTAGCCTTCGAGTGGTACTTTCGGTTCCAGCCACCAGTTCCACATGGGTGTATGCTACCTTGTTTCTCGGGGGTTCGACTGCGCAGGTTCACATGGATCGTAGCATGGAAAGGAGGGATGGGCTGTGAATTTAATTGTCACAGTGAGTGAAATCGGATGACCCGTATAGGCGGTGCATGTAGGTAGTTGCAATTGCATAAATACTAGGAACGTCGGACAACATGGGGTAAAGTAGCTATCGGCTAATGATGATATTATCCTATATCATCCAAATGTCTGTCTAGGTTTGTGATACTGATTGCTGAAGGCAAAACCATTCAGATCCGTGTCTCCGTACCCCTTATTGACTGAGGGATCAATGTGATCGGTATCAGGGGGTCTAGATGGTTGGGATGGTGTAGGGATGAAATTCGGATAAAATTCCGAATAAAATAGGTCTGTGGTGCATATTATTATAATAAGAATCAATTTAACGTACTATCTGGATCCCTTTCGGGTCTATGAGCACGATATTCTATCTGGTCTGTCGAGGGAAAAAGTTTCCCCCCAGCCGAGGCTGCAGGTACATAAAATCCCGCCTCCTCCCCTTAGTAGAGTATCTCAATCATTGTTCATCTTTCCGCACGGGTCGGTGTTTCCGCCTAAGCGGAGAGCTTATTCTGGCACGTCGTGGAGGAGCTGGAACGGTTTCCAGTCCACTATTACTTCCTTCTCAACTTCCTTGGCCACCCGGTATTGCTCTAGGCCTCCCGCATCGATCAGCCACCTTGCTGCGTAGCGTACCTTGTCCCTGTCATGCAATATCCTCTTAAAGTCCGTTGTTCCAGCTCGTTGGAGGAGCGCGATCCTCTGGTAGGTCCGCTGCGGGCAAAACGCAAGGAGGTGGTAGAGAGACTGTCGGGGGGCACCGCACTCACACGCTGGGTGGATTCCAGGGACACCGATTTTCGCGAGCCATCCTTTAACTCCAACTACCTCAGTCCGTAGTGCCATAAACGCCGAGGCCTCGTGTTTCTGAAGGCCATCGAACCGGTTAAGACACTGGGTTTCCCACGGGTCCTTCCATGTCCTTGCTCTCCTTCCTGGTTTGGCCGCTTCGGCTTGCCATCTCTCCCTTCATTTCGCCCGATACTCATCCTGGATCATTCGGTGCGGGCCTTTTCGCTGTTGTGTCTGATATCCCCTAGCTGGTGCATATGCCTGGAGGAACGAAGTTCCGTAAGGTCTTTGTGGACGCCTGAGGGCCAACTTTTCTCCCAACTCAAACTTAAATCACATGATATTCACGTGAGTTTCACGTGATTTCCGTTCCTTCACCCCAACCTTCGTCGACATCGCGATCGCCGCCCGATTTAGCCCGTATGATATGATTCTAACGAGCTATGAAACTACACGCTCGGCATCGTTCACTCGCCGTTCGCTGACACCGCCTGATTCTGACCCCGCGCCTGACTGAGTCCGATCGTCGGGACTCAATCCGATCGTTGAGACTTGACTCTGATTGTCAAGACTGACTCCGATCATAAAGACTCGAGAAAAAGAGGAGGGATGCGAGGGAAAAAAAAGAGGCGAAGTCTCCCCATCATTAAGCGATCAATGTTACAAAGGGTCGGTTTTCAATGTCTCTCGCCCTATTTGCGCTCTGCTAGCCAATCTACTTTGTATATCTAGGCCGCGTTTACTTCCCCTTAATGTACCGTCCATCCCTCTTCTATTGACCAGTCCCAACGTTCCGCGTCTTAAATCATCCCCTCGCTCAGCCGTTCTAGCCTATTCTCGGCGGCGACCATAGGCTCGGGCACTCGATTACCGATAATGTCCCTTTCTCGCGCTCGAGACAGAAGCATGATCCCATCTAGGGATGGGCAGCGCGATAGTTGTACGTATAGGCCGTAGGCATCGCATTGACTGGGAACGGCCTGGCCATCGATGTTCGTCGTCCTCGCGCCGCGAAGTTCTAGCGCCACTCGGTCTAACGTCTTTCCTTGCACCTTATAATCCGTAGAGGCGAACGCCGCTGCGCACGGTAATCCTCGCCGGCTGACGGCGTGCATCTGCCACGGCCGCTTTCTCTAGGAGTCGATTTTGACACTGACGGGTGCCAGGAGGATAGTGCCGGCTAGCATGCCCACGAAATCGTAGTCTCTCGTCGTCTCGGACGCCAGCACGATCCCGGCCGGAGGCCCGAAGTGGAGCATGGTATCGGCGTTGACGCGATGCCCGGGGAATTTCAGGTCGAGGATGACGTCTAACGCCGTATAGCGGGCGCCATTGACCAGCTTCAGGCCTTGGTGGGTGTTTTGATTTACGGTGATGGGCATCCCCTGGACGAACATAAAGATGGCGGGGACGGGGATGGCGCTGTCGTCCCCCTGACTTAACAGCATTAGGGCCTCCTCCTCCGTAGGCTGGCCATCTTTCCACTTGTGCTCGGACATGAAAATCCGAAGCACGCTTTGCCTTTGGCGTTGGAAGGACAGCGTGGCTTCGACGTTCAGATTCCAGCGGTTCCGATTCAGCGGCGTGATAACCGTGATGCCGGACTCCCATGGGATACGTCGACCTTCCTGGTAGCACGTGTCGTTCAGAAAATCCATATCGGACTGATCTTGTACGCCGTGCCGGATCCGCCTGAGGAGTTGCTGGAGTCGTGGATCTCCGGCGGCACGGACTTGTTCGTCGAGCATCACGACCGTAGTAAACTTGTTCCACAGCGCGTGCGCTTTGTCGTGCTGGTGCCTCTGCTCTGCTCGGAAAGCTGTATCGTCGGTCCACGCAATAACTTGGCTGGGGAGAAGGATGGACCGCTCCTGGACCGGGCGGAACTGGCGGAAATCCCCGCAGAACACGATAATCGGGATCCCGCCAAAGTCGTCCGCATACCCTCGAAGTCGGCACAGCTGTTCGTTTACCATATACAGCGTCCGCGCACCCAGCATACTGACCTCGTCGATAATGAGCAGGAGCTTTTCCTACCACACGGCCCGGCTTCGTCCATCGACGCGGAGATTAGTTGAACTCCTAGGCGCGAATCTCTCCAGGTCCGTACTCCGACCCACCGACCGAGTCGTGTCTTTCGAGAACCCGCACGCGGAATGGATAGTAACCCCATCAATATTGGCTACCGCCGTTCCCGAGGTCGCTGTAACCAGTAGGCGGTGCGGGATCCCCTTCCTCGCGAACAGCGCCGCGACCGCTCCGATGATCCGTGATTTTCCCGTCCCGCCCTCACCTCCAATAAATTGGCAGAGCTAGGGAACTCCGGACTCGTCGCGGTGGACCCGGTCTAGCTGGCGGCAGATAAGTCGAAATGCGATACTCTGCTTTCGATTCAAGGTAAACGACTCCTCTGCTAACTCCTTCCCAACCGCAGAAAACGATGTGGAGGGACCGAGCTGGACATTCATAGATGGACCGGCGTCCTATCCCGGGCCTTCCTCATCGGGAGCGGTGAAATGGACGTCGTGCTCCCCGAAACCGTCCGGCGCCCTGAACTCGGTAGTACTCTCCCCGACCGGCCCCTGAATCCCTTGGATCATCCTCTCTCTCTCGCGCGAGACGCTCTTTTGCTGCGCCTTAATCGACTTCAGCAGCTCCTGTGCCGGCACGACCGACGCCGCTAACTCGGTATACCCGTCTTCTTGGGTGCTAAGAGTTCCTGGCCCTTGCTCGAGGATGGT